TATAATGGCTGCTCTACACACACAAATGATAGACTCAACTTGTGATATCGAACAACAACTTTATTCAGAATTGAGGCAGGTTTTATACATCAACAGTGACCACGACTTAAGGTCAGGCTAGGCGAGTGTTTACCAACGCGTGCATCATCTAAAAAGTAGGAAGGTAAATACGGAGGTAAACAAACGAAAAGCATTGAACTCAAGGCGTATCTCACACGAAGCGTAAGCAGGCGCTACAGCAATGATACAACTATTTGAACCACTATTTGAAAAACCACCCAGTTGCTAAATACAATTCTAGCTGGAGCGCACTTAAGCGCATTCATGACTGCAAAAATAATAACGGAAATCGAAAAGGCCAGCGTGCATGAAGGCTATTTCAATTGCAATCTTCCGTCGCATTTCTAAGGCGCAATGATACAACTATTTGAACTCTCCGGAATGCGTGAGGTATCACGCCGCATTTGAAGGCGTTTTCAAAACAGTCAAGTTCCGATACCCGGATTATCGTTTTGCAGAGTTCATAGTATTTAGTTTTCATTTCTAACCACTTGTTTATTTATAATCCTCCTATAAAAATTACCCATATGCTAAATACAATTCTAGCTGTAGCGCACTTCAGCTATGCATTCACCACTGCAAAAATGTCAAAGGAAATCGACAAGCCCAGCGTGCATGAAGGCGCAGGCCCGGCACAAGGCGGGGATACTGGGTCCCTGGTACCAAGGCCCGGGCCCCCTCCGGGGCCTTCATTTTTCAGTTGTGGTCAGTCGTCGGTCGGACAAATCTGCCGCTTTTTGCTTTTGCAGCGTGCGCCTGCGCGCGCTCCTCAAATTTTCCTCCCTTGTTGCCACATTGGTCTAATTTCAATCACAGCACGAGCCATTCATCCGACGTACTTCAGCGTGACGTGACTTTCGCGGAATTTCGAAAAAGTTCTCAAAATCTATAAATTATAAGTGTCGAATGCAGGCCCGCCACAAGGGGGGGGGGATACTGGGTCCCTGGTACCAGGGCCCGTGGTACCCGTGAAAAACCACTACGAATTCACATGCAACCCTTGTTTCGTAAGAAAAAGCGAAAAATTTACCCTAAAAATTTCGCAAAAGGTGAATAGAATTTCAGAAACACGCTGGGACACCGTAGAATTCATCTTAAATTTTCAAAGAAGTATACTTCTTGGAAAATTTCTATCTATTTTCAAGATTTTCAGTACAGAGGGATAACTACGTTTCATTTTCTTCCGTCGTCGGATGCTAAGAGTCTCCAGTCTGGGCATCCTCGACTTCAATGGCTCATGGCTCAACTCCCTTGCCATAGACAAACGAAGGGGGAGTCCAGGGGGGCCTGGCCCTCATTGAACTGAAAATAGTATCATATGCCCCCCCCCCAAAAAAAAAAAAAAAAATTTCCAGATGTTTTGAATGCAACAATTCGCAAGTATTTTGTGCTGAAAGTAGAAAAAAAAACATAATTATTCCGCAGAAATTGATGGAAAAATTCTTTATGGAAGCTTCAAAATGTGTCCGATTAGTCGTATAAATTCTAAAATTTCTCGGGGGATGCCCCTTGGACCCCAATCCCTCCGTGCTTGGGGCCCGGACTTTAAAACTGATACCAGGGGCCGAGATGGTATGTGGCGGGCCTGATCAAAATGTTACTCTTTTAATGAAGGCAAGCTTAAGGAGTTTCAGTAGTTGATGTGGTCCACAATAGGTACTCGGTACTCTTGGAGAACTAAACAAATTCATGAATTAGAAAATAATACATCATTTATTTATTTTTTTTAGCTGGAATATTAAGTACAAAAGAAGATGTGAAAGTGATTGATTAAAATTAAAATTCTGAATACATATTGTGGGTAAGTACAAGGATACTGATGATTCTGAAGCAATAAAATATGAAAGTCTTGGGTATTTAACCTGAAGATTGTGCAAATTGATTGAAAAATTTTAAAAAAAGTGATAGGATCTTAGTATTTACGATATGAAATTACTATTCAGAAAATTCTGACATCTAAAAGCCTGATTGAGTAGAAGAAAAATCATTGCTTGGCTTTTGGAAGTAAAAGTAAGTTTAAATGGATACCTCAAAAGTGAGATTTTATGCTAAATAGAACTATGTCTCCATGAATTGAATTATGAGGAACTATGTATCATGCAAATCCTGTTTACACAAGTCATTTTCATTTTATTCATTTTTACATAGTTCTGTTTAGCATAATTATGTTCAAATATGCTCCTGATGTCAACGGAAAAATAAAGGTACATACTCATTCAATAGAAGAGGCCATCAAGAGAATGTGAAAAAAAGTCTCAAGATTAGACAAAGCATTTTTGGACATGTTTGCAATATTATACCTCGAGTAATAGATTGCCACATCAGATAAAACTCATTGATGCTATTATGCTAGCATTTGAGCTTATTAACATTTTTTATTTTGTGGATGATTCTTACTTAATAGCATACACGAATTTGCGGGCTTCAAGCAATTGGAGAGAATAATTTAGAAATAACTCCTTAATTTTTCATTCTTATTCTTGATTCAAAGTAGTCAAAAAAATAAAGGAATAATCATCATTAAAATCAAAGAAATGTAATACTAAAAGACAATGCTGGCTTGATTAGGGTTTCTTTTTTGCACTAAATAAGTGCATGCGGAATAATTTTTTACTAAAAAAAAAAAACAAAAACAAAAAAAAAACTTTAAAAAATGGAAGAACTTATGATGTGAATACAATTTAAAAGTGATGAACGAACTTTAACTTAATGTATATTTGAGATAAGACTAGAGGTCTCTTTTCTTTGCCTGCACCTTAGCTTTTTTGAGAGAAAGATGAAAGGTATTCATTCATTCATTTATATGTATATGAGAGTTTTCATCCTTATTATGTATCTGATCTAGGAAGTACTGAGCAAATTTTTTTTTTTTTGCAGCCAAGCGTCACCGACTACAAAATCATCAGACAAAAAATCATTTGGTTACAAAAATAATAGGTAACCAAAATTAAATTCCTCTGGTACAGAAAAAGTGAATGGAGCAATGAAGTACATGACAGAGTTTAGTGACAAGCTATTTTTTATTCAGTTCCGCATTTGGTTACTCTACCTTGGGGGCGGGGTAACCAAAAAACCTGTGCACCAACATGCTTGCTCATTGTTGTTGATTGTGATCGACTATTAAAGATACATTCTGATTGCCTGACATCCATCATCCGATAACAGTAACGAAATGAAATTTGCTCACTGCATTGCTGTCCTTGGTTCCTGAAACAACTAATTACCTTCCCTCTCCATCTGCTGCCACAGGATTTACAAAAATACATTTTACTTTGCTGCTGGGACACAAAAAGTTCTAATCCTGCTGAAATTCACTCATCATTCGGATTACTCCTAAAAGTAAAGCTATAGTTCTAACAGAAGATAAACATAAAAGCTGGCAATGGTAAAGACTTTGATTAAAAAACAATGAAAACTTAACCTACTTATGTACAAACCAGAAATGTAGATCACAGCATACATAAATAAAACATAGGCACATTCCAAACTTACTGGTAAATTTACATGAATAGCTAGATATACGGAATATTTACAGGCGTTGTAATGCATGGATTACAAAAAAAACGGCGTGCCGACTAGAAATTTGAGTGCGACAACAGAATAAAGGGTAGGAAAGACTGTGAATAGAACTTCAAGAATGTGATGGCCAAAAGCCTTCTTGAGAATCTTACAGAGGTGAATACCCCTAATACCCTTAAGACCTGCCAGCACTGATTATCAAAATGAAATTTACAAAAAATCTGGGCATGGTGGATGCAAATGTTTTTACTTCTTAAATTAGTTTGATACTTGTAAAACAAAAACAATGTCGTTTTTAAATACTTGTAAGAAATAAGATGCTTGAAAATTTGGTTTCAAAAATGGAAAATTATGAAAGTAGCTGCATTCAAGGAGGATTTGACAATTTAACTGCCGGTGTTGGTCTTTTGATTAGCAGGAAGTTTTTCGCAGATATCTGATATATCTCTGAAGCAACAGTAGTATCATCTCTCATATGCGGTGTAATGTGAGGTTCAGATATGCGATGATAGAGTGCTTTCTCCATTCAGCGGAAATTATCTTAGAATGGCTTCCGAAAGTGCCGGTCTCTGGGCACCAACAAGACAGTTAATGTGTTAATAGATTGTTTTTGTCAATTGCATGACTTACATTTAGTGTTAAAGCAAAGTGCATAAAAAACTTTTAAAAATTACAAGGGAGGATCATTGAGTCTATAAGTCATGGTTGTCATCCCAGAATTTGTTTACATAATGAATAAATATAAAAAATTGGCCAGAACGAGGATCTAGGATCTACAAATGTTTCCTATTGGTAATGAATTACAACTTCCAATCTTTGCAAATTAATAAATCAGTGAGAGAGAGAGACGTTGCGTTAACACTATAATTCTATAATTTTTCACTATCATGCAAAATCAACACATAATGTAATAAGAAAAGTTTAGCTTAGGTCACATTTTACAGAAGGATATAGATCTTTTTCAATAATGGAGCAACTGAGAGCTTTTCAGTATTTCTTGCCTTAAGGACCAAAATATTATGTTTTGGAGACAATTGTAAAACGAACAGAAAACATTCATTGCTTAAGTCATGTCTCTGAGAGGGGATGTCATAAAAATTGTTCATGATATCCCTAGCTTAAAAACTCATGATTGACTCACGGAAGAGATAGTTCATAGCCCACCCTCTACACCTTAATTGTTGTTTCTTTTTGGTCAAATTGCTAGATGATCCAGTCTGGGCATACTTTTTCTAGCAATAAAAAGAAATACATAAAAGACGTACTTAATCTTTTATTTTACCTCTATGCTGAGAGGGAGAAAATTTTACGTTTTACAAACACTGAACACTGACTATAAACCCAGTCAAAAATTATGTTAATACTGAGTTAAAAATAACACTAAATTACAACCCACAAGCTAAAGATGCGATGCTATTAAGGATGGAGCCTCTAAATAGATGAACAAAAAAGCCAAATTCGAAACAATAGCCAAAGTGCGAAACCATGTAGGTGCCTCCATTTCTGACATTGCAGACTTTCTGTCATACTTTATTTTATCTTAGAAAAACTAATTAACGTAATTTTTTGAAAATTTCCTTGATTTTTCTTCTCTGTTAGTGAACATTATGAATGAATTTCAAGCTACTAAGGAGGCTTGTTTCTCTTTGAAAAAATAGAATGGGAGCGGAAATTTTGAAAAGCTGCGAAAAAGATGTGTGAAATTGCATTTTGGCCATCGATATTTGGCTCAGGCTGCTCATTCACATCTCCTTAAGCCTGATTAGTGATTTCCGGGTTTTCATGGCATTTGGAGTGCACGTGCGAGCACTAATAAACCTGTTCACTTTTTCAGACAATGTCAAAACTGAAGGTAGATAAAACAAAACCAGCATTAAAGTAAGTGTACTTTCAGCTCTCAAAGGGTTAAAATTTGTTGATGGTGTTTAAAACAGAACACCATGAAAATCCTAGTATCATACATTCTTCATAACCTCTAATTTTTTTTTTAAATGGGCAGGTTTAAAAGATTAATTCTTTACAGAATCTAGCTTGTCACACAGCTGAGAATGGGCTTTAAGAAGAGGTTCCAAAGAAAATCAGTGACATCTTAACAGTGCGATCATAACATCCTAATGAGGAGCTGGGGGTAATCCAACTTATTTTCTCTTTATTGGTCTAATTTTTGACTAATTGGACGTATTTCTGCCAAACGGAACTGTGTGCATTAAGACATGAGCCCTGAGACCCATGAAAATATATGCATAACAGGGCTCACTTCCTAATGCACATAGTTCCGTTTGGCAAAAATACATCCAATTAAAGGCCTGGAAAAGAGGACGGTTGGAGGCATCAAAAGTAAAAAGGTGTAACCCTGATTTAAAAACTAAAATAAAATAATTACTCATTAGAAAACTGAAAGTGTGCCTCTTCTAACGCTGAATTAGTTTTAATCCTGAAATTTTTAAGAATTCCTGGGGAGGAGGGGGGAGCAAACTTAAGATTTAAAAAAATTCCTTCCTTGTGCATTGCTTTCTCAGCATTAATCAGATACATTTTTCAATCCTGAATGGATGAAATCTTAATTTGGTCTGACTTTTGTAAAAAAAATCTAAACACCAAATTCGTGAAAGATAGAAATTAAAAATCTTTTAAAAGCTGCACGCCACTCATAAAAATCAATGAAATTCAACAGAATTGAAAAGCAGTGTACAGACCTGATGAAAAGAGACATTAATTACAAAATGTATGAAGAAGGAAAAGTCACAAATTAATAAGACGTCTGAGAAACTCATGAATATTACAGCGATTATAACCCTACTAAAAGTGACTGTTACAGCTGGATTTAAAAAAACCTATTAAAAGTTGCTGCCAAGGGAAATAATCTGAAAAACTCTTCTTAGGTTTTCTGCGTATAAAAGTTGCAGGAAAAGGTTGGAAGTAAAAAATTAGTATAAAAACTTTAGAATTTTAAAAACCTTTACATTAATATGAAATACAAAGTAATAGCACAAAGTATGCAAATTATAAAACGATAAAAATTTATTCAAATATCTAAGAATTCACTGAGATAGACTAATTAAGAAACCTTAAAAATATGAAGTGTCATTAGGACACAAAAGCCGAAGAAGAGTTTTCTAATTTGGATATTTTAACAGATTTTCTGTTCACTTCATAAAAGTTTTTATGATTTAGAAGTTTTTTTACGATTTTTTTATAGGTTTGAGAGAAGAGAAATTTTCTGGCTACAAAACAGAAAATATGAATGATAAGCAAAACTCTGGGAGGATTTGTGACTGACAGAAAAGATCAATTTTTCTTCTTCTCTTTTTTCTTCATACATATAACCTATTGGGTAATGCCTTAATAAGACAGTATTATGTACTTTGCAATCAAAAAATATTGAAATTTGTACTTACACTTGAAAAGAGTGACTTAATAACAGAAAAGAAAGAATATCAAGCTGAATAGAAAATTACAAAAAATGTCGGAATATTGTCTTTCTTTGTACTAACTCAAAAGTAGCAGAGACAGCATGACAACATGTCAAATTTTCTGCTATTTGCATGTTTGCTGTATACAAAAAAAAAAAGATTGAGCTGTCCTTTATACAACATAATCATTGAGAGCGATGCTTTGAATTCATGATACTCGTACAACTAAATCAACTCACCATTTGTGATGTAAAATTCACCAATTTTTCTATCCAAGTTTGCTGATGAAAAACTTGCCCAAAATGAGAAGAGGATTAATACGGCAGGGATGCAAGTACTAAAATTTTGATGGATTCTATACCTAAAAATACTACTAATTTTTAGACATTTTTACAACTGAGAGCCTTCTACTTCAACGAACTACATGAGATATCATGACATCAAGATCTATTTAAATTGGAATGTGTAAAATTATAGATAAAACGAACGAAAACGAAAAACAAAGGGGCAAAAGTACATATGACTTGGGATAGTCAACTTGAAAACAAGTTTTCTACGCCTCCCCCCCCCCCTGTTGTCACTCTTCCCATTATTAAATATATCGCACAAATTTTCACAGTCTTCCACGGCCTTCCCCAATTCTTACGCAAACGGCTGATTGCGTGATTGAGAACATTCTGTATCCCGGACATAAAATATCTAATAATTTCCAATGGTCAGAGAACACTCATGGCTATTGCTGCCCTGGTCGGTTCATTGAAATCGGTGAAAAATCAAGGGCTAATTGGATCGCATTTAGCACAAAGGAACCAGCAGGATTACAGTATTTTCAAAATTGTACAACTTCTCCCTTTCTTTGAAAAATACTTAATTTACATATAGTATTACAATATACACAATTTATTTCTTTTTAAAATTAATACATTTTTGGTAGGAAGCAAAAACTATTTGATATTATGAGAGATTTTTAAGATAATTATGAAAAAGCAACATTTTTACAACACTGTAATAGCTCTGGTTTTTTCTTGCTAAATGTGACTGAATTAATGTACTGCTTCATGCTCACTTAACTTTCCAAATATTTTCAAAACCTTGATAAGTTTTTACCTGTATTCAAAAGTGTAAAATTTGTTCCGTACCAAAATTATAAAAAATTTCGGGATAGTGTCTTGTGATGGAATTGGAGAAAACATATTATATTAGTCAATGCTCAGACCACCAGTTGTCTTCCATTCATGCTTTGGGTGGAGAGAATGGTTTCTACATCCAAGCCTGCATCTTTAACGAGTGAGTGGAAAAGGGACGCTGGATTCTTGAGAAGGTTTAATGGAGAGTCGTACTCCATTATTAGACCATGATCCAATACCAGAACTCTGTAAAAATAAGAAGAAATCCAGGTTAGATTAGATTTTTCTTGAATTCTTTACTAGGTTTTTGAATTCATGCTATTATACAGCCAGAGGTTCTACCGATACGCAATGAATAGAGATAATGGAAAGACCATCTTGTTATCTGCAGCACATGTAAATTTCTTGTTGGCACATGTTCTGACTGATTAGTTTGTAAACGGAATGTGTGAAAATGTAAATGTTACTCTCTGCATACTCGATAAAAGCAATACAATGACTCCTGCACAAAGATTTTAACCAGCACACTTAGGGCCGGCCGTATTCACTTTAGTTTTAAAATGTGATGGGAAAGACACACACATTGTGGTTTTACAGTTATACACATACTTAATTTACACAACTTTGTTTTCCTTGCTTGCCAAAAATTTACCATTTGCGATAGAATTTTGTCCATTTAGAAAAACTGGTTGGCCTGTGTTGGAAAATACCTGGGTATTTCATTGCCAGTAAATATTCGGGATTATACAGGAGGTAATTAAGAGAGTACTCTACATCACAATTCATTTCACTCTAAAGAAATTGTGAGGTTCACAAACTTTGTACTTTGCACACTGTGTAAACTCGTGATTAAACCTGAACACACATTTAAACCTGTAACATTGTAAATTTCTTATCTTAGGTTCTCTATTTTTCAATAGAAAACTCATTAGGAATATTATTTAAAAACTTTGACTTTTTTTCTCTGGGTGACGTATATTTGATGAAAATTTTGACCACTTTCAAAGTTACCAAATCTTGCCAAGATAATGAATATTATCTGAAAATATCTGAGAGAGTTCTCGTCTCCAGGATTTCCCACTTCAACCCTTGGTCATGGTCACGGTCATGGCTCAAGGTTACCGGCTGAGGCTCTATTCACATTCTTTATTTCCAAACATTCAACTTTCCCCAAGAGCCAAGACTCTTATGCCTCTGCATCAGAGAACGTCAGGTATATTCAATTCCTGCAAGGGTGAGAAAAAGGCAGCAGACGCAGGTGCACATAATTCAAAATGAACACTTTGCCCATTGAAACTTAATACTTTCACGGATTCAGACAGAAACAGTTCATTTTAGAAAATTCAGCTAATCTAGACTGCTTGAATTGTATTGTCCTTTGAACATGCATACCTGTCGGAATCCATGATTGTGTTTAACCGATGAGCAATCGTCAATATTGTGCAGTCGCTGAACTCCTGACGGATGGTGGTTTGGATAAGATCGTCTGTCTCTACATCAACAGCTGCTGTTGCTTCGTCCAAAATAAGTACTTTAGTTTTTCGTAAGAGTGCCCGGGCTAAACAAATGAGTTGCCTTTGACCAACACTGAAACATTCAATAAAAATTGAAGAGATTAAGAACTTCCAACTGCTGACTTGCAATACAACATGTTAAAAAAGCTTGAGTTATATGGATAATTGAATTTTTGACCAGTGTGCAATTGTTTCTCTGAAAAATCAGGCAATTTTTTCATTCCAAGTGAAAATCCCATTTTGTAGATATTTTCTCTCCAAGAGATTTGCTCTTCAATACAACAATACAACTGCTCATGACCAATCAGGAAGACAACTGCTGATGTGTTTCGGGTTTCCTGATTTTTTAGAAAATACCGACGTTCACACTCGCCAAAAAATCTGTTGTCTTGGTATGAAAGTTTTTAAGTTAATTAAAGTGTCTAAGACAAAGTAAAGGTACATCACTGAAGGCAATGACTGGTGTGGTAGATTATGTGTGCATCCAATTTGCAAAAGCTCTTCATAATAAAAATAATGCTCATTTTGAAGAAATTTTGAAGAAGAAAAAAATGTTGTTTGAATATTGTTACCAAGTGTTCTTATTTATTTTTATTTTTATTTTTTTTTTTATTTTTTTTTTTTCGTGAATGTTTCCGATTTGACAGTATCTTATATTTGTTATAATTGGACAAAAACTGGAAGAAAAAATGAGACAGAAAAGATCGACCTAATTTTTGATGTTGAAAAATAATTGAACTTAAAGCAACCAAAACCAAGGACAGAATTTAAAGGGAATCTATATGCAAGATAGTTTGTGGTAGTTCACAGAAAATAATTTGGAGGCAGTGCCTTAGTTATCAACTACAGTAGAAAATAGGAAAAACGCACCCTACATGGATTTAAAATCTCTAATGACTGTAATTTTACCTGAGGTTTTCACCACCTTCAGCTATTTCATGCTGCAAACCTGCTGCTTGGGACTTCACAAACTCCTTCAAGTGAGACAACTCTAATGCATGCCATATCTTTGTATCAGAGTAGACTCCTAGCGGATCTAGATTCATCCTCAAGCTCCCAGAGAAAAGAACTGGATCCTTAGAACAAAAGAAAGGAGAAAAAGGAACTGATTTAAGTCTTTAAAAGAGAAATGTCATGGTGGCAAAAATAGGCCCTAAAAAGGGCTTCGAGCCTGTCTTCAGATTTTTTGGGGTCGATTCCCTATTCGCCCTTGTGGTTCCGAACTGCAACTGACCTGAAATAACACAGAAAAAAACCTGGCAAAGGTGGTCTGAATCACTCAGGGTGAGTTCACTTTGGCTTGGAATGCTCTAGAACCAAATCTAACTCAACCCCGCATAACCAAACTTGTCACTAAAATCACAGTCTGTCGCACAATATGATACCCATAGTGCAATCTGGTGGTTCAAGTACCGGTTGAATTATCCTAGTTACTCTCCGTATAGAATAGGACTGAAATATACAATACACAACAGGTAAGTACCTATGCGAATGAAATGACTCTTATTTGGGTAAAAGGGACATATATCTTACTTGTGGGATAACGGTCAGTCTAGATCTGAGTGTGTGGAGTCCAAGAGTAGAAATATCAATACCATCTATATAGATGGCTCCTTCTGCTGCTTCAATGATGCGGAATAAAGCAAGGGTCAATGAGGATTTTCCAGCACCAGTGCGTCCCACAATGCCGACCTACAGGAAGACGAAAAGGTCTCAGATTAGAAGAATTAAGATGTCAACATGGTTGTACAGGAAAAGTCTCAGATATTTAATTCTTAGCTCCAAGGGATCAATTGATAAAAAATGATTTCCTCCAAATGAAAGACAAAACAATGGAAAACAAAATTTAGGAGCTTCTCCGAAAAAGGACCCAAATCTAAAAATAGTGTTTTGAGAAAAGGTTTTTTGGATTTTCATTGAATTCTGTAGCGTATCTGGTACTGAGCATTCTTTTTGCATGTAGACCAGTGATCATCAGCATTGACGATGTGAATGTGATGCACGGTGAAAAACATTACTACTTCTGTCCACCTATGATGTCGCAGACCAAATTTTCTCACTTTAATGTGACAGCATAATTAAAAGGGTCGTTAAGTAAAATACTTTCACCATCCTCCAGAATAATCTGAAAGCTCATCTCCGGAGTATGATACAAAATATTAGCGGTATTTTTAAATGTGGAACCCACTCCACCGCCAGGATTTCTGAATTTTTACTCAGCAAACAGAGAGAGGTCTGAAGTGAAAATGCTTTCAACTCCAGGGATCTATGAGCTTCTGAACGAATGATCCTTTCATAGGAACAGTAGCTCCTAGCCTCATAGCTCCAAGAATTTGTACTTTGATGTAAAACTCTCTATACTCGTTCACGTATTGGACTGCAGACAATTCCACTTCTAGTCTATCCAAATGATCTTGGAAGCGCATTAATTTTTTCTGGATGTATCTGGTTTAAAACTAAATATTTTCTAATTACGTCTCAAATCAAAAAAATCTGTAAAAACCAAGACTCAAGTTAGGAGCAAATTAAAACTGGAAGGGGGAAATTTTTCGAAGATGATTTGAAGGATCATCAAAGAATGTTTGAAGGAAAACGCAGAATCATGTAATAAAGTAACACGTACCTTTTCTCTTTCATTGACAGAGAAATTCAACCCTTTCAGAACCAAATCCAATTCACTCCTGTAGCGAACTTTGAAATTTTCAAACACAATATTTCCTTTTTGGGGCCACTTAGCTGGAGGCAATGTTTCTGGCACATCCCATTTTGCTTCCTGTAAAAAAATCAAACTTTCACCTGAAAAATCTTGACAGAAAAGACACGGTAGGTACCTCAGTTGAGTTATCATTTGTTACAGTTTGCACAACCTAACAATATCTTTAAAATAGCACTATTGCCTTAAAACATACGGCATGAACCTGAATTTGAGTTCAAGCATACATTGACGCTTGTTATAATTATGTCTTCGTTCTGATACGCATCCATAGCATTCTATGGAAATGTTCCGATCCCCACCCAAAAAAGAGTTTCAAAAGATATAGGAAAATATCTCCTCAAGTAATTTTCAATACAGGCAATTAACAGTTTTCTTTCAGCAAGACATGCATCCAGTAACGTAACTAATGGCTGAGAATCATTGAGCACAAATTATGTACATTCAAACTGATGGATTTTTTTTTTTTTTAAACTCTGCCAATTTCAGCCGCAAAAATAAGATAAAAAATAAAATAAAATAAAATAAATTCAAGTACCTCTTGGATTTCAGTGTACTCTTTCACACGCTCAATTGCAACAACATCTGTTTCAACACTTGATGCCATACGAACAAACCAATTCAATGCTCCAGTTACCTACGAAGAAAATTATCAAAGAAAAATTACTTAATTTCATCAAATTAGAAGATTTACGTCCATAAATACATTAAAAAACAGTATTACCTAAAGTAGATTGAAGGTTTACAAATGGTGATAAATTTCATAAGTGTTCGAAATAGAGGCTCGCCATGTTTTCTTGAAAAAACTCTCATAGCAAAAATATAACGAGACAAAAAATTTAAATTTTAACTCTATTCAGATTATTAAAAATGGACAAATGAAAAAAGGGGACAGATGGAAAAAAAAAATACCTGAAGGGCGTAGCTAACAGACAAGCCGACAAGACCAGCTGATAAGCTGCCTCGCGCTAAAACAGCAAAAAAGGCAGCACAAAATATTATCAAGTTACCAATAGTTTCTAATCGAACTGACAGCCATCTAAAAATCAATGAAAAAAACAAACAATCGTATGAGATGTAAATGAGAGTAAATTTGAGACTGAATTGGTCTAAAAAGTTTTTAATTTTATGAACTCCTGGCAAAACTCTTTCACTTTTCTTCCTTTCCTCCAGAGTGAAAAAAAAAATCAAATATCAGAAGCAGGACTAAATTTTTGGTGAGGATTTCAGAGGAGAAACATCCCACTAAGGAAGATTTAACAGTATTTTCTCACAGCTCCCTGACAATTAAAGCTCTTGATAAAAAAAAAATACACATTACCGACAGTCATCTCAAACTTTTGAGAATGCTTCATCGGAATAAAAGTAAAGCCTCTATGAATGATGTTCTTGCTGCCCATATCACATTAAATAGAAATACATATGGTGCAGCACTCTGAGTTAGTCTTTGGCAATTTACCATTTTTACGAAATTTCTACGGTAAAGTAGTTTATGAAATCGACATTCCTAGAGTTAAAACTTAACTTGAAAATAACTACAGTGAAAACTTAATTTGAAACAAACAGAAAAATTCTATGTATAAAATAAATGGTGAGGAACGAAGATAACCTGATTGATATCACAGTTGGATGGAAACAGATTTGGTTGGCATCCATTCTCTTCTCATATTCTTGAATAAATCGGTTTACAGCCCCATACGCTCTGATAACTTGAGCTCCTAAAAAAATCGACTTAAAATGAAGCTTACAAAAATATACCTGGATAACATGAAATAAAATATTTTTTCTCTCTGGAGCTTTAACAAAGAATTGGAGCCAAAGAAATTAACTAGGCGCTGCTTCTTCTACAAAGAATTGATGCATTTCAATGAGCTCAGTTGTAGACATTCAAAAAAAGATGAAATAAAAAGCACTACTCACGTTTATACAAGACTTTCAATACAAATTGAATGTGTCTTTCACGATCTGAATCAAGAGATGCGTATTGAAAACCTTCAAATGAACGCTGTTGCAATGCACATATTCACCTCGGAAAAGGTTTGAACCTATCCAGATAGGAAAGCATGCCGTATCTTAAGATTCGCATTGAAATAACGTGCAAACACAAGAACCTGAGCTTAATGCGATTTGAAGAGAATTTGGCTTTTCCGAAAAGCACTTTTCTATAGCCTTCATTGTGAGATACCCTTCCAACCAGGGTTCAGATGAGGGCACACTTTTCAGATCCCAATTCAACCAGATTAGATGAGGTATTCATTAGAATCAAAAAGTTGTATGAACTATCTTTTTTCGATTTAGTTGAGTTCATATTTTGTAACTTATATTGATAGTTTTGCATTGAATGTGCTCGTATAAAGGAAGCTCATGCATCAACTGAAAGTTTCGCTGGCTTAAAGGGAAATTTTCCATATAAGGAGTAGAATAAGCATTCATTTGAACTCTTTTTTACAAATTATGATTGATTGAGTGATCTTTACCTTGTTCATTTTCAAAGGAGAGATTTAAGAAATTTTGAAGCTGAGCAGGAAAATTTATTTGTAATACGCGAAAAAAAACAATTTACCTAACACGGAAAAAAAGAGTTTGCATTGGAGCTACAAGGCAAATCAGTGAATTGACATCACCTGACTTTTTTGCATTCCACACCTGCCAGATAGGGCTGAACACAAACCGGGATACGCTGCAGCCATTAACCCAAAAGTGTGGGGCGTAAAAAAGCTTAGTTGATGCCCACTAACCCATAGAGAAAAAAAAGGAGGTGTTTGCATTTCCGGCATCTTGGAATTTTTTGATGATTCGATGACGTAGGTCGGTACAGCGACGTTTAGCGTGAAGGGGACGTCGCTGTACAGACCTACGTCATCAAATCATCAAAATATTCCAAGATGCCCAAAATGCAAACACCTCCTTTTTTTTCTCTATGCCACTAACCCCCTTTTTGTGTCTCTGACACAAACCATTATCTCCGTAAACAATGCATCATCCCTTCAATGATGTAAAGGAGCATCTTACCTGCAACAGTTTCACTGAAGTGGGAAAAAATTGGAGACCGCGAAATGGACTCTAATCTTTGTAGCTGTCGTGATGTGGCCGTGTAAAACCTCTGGTGGAAACAGAAAAAAAACTTATGAATACTATGAGTACAAAATGATCAGTTGCTGCTGAGCAAATCAAGCTTATTTAGTTTAGTAATTTAGTGGCTACATTCCAGAGTGAGCTTTAAAATTTCATGACCACTGATTTGAGAAGAGTCAAAAAACGATTTTTTCGACGAATTTCATGAAATCATGAATTTCATCAAATCAACATGAATGCTTGATTTATACACTGTAGTCCAGTTCTGTGTTATTCGAGAGACAATTTTACGAAATAAGAACTCGCATTAAGTAATAGCACCATTGCACATAATAGTGAAAGATTATGTAATATGAGGACTTGGCAAAATTTTCTTACAGTTTATCTTCCCTCCACTAATGATTTTATTGCCATAATTACATCTGCTATTAAACAATGCTTTGAAAAGGTTTTGAAACCTTGCTTTATGTTCTTTCATTACTTTATGTGAAAGAAATTCAAAAAAAGGGGCCGAGAAAGTAGTTTTCAAGGAATACTTCTAAAGAAGAGAAATCTTCTTTGAACCAATGAGAGAATCAAAGGGGTAGGGGGAACTTTTTTCCTTTTCTTTTTACGCTGTCTCGACTTTGTATGAACTTTATTTTGACTTTATGAGCTGAGCTTAACTTTGATTAAATAGAAACATTTTGTAACACCAGTATCAAGAATTTTGGAACAGCCACAGTAACCTCTAGCTGTATAAAAATACGGAACAGACTTACCTGAAGAATGTAGTAGAGTATAACTAGAGGCACAATGCACCATAAAAATGGAGGTGTGGCATAGGTGATAATGAACAAGACCCCTATCACCTGGAACCAAGAAGAGGTTTTTGCATGGAGTTTCAAGTTTTTAAAAAATTGAAAAATATAGGCAGAGAAATAATAGGCCGAAACACAGAACTGCGTTTTTTGGGTATAAAATATGCCTAAATGATTTCAAACCTGACCATCTCTTACGCAGACGTCTAAAAGCCTATTTGGAACAAGAAAATTTCACTTTTGACCCAAAGATGGGGGTAAGGTAGGTTATAGCAAAGCTGGTTTTGAGGCGCTGCGCGCAGCAAAATGATCTTATTTGACAGTTTTTCATCAATCTAAAAACAGGTCTTCCAAAGTTGAGGAGGCTAATTTGTGTCAAAACTTGTTAGACAATAATGTAAAATAGTTTTTTCTAGCCCTTAAGAACTATTTTGGACCATTTGCATTGTTACCAAAATTACTCAAGCCTGGAAGGAAACTAGTGTATATTTTATTGTATACTTGAGTGAGTTTGGCAACAATGTAAATGGTCAAAAATAGTTCTTAAGGGCTAGAAACAACTATTTTACATTATTGTCTAACAAGTTGTGACACATATTAGCCTCCTCAACTTCGGAGGACCTGTTTTGAGATTGATGAAAAATCTAGTTTGACATGAAATTCTACCACCAAACTGCAAAAAAAATTCCGGTACAATATCCATTAAGAATCCGATTAATCTGGAGAAATTTAACTTTGAATTTGTGAAAAAATGGCAGGAACGTGGAAGAACCCAGTTAATTGCATGACTGATGAATCGAAACTTTTCTTTAGTTTGATAATACAGATACTGATTTTGATTAATTTTTACAGAGTCACTGAAAATTCTTACCTCCATAACACAATAGAGAGTGTCAGATATTTCCATGGGTAATTTATTATCCATAGTGTCTACATCTTTTGAGAAGCGGGAAAGGATTCGTCCAATAGGGGTTGTGTCTGTGAATGTGAGAGGAGCTCTCAAGATACCATGTAACAGGTAACCATGAAGAGCCCGACTTGCTTTCACACACCCAATTCTTGGTGCAAGATCAGCTACAATTGCACACAGACCTAAAAAATACGACAAATAAATAAATAAAATCACTCCAAAAAAACAGGAATTAGGTATGAAACCAGAATCCCCAAAAGTTGAAATGCTTGATATTTCTATACTGAAAATAGGATGACAAACGTGTATAGTTTCTTCTTCTTTCAACATTGTTAATTCATTATTAAATTATCTGTGATTATCATAAAAGAGAGCAAGAAGTAATCTACAGCACACATACAAAGCTTTGAAGCTGAACGAGGGGTTTCAAGCTAGGTGCAGGTGAGTACAAAAAGAGTTATGAGATGTCCAAGTTCAATGACTTGGATGTCAAGTTTTTATATTTATTTTTTTTAAACAAATTTTTCTTTCTTGTTTTTCTTTTTTTACATTTTTTCAATTTTTTTTTTTATTTTTTTTGTGGGAAATCAACACTTTTCCAACATTCCTCAACTTAAATTTTGCTCCAACAACTTTTAATTTTAAATCATGAACAAGAAATGCTTAGTTTGACTCCGACAACTTTTAGCATTCAATTTTGATTAAAAACAAAAAATGCTTAATCTCCGACAGCATAAAAGAGACCCATTACAGACTATCAATGAACCAAAAATTTGATTTTAACTGTCATTCATAAAAAATGCAGTTATTTAACGAGGTCTCTGCCGTAAATTTTTTAGGTATGAACTTTTTTTTACACAACCGAGAAACTCAATTGAGGAGAGTTGGGTGTGGGCAAAGAAATCAGGTCTGTTGTCAGCGCCACTACTGGTTTCAGGCTTGTTAGCGATCATCAGATGTGCATAGACAGCCAGCAAGTTCCTCGGTCGTACCCATACCTAAAAAATTAATGGCTGATACCTTGTTAAAAAACTGCATTTTGTATCAATGAAATTTGAATGTTGCTGGTCAAATTCTGAATTTTGCATACATGCTGTGTTATGATTTCTCTTTGATGATCTCCAATGAAAACCTGTTTGTTCTACTCTTCATCTAATTGATACAACAAATTTGATACAGAAGTGAAGCATAAAATACTTATTCCAATTTTATCTCAAAACTTCCAATTTTATTTCATAAATGCCCTGGGAGGTTTCAAAATCTTGGAATATATTATGAACTTGAATATTACTAGGATTTAAAAAAATCATGTACCTGCGGAAAGTCCTAGAATGGCGTAGACTTCAAGAAACCAATTTCTTTCTTCTGGATCCTGTGATCCATCTGGTAGAGTATTATTTCGAGACGTCCATATAGACAGCCAAAGATTTGACCCAACGGCGCAAACTTGGAAAAGTAGGGTAAAAGCAAATGCCAGGAAAACAAAGAGCCAACCCATTGCTCGCATGTAATGGGAGAAGACAGACCATTTTATCTACACACAAAAAAACCGCACAAATTTATAATATGTTTCCATGGGCAAAACTTAAAATAGGAACGAGGAAATTAAGATAGAAATATCACCACTATACATGGTGATTTTTAGAGCTGATTTTGTTGGATATGAATGTCTATGTCCTATGGGCTGCAATGCACGAATCAAAATGAGAATTGTAAGAGGCAATTCACAGACTGAATCGAATTTACTGTGAAACCAGTAATTTTTACAGGTTGAAGATTTATTCCATGTTCTGGACTTCCGGACTTAGAATAACATTGGAAAATAGACCCAAAAAGTGTGTCCATCTACAATGTTAACATAAGGATGTCTTGAATTTTTATCAATTACACCTAGAAAATATTATTCATACAAAAATATAGTCACTTTCTGAGGCATTGTTGTAGCAATTATACAGCTCTAGGTCTATTCTAGACCAAATAAGCGGCACAGACTATGTTCTGCTTCCTCACTTGGCCCAAAAAACTGTTGGTAAAATGCAGATTTTTTTTTTTCTTCAAGAGGACAGAACTGTCATGCTCTTATTAAAAATTTCCATCATCACAGACAATGAGGAGTGAATGTTCTTGATACTAAGGCCAAAATGACTTGGGATCAAAGGGCAACAAAGAAGTAAATACAATTCTAGTTACGTCATAAAATTACCAAAAGTTCAGCAGTGCTGATCAACACTGCTTGGCTGCCATGATAACGGAGTGCAGCTCACAGCACAATGCTTTGAGGTAGAATATTCTCTCAGCATAGTCAGGATTCCTTGAATTTTTCTTAACTATCCTCTTTTTTTTTTATAGCTTACTAGAATTTTAGAGTTCAACGGTATGCTTTCCTGATCAATCTGAACCATGCAAACCATTTGCAAAGTGATCAGCGGTAAAGTGTTTTATACCGGCCTATTATTGTCCCTTCTTTCTTTGATTTTTGTTCTACTTCAATCATATAGCTCCATTTTCTGAGCCTCTGCCTATGTCTCTTGACAACCTCATACATCCCCTATTCTCATTCTCTTTCGTAGAATACTACTCGTTTTCTCACTTCTCGTCCTGACGGCTGCCTTTTTTTGTTGCTTCACTGTAGTATCATCGGCTTAACGTACACTGTCTTCACTTTTTTCCTTTCAACCAGTTTTTCCTGGTTGCTCGGCCAAACGGCTTCATTGCTACCTTCAGCAATAGGAAAAAAATGACACAGGGGTCACCCGCTCTCAACTCAGTCCTATCGGAAAGTCATACATAGTAACTTCACTGATTGCATTACATCTTATGAGGCCCCAGTATGTCATAAAATTCATTTCCATTCCCTGAACTTAAGAAAACCAGAAAAATCACTAGAATTTAAGATTTTCACAAATCCCATTTTTCTAAGGCCTAGTTTTCTCACCTTAAGTTGCGAATTTATCTTCTAGTTGAAAATATAAGAGCAAACTCCTCCAACTTAACTATTGTTACTTTTCTCTTGTTTTCTTTTAAACTTTGCCTAATATACATAACACAAAAGAAAGATTCCTACGATGGAGAGTTGCGTCAAAGAGTGATAAGTCTTTCGCACAGATATGACAATACAACTTATCAGTGGCAAAGTTTTCCACACCAATAAATTTTTTAAAGGATAGCGTTATTTGGCGGTACGGAACCGTTGAATAAAATGTTTAACCGCCAAATAACGTTTCATTCGACGGTACCGTATCGCCAAATAACCACTTGGTTTTTTACATGCGAAAATAAAGAGAAAAGACAAAAGAGAGGATAGAAATTAAACGGAATTCTCAAACTTACATTTCCTGTCATGGCTATTTCTTCGTCAATTATCTTGTTCCTCCTGTCATCATCCTGCTCCACAAAATTAGATCCTTCTTCGTACGAAAATTGCCTAAACATAAAGAAAGAAAAGTGTGACAATAAAAGTACTTCAATAATCAAGAATACACAGTCTAGGTGCAAGAAAGATGATTCATCGACACAATAAAGTACTTAATTGATAGCGACCGGTTTTTGCTTTCCACCCACCTCTTTTATACTTTAATACTAATGCAGACGCAATTCAACAGTGCAACAGCTAATCAACAATAGGGTGGAAAAGTGACTAGCTCATGAGATAATAATTATATTGCTGCTTGAGATAAACTGCAGAGAATGTAAATTCCTAAAACTTATTTAAAGGAGGAAACTTTAGTTTCCAATTTTGATGACCCTATGTTCCCATACAAATACTTCTCAAGTGCTGTTTAGTTTAGCGATCCTTACAACAAACCTATAACATAACGAAACTTAGAGGGAGAGAGAGGGGGAGAGAGAGAGAGAGAGAGCTCTGACAGCTCTAAAGAGCCTTGATTTCAAAACTTCATTTTTACAAAATGCATTTATATCATGGTTCTAACTGCGTGACATCGATAATTCAATCAAACACCCCTGATAGAAAATCAAATTTTAGGAGAAGAAAGTCAGAAAACCTTGATTGTTTTTTTGGGAGGGGGGGGGAGAGATGGTTGAATTATTAATTTTCGATGTATACTTAAGTAATCAGAGACAAAAGAATGATAAAGACTTACCGTAAGGACAAGGTGGATCCTCTTTCACTGGCACTATGACTTCTTTTACGTAACAAGGCTGGAGAAGAGGGACGTGATCTATCTTGGACTCTTTGATACACAAGTGGAGAGGACGGTCGCGATATGTCTTGCGTTCCTTCTGCTAAAACATTAAACAATACCCGTGTCAATACTAAAAAGGACAAAAGAAGAGTTAAAATTTATTCACTCAGCTAAGTGCTACAGAGATGCAGTCTTTTTTCAATGTTGTATAACTGGCCCACTAACATAGGTTAAAATATGACCTATGGCCTAATGACTGAATAAGTCAACATGTGAGTGAATTTTCATCAGCATAACAAGGTTTTTTAGCTCTTGAGTGCTATTCAAAACTCTATTAGTAATTGGAACAAGAAAGCTTTCTATTCAAGAGCTTCTACTGAGTTTCTTAGAGTTTCCGTGACTGCCTTCATTTAGAAAAACCCTCTTGAGAGAAGTTCAAAATTTCCTGATGTAGAAGGAAAATTTTTTCTTCAATGGCATAGTGATGGAGTGTAATGTCTCAAATTACTATTAAATCATTGAAAGGCTTGTGCACTTATGTGAATTCAAAATGTTTTACTTCCATTCCATTTTAATTTAAACTGAATAATAGTCACCTGGTTTATCATCATTTTCACTCTCCAACATGTGGGTTTGAATGAACTCGGCAAAAGCGCCTTTCTTGTCAATGAGCTGTTTGTAGGTTCCTTTCTCTGATATCATTCCATTTTTCAAGACATATATCTCATCCACATCTGGTAGATAGGTCAATCCATGAGTGACAAGGACCCGTGTCTACAGAGGAGAGGAAACATCGTAAGACAAGAGCAGCATAAATGGGAAAAATAAAAATACCCAAAGGCATCAATTTTTCTCACTGTTAACCTACATTTAATGATATCAAGGGCTAAATTTAAAATAGATTTCTAATTTTGGGAATGAACTACAAAGAGGACTAAGGGAGCAACGTATACCTTATGATTTTTTTGCTATAAAATTCATGCTTCATTAAATTGTCTACAAGGATAAAAGAAATTTTTTTTTTTTTTTTATACAATTGTCTTAGAGAACATCGAAAACCAATGCAGTAACTCTAAAAATAAAAAAGTAGGCATATAGATTGTGCTTGATCGCCTGATCAGTGAATTGCAGATGGCAAAGTGTGACCAATTTGCACATCGGAACGAATGCGGAACAGTGTAGCAATTGAAGTATACCTACGACGTTGAGGGCACCATATGTAATGCAGGCAGGTCCGACATTAATTGGCCGCGATAATAATTCAAATCACTAGCGTCAGCGAATGAAAGTTTTTAGAAATGCATCCTTTTTGCTAGAACACTGCAAGTGCTTTGATAAGGATAAACATGTATAAATTGCTGCTCACACACTGATTTTTGCATAAATTACTAAAGCTGCACTAATTTCTGTAGATGTTATCTAGATTGCACTTATTTTCTTGTTGAAGTTACTTTGAACTTCCTGATTTTTTTGTCAAAATTACCTTGACTGCTAGAATCAGTCAAACCGCTCTGTATAACAGCCGAAAGGAAAATTTGTGTTTTACTGGTGAAAGCAACCACTGAAGAACTTTCTGCACCCCTGTAAAAAAAGCATTGATTGCTCCATGGTTACAACTTTGAAACTTAGACACCATCTTCAAGAAATAGGATAACTTATTTTGAGTTAATTCTATCAATAAAACCTGATGAAAACTACTGAAAACTCACTTTATTCTTAAGAAGTCCCTGAGGTCCGATTACATTCTCAAAAATGTGCTTGCCCACATGACTATCCACTGCACTTAAAGGATCATCAAGAAAATATACATCAGCATCACTATACACAGCTCGAGCTAAACTGACTCGTTGCTTTTGTCCTCCACTTAAATTTATACCCTGCAAGAAAAACATATTTTCAATTATTAATTCATACCTCTCATCGCACTAAAGGTGACACACAGCTAAAAAAGATCTTGTGAGGACAAAACACTCTAAGTTTTGAAGATTAACTTGCTTCGGACACAATGGGTCAGTTGCACTCATCACAGAATCATGTTTTGATGCTTGATTCTTGTAGATCAGCTAAAAATAATATGATCTGTCCAAACAACAACTTTCTACATTCAATATTAGCCAAAATATCGACCTTTGAACAGTCGGGTTTATGACGTCATCCACCGCGGTAGTGACACCTTCGGTTTCTTCCATCTTGCTTTCATCCGAGTTTTACATTGAGTAACTGGTGCAAATGTGTGTCACACTGACTGATGAAAGCAAGGTGGAAGAAACCAAGGGTGTCACTACTGTGGTGGATGATGTCAAAAACCTGACTCCTCAAAGGGCGATATCTCAGTTAATATTGAACGTAGAAAGTTGCGGTTTGGACAGATCTTATTATTTTTAGCGAATCCACAAGGATCAGGTGTCAAAACACGATTCTTGACCAGCGCAACTGAACCATTGCCTTGGTTAACTAATGTTTACAGTGTTAACATTCAATAGCTCCATTTTTTCTCTTGGACAGCTTAAAAGCATCCCATGATTTTTAATTATTTCAGATTTTATTTTGAGGAAGTTTTCATGATGACCGCCAAACAAATGTATGACTAAGCTTACTTGGTATCCACATTTGTTGATACATATGATCAATAAATTTATTTAGAGGTATTCTGGTTTTTTTCTGTAATCAAAGGAAGATAGGTTTACTTTCAGGAATAGTCCTACTGGACATGTGTTGGAGGTTCAAACATTTTAAAGTGAAGTGTTTTTAGTTCCAAAATGTGCAATCAGATGATTTAATTCTATCAATGATGGATCATGAAATACAGGGTCTTTCCAAATGAGATTTGCATCCTTTAAAAAAAGGAAATAGTCATGATGTTGAGGCAATATTGTGTGCATACCATTTCTTTTTAAATGCTATCTAGTAGACATTTTCTCTACTTTTAATTACAGAACATTTATTGAAAAGTTAGATAAACGACACTGACTTTTTCACCAATCTCTGTTTGGTCTCCACCTGGCAACAACGCAAAATCACTCCTCAAGGCACATGCTTTGATGACCTTATTGTATGTTTTGTAATCATACTCCTTCCCAAATAGAATGTTTTCACGAAGAGTTGCATTTTGAATCCATGCTTGCTGAGTAACATATGCAATGGAACCCTGTAAAATCAAAATAAAACTTTTAAAAAAATGCCTTGAATTTGACCTTAAAAAGTTTAAATTAAACCTCTCAAAAGACAAGAAATTTAAAAAACCAGAGAGGATGGAGCTAAAAATATGTGAAATTTGAAATAAGAGGAGGAACTTCAGATCTATTAGGAAAATTTTAAATGCGATAGAAGACACTCTGATCTTCCATAATTTGATAAAATTTGATTGCCTTGAGAGCTTGTTGCGAAAGCGACATTTTCACCCCCTCCTCCTCTGAATTTTCTTCAAACCTCGTCTATTGATTACTCATTCTTGAGCCCTTCTAATCCCAAATTCTTAGACTCTCAAAATTTTGAGATGAAGACCCTGTTTTCATTGAAAATTATTTGAAATAGTCTACTTTTAGATCCTTGGCGAGGAAATCCATAAATTTGATTTTTCACGCTATGTTTGAAGTATTTTTTCAGTTATCGTATTGAAGAAATTTATTTCATCAGAGTGAACAAAAATATTGCAATTTTTTGTCTAAACCAAGAACATCTATTATGAATTGGCTGTCATTTTTTGTACCTCACAGGTGATGGTGGCTTCTAAGGAAAAAAATAGTTGGGGAATTATGAAGAATTGAAGTTGAGGATAAGCGAAAAGCGGGCAAATGTTCCAAAATCTGAGGGCCCCGGACAGCTCCAAGAGGATCTTATCAATCTGTTACCTCTGAGAAAAAGAGGTTTTAAGCTTTGTTCTCCCACAAGACTAGATGTAAAAAATAAAAATTAACCTCTATTTTCTTCCTTGAATAAAATTTTTTTTTTTTTCAGCTTCACATGGTTGACACGAAAAAATACCTGGAAAGTTGGGCTTAAAACTATTCCTTGCTCAGTTTTTGCCACCAATAAGGATTGGTCCTCTCTTGCTTAATTTGTTCTAGGTAAGGGTGAAAAGCTGTCATTTTACAGGAAAATAACTTAAAATTAGTCTTCAAACCTTTGTGTTCACTCTCCCGCTGATGAGATCCATTTCACCTAGAAATGCTGCAAGTAGTGAAGATTTTCCACAACCAACAGTTCCAACGACTGCGACAAGAGACTTATCAAAAATCTTGATATCTATATCATGTAGGACAGGCACTGATGTTCCCCATCCAAAATTTCCTTTTTCGATTACCAGAGGCTCCTCTATAAACATACATCCAATCAATTTTAAAGTTTTAAAGGGGATTTGTAGTATCAGATTAGTGACCACTGAACCAACGTTATTTTTCATTTTTCTTTTCTCTTCAAATATATTTATTTTATTCCAAGTCTTCATTTTTTTATTTGATTTCAAACATCATTTAAAACACAATGTAAATTTGTTAATTTGTAAAAAGGGATTCAGACCAGCATCATTTAAGACAGCTGTAAATAAAAAAACATCTCATAAAATATACCTTCAAAAATAGTTTGCATTTAAAAGATGTTCTGAGAAGAATACTAGGAATGGACCAGTTGTAAACTTCAGTTAAAGCAAGAAGAGTTGTTTCTCACTATAAATGGCTGAAAAATCATGATGAGTCACGTAAAAGTCTGAAGTACACTCCTAACTTCATAATCTGCGTAAGAAATATGCGTTTTTTAAAGCTTCTCGCTTCAAAAACAATACTACAGCACACGTGAACGTTTCGGAAGAAGAATCGTTCCAACTCCACTAGGCTGTTCTAAGCTCCATTCTTGCCCACTGGAAAGCTATAAAATATTCGACAAGACTGATGCTTCCGCATGTAAATTGTAAGGAAGCACCATGGCCTTTATCAACACAAGGAAAATGTAAAAAAACTGCCAGTTGATAAAATCCTGTCTTATCAAGTGTGTTGGCCAGTTGCATTGGCCATGTTGAATAATATTACGTATCATCTCAAGGCACAAGGGTTGGATGGAACAAATCCTCTTACGAAATGTTCAACTGTGCTGTAGTATCGTTTTTGAAAGGGGGAGCTTAAAAAATTGCATATTGTGAAGTTAGGAATGTATATCAGACTTTCCTGATGAACTCATTGTGATTTTTTAGCCATTTTCTATATGAGAGAACTCTTCTCCTCGCTGTGGTTGAAGTTTGCAACACGCTCATTTTACACAAAAAGATAGTGATAGGAGGGAAATACAAACAGATAGACGGGCTTTTCAAAACTATGTAGACAATAACACATTTTTCAAAAATGGATGTCCCTTGAATTTTCGATACAACTAATAGAGCTACTGTTTGAGAATTCATTGATAAATTTGAGAATATAATTTCTAATGGTTTCAGAAAAAAAATCTTACTTTCAGAGGCAGAATGTGTCACACAATTCGGGTCCAATTCATCAGAGTTCATAAACTTATTTAATCTTCTAACAGAAACCATTGTCTGAAAAACAAAGGCAAGAAAAGGGAAAAATAAAATTGGGATTAAATCGAGAAGATGAATTCAAAATTCAAAATTGAAAAAATCCCAAAATTAGGTCCACTTCAGTCGATAAATACCTCTGTTACAGGCAAATATATGCAACAAATTTGTTTTGGTCGAGCTGAGTCAGTCACTGTGTCAAAATCAGTCAACAACTTACTTTACATCTAAGTACATCATATTTAATAAATACTTCTTGAGCATAACCTGGATAAACTTACACAAATATCCATCTTCTCGCGTTTCTAATGACTGTGGCCATACATTGAGATTTGGTAGGGTTTAAATTATGGGTCATTTTCTGTAGAAGAGGGGAAGACCCCACCCATATTTCAACCATGCAGTGAATCTTTAATTTTTGTACAGTTACTACAATGAGAATGATTTAGTGACTAAAAGAATCCATTACCTGGACAAGATTGGAGATCATGTTTGGCAACATGACAAGTGGGAACTTGAGAATATTGAACAACGCCACTGTTGCAAAAGTCTTTTCTGCATCTAATGAGTGCTCATCGTCAATGAATAAATAAACACCAAATGTTGTCAGTGCTACCTGGAAAAATTTAAACGCTTTTTTAACCTTGTCTAATATTATTTGAGATGCATATTCATTGGAACCTGTACATTCAATGAATTCTATTTGATATTTTACTCCAATGAGTAAGATAGATTCCGGAGACCGGAGTAGAGATACTCTGGTGAAAAGCATCAACTACTTCATATTTGAAGTAAATGGCTGACTGACAAGAAGTTGAGTGCTTAGAATAGTAAATGGTTCAAGTCAAGAAACTTACAAGAAGTGGTGCACAAGACCAGATGAAGGCAGTTGTTGACCCTAGGATTGCGAGTTGTTTTAGTGTGTTCACCTCCTTCATTCGAATCTTCTGGATGTGCTTTTCAAAGCTTGTTTCCCATGCATACAACTTCAGCACCTAAATAATTTACATAAAAAAAGAGAGAAAATTATATCTTTAAAAAAAATAAAGATCAAGTTTGCACAATGTCATCCTTCTTTTATACGGAATTCGTGCAGGACAAATTTCTCCGATGTGTCATCAGAAATCAGTTGGCCCTCTGAATTCCCGGAAAAAGGTCTGTCGTACATAAGAGATACAGATTAATGAATGTACTTTTCGAAGGTAAAACCTTCCAAAAATCACGATGAGTGTATCAAAATTGTGAAATCCACTCCTTGACTTAAAAGGAGGGGTATCGATAAGGGCCTTTTTTGGTCCCCCCCTAGAATCTGGAAATTTATGCGGGTTTTCCAAGTTTACTCAATGTAGTTTGCGGAAATAATCATGATTTAGCCCATAGGCCACTGGATACGTGTTAAACGGTTGCCTAAACATAGGTCTGCAGGCGTATTTTGGCGGAAATTCGTGTTTTTCTATCACTCCGAGGCTTTTTTGACACCGAGTGCAACGTCTGACTAAAACGAGCTCTTGACATGTTATCAAAGAGGCTTTAGGACACATTTTAACCCTAGTTTGGTTTTAGTTAGATGATGCGCTCATAGTAAAAAAAAACTTTTTCAAAAATCGACGTTTAAAGGACATTTGCAAAAATCTTAGGGAATTACGTCGTTAGGGTTTTTTTTTGGCTACAATTAAAGAAAATCTCCTTGTAAGGGTTTAACAAGGCTTGATAACTGCCTTCAATAATAAACGTGTTGTGCATATAGTTGGAGAGACGTGTTCCCTAAGATTTTTGCGGATGTCCCTTAAACGTCGATTTTTGTAAAAAGTTTCTTTTAACTATGAGAGCATCACCTAACTAAAACCAAACCAGGGTTAAAATGTGTCCTAAAGCCTCCTTGATAACATATCAAAAGCTTGTTTTCGTTAGATGATGCGCTTAGTGTCAAAAAAGCCTCGGAGTGATAGACAAACTTGAATTTCCAGTAAAATACGCCTGCAGACCTATGTTTAGGCAACCGTTTAACACGTATCCAGTGGCCTATGGGCTAAATCATGATTATTTCCGTAAACTACAGTAAGTCAACTTGGAAAACCCGCATAAATTTTCAGATTCTAGTAGGGGGCCAAAAAAGGCCCTTACCGATACCCCTCCTTTGCTCAGTCCACACCAGGAATTTTCAAACTGCCCACATCTGTTGCCACGTTTTTCTTCCGTGTTGGCAACCGGGTTTGTCCTACGAGAACTGTAACAAAACCTAACCTACATAGAGAAACAATATTACAAACTGTTATCAGTTTTTCTTTTGTCTGATTTCTGACCTTTTTGAGCAAAGGTTTTCTCCTTTCATTAAAAAATTAGGCAAATTCATATGGTTTAAAATGACAGAAATCATATACTTTACTTTAACTTTTTTATATATACTTTTAATTGTATTTTCACTAAAATGTGGTCTTACCTCGTTATGATATTTCTCAAAATAACAATTTTCCGGAAACAAAATACATTTTTCCGAGTCCCAACCAGTTGTTTTTTGTCATCGCAATTCTTAAACTAATGCTTTGCTGGAAACGATATTCTACTTTCAATTCCCGTTCGAAAAATTAATAACAAGATACGACTGCATACATTTTTCGAATAGGTGTTAGAAAAAAGAAAAAGTGAGTTATAATACCTACTTTGATTCCAGATAAAATCTCATTCATTAATTTGATACGTTCATCCTTGTATCGCATTTGTTTCATGGTCAATGCATCACTTTTCCTTGCAATTGGAATATTGATCAAAATTACTAGGATCATCACAACTAAACCTCCCAAGACAGATGGTCCTGAAGAGCAAAATTTGGAAAATTAATCAAACCATCAATGAGAAATTAACTAATTTATGGTAAAATCAAAAATGTTAGTACATTATTGTCTCATGGTCTCACTTGGTTGTCAAGCAGCAGATACATTTTAATCCAAAAATTTAATTTGCAATAGGACCATAGTAGATCTTTTCATAGAAAGGATTATTTCAGAAGATGATCAACCCTTCAATACAACACTTAAAACCTTAACAAATTGTTTACGTTCAGACTTTGACCCCTTCTTTTAATGACATTTTCTGCCTGCTACGCCTGGCAGTTTGAGGGACCAGGAGGGCAACAGAACATGATCTCTAGAACAATATCCATGCTCTTATCTACTGGGCAAAAGGTCGAAAACGAGTTAACATGTCTATGCACAGTTGTCCTAGGACAGCACTGACTACATGCACGTAAAAGGGTTAATAAAACAAACATAGGATGAAAAATATAGAACACTTTCCTGAAATCCGCTGACAGCCAGAGCTTCTTGTTTTAAACCTACGATTTGCACACTGGAGTTCTGGTGTTGCAATGAATCAATGCCTAACTGGCTCATTAATAAGGTAACAAAAAATTATTCTCATACTGAGGAAAGATTTGCCCATGGGTATTTTAAGTATGCATGGGCACAAAAGATATTAATAACTTTTCTGAAACTAGTGTAATTTTCTCAAAATTGTTTGTGAAAAGAAAATTCTTTCGACAACTCGGTTTAGTATAGCCTTGTAAAATGGTGGGTTAGAAATTGGCTTGCAAATGCACATGTCTAGAAAGTCACCTTGGATAAATCAGAGCCAATCTACTTAAAAGCATTGCTAAAATCGCATGAAATTGAAATTAATTTTTTTACAATAGGCGATGCATTTTTAGTACCAAAATTGTCATCTTTCCATTGAAAATCCTCCTGACCGCTGATTACTTTTCTAATGTCTATTTACAAGAGCTTGCGGTGTGTCTATTGTACTGTATCAGTTTTTGTAATAAAATTGTTTGTAAATAATAGAGGATGTTTTCACCTAAAATCTCCCACAGGAAAAAGACAGCCAGAGATATCTGCAATGGTGCAGACCAAAGCAAAGATAGGTGAGGCATTAGTTCCATAAATCGTTGCGCATCAACAGACATAAGATTCACAATTTCGCCAACTGTTGACTCTTTCCGAGATGCATTGGATATATTTAAGGCCTAGATAAAAGAAATAAGACCGACAGGAATTATTTAAATTTTAGACTTGAGAAGTTCATAATTATTTGGCTTTAAATATTCAATTAAGTATAGACATTTTGCTAACTTAGTATGATTACCTGTATAAATTATTTTATTTGAGTGGCAATTGTAAAGTAAAACCTTAAAAGAATTTGGAACAAAATATTTCCAGCAACATCTTGATACTGTTCTAAGGTTGAATTTTAAGTCAAGTACCAAGCTTTCGGCAATTATTAATTATTAAAAGAACAAAGGCAATTTATTAATTATTGATCACTTTATTTAACTGTAGTTAACACGTTGACTGCCACGCCGGTCGTATCGACCGGCCTCGAAGGGTTCTGCCGGGGCCACGCCGGTCGTTTCGACCGGGACCCGCTCGCTCGCATTACTAGGCTACTGTGAGGCCAGCGACCGGCGGAGCCGTGTATACGCTTATGGCTCACGACCGGCATGGCCCCAGCAAGAGAATGCACCACTGAATTTTTTTTTTTTTTGTTTTTTGTTTTTTTTGGGGGGGGGGATTTTTTATTTTTTTCATTTTCATGGATCTTTTTCTTTATCATCTTTATTTATTAGTACAATAAAATTACAATAGTGTTGTTTTCTTTGCTTAATATTAGTTACAAACCTTAGAAATTGTACGCATTTTGAAAAATAAATTAAAAAATGGGAATAACAATGGGGGGGGGGTTTCTCTTTCAACTTTAATTTTCTTTTTCGCTATTTTTTTTTGTTTTAAATTAGAATATAATTAAAATCGTTGGTTTTTTACCTCAATATTAATTTTAGACCTTTAAATTTTGGCACAACTTGAAAAATAAATTTTAAAAAAAGGAGGAACATTTTTTTAGGAGGGGGGGAGGTAGGGGTAAAAAGGTAAAATACAGGGTGTTCGAAAAGTCCCCTCCCCCCTCCTAACTTTTGACCTAATTGAGGTAGAGATTTGAAACTTGGAGGGTGTTCCTAGATCAAAGGGAGCTAATTTTTGAACCCCCCCAAAATTTTGGGGGGCCCCCCTTGGGGAGGGGGGGGGTTACGGACCCTACCTTTTTTTTCAAATGGGAAGACCCCCTTTGTGATACCTCGTTCGAAAGAACATAAAAAAAGAAATTTTTTCGCGCAAACCCGAAGTCATTATCTTAAACCGTTTCAAAATGGCGGCCGGTCAAAGTTAAAAATGGCCGAAAATTTGACAAACTCGATTTTTTGCCAATGGATTCACCTGAAATTCGATATCTGCGGGTATTTGGGCACGAGAAAAACGAATTTGACGTTAGATTTTTAAAAAAAACCCTAATTTTTCAAAATGGCCGCCGATTAAAGTTCAAAATGGTCAACAATTGGCAACCTCGACTTTTTGCCGATGGATTCGCCTGAAACTCGGTGTTAGGGGGTATCTGGGTTTGTCTCCTACCCAGTTTTACCAGTCCTTACCAGTAATTCCATGCCGTTCAAGGTTGTAGGTTGACTGCGCGCGAGTCACGCAACGTTGCTGATTCTCAAGGAACACACGACCGGCCGGACGACCGGCGTGGCCTCCTGTGCATTATTTTTCACCGGAGGCCATACCGGTCGTAACGACCGGCGGCTTCAGGCTGAAAGCTGAAAGAATATTACGAAGGTCTATGAAGTTTAGGTTTGATATAGTCAATTCTAAAAAAAATACCAAAAAGAAAAGGCTATGGCGCCGGGGGAAATAAGTACCTAAAACACCGTGGCAGTCAACGTGTTAACTGTAATTAAATAAAGTGATCAGTAATTAATACGCCTTTTAATAATTAATATTAAATAATGGCATCGTTTGAACAAAACTCTATAAATTCTTAACTAGCAACTCTACAACTCACCCAATAAACGCAAAATCGACGATATATTAAAGATGCCCACAAACTACAACGTCAAAAATATTTGCAACATAATTTTACAACATGAAAAATCAACTTGATTCCTTTGATTTTTGGTGAAATGCTGATACCAAACATACGCACCTTGCGATAAATAGCAGACGTGAGAGCAACTCGTATCCTAAGCCCTGTTATCCTCATGCGGTTGAAGTAATGAGCAAGGAAGAGTGTCTGAAAGGAAGCAGCAATAAATAGCCCTCCTGCATAGAAATAGCCATGCCAAATTTCCTCTTCACTACCCATAAAGCTAATCAGTGATCTATAAAGGAACAGACACAGTTTTTAGGATGTAACACTTTCATGAGAACTTGGTATCAAACAAATGCATTAAGAGGACGGTGGATATGAGTTCATAAAGAGTAAATATTGTGAGAACAAGGGCCCAGGGCTGCAATTTCCCTGTTAATCAGCCCCCTGAAGACTCACAACAATGTAAATTGACATACATACATAAAAAATATGTGGGGGCAAGAGAGTTTTTGTTTTCAATTTCAAAAGTAATTTTTTTCAAATTCTGATGACATATTTACTCTTCCTGGGAGGAACCAAAGGGAACGCCCAGAGAGAGGATGACGACAGGGAGTTTTAAATGAAATGACAGGGTACCAACTCCCTGAAGAGCTGTAGGAGGATGAGGCACTATGGCGATCAGGTGTCGCAGAGCGTTAGAAAGCACTGTGAGAGCAGCTCTTACGTTCGTATGTCATTTTTAGTGCATCTACACTTAGTAGCTAGAATATTTATTTTAAAAAAATAAAATATGTCTTAACAAGTTGGCTACCAAAGTGTATTTCTTGTATGCTTCAGCAAACAGGGATGTGAAGATGAAAACACAAAAGAAAACTTAGAAATAAGATCAAACAAAAATCGGGGTTAGAAAATATGCATGTTTGCCTGGCACCACACTGATCATAAAAACTCTGGATCCACCCGTCAGTAAAGATAACTAAAATGTAGTACCGTCTGGTGCCTCAGCGCCCAGTCACATTGACAGGCTTTGCAGTTGACTGGTTAAAAGTAACCAGAAGACCGCTGGTAACCACTGGTGGATCATTTTCAATCAACAGCAAAAATTTCCCAGGAAAGCAGAAACTTTTGAGGGGAGAGGTCCATAATTTGTCATCTTACTTAATAAAAAAAAACCTTTAAATACAAACTCGCATAAAACAATTGAAACTTACTTCAATATATGAGGGCTCACAAAAATGAGAATGTCATTGCAAAGTTTAAGACTAAATCCAAACAAAACAGATGGCCAAAAAGTTTTGATTAATGGGAACCAAATGGACGGGTAAACTTCCTTGGAGGCTACTTTGTCAGAATAGGGCTTCAGCTCAATACCATTTGCAGTCCTGGTTGTGCCTTCCTTAACGTTTCTAGACCTGAAAGAAGAAAAGTATACATTCAAAGTCTAATGAGAGACTCAAAACATCATGTGCAATAACTAAGAGGTTCCTATTCAATATAGTAAAAGCTCAATTTACCACATTTTATTCCAAGTCCCTGCATATCATTGCAACATTAGACTAACCCATTGACTTAAACTGACGGCTGCCAGCCGTCCGCGCTGCGCTGGGCCAGATCTGAAGAGACGGCTCAGAGCCGTCCGCCGATTTTTTGCATTATTTCGGCGATTCTCCAGTAGATTGCATTCTCATCAATGTTTATATGAGTAGTGTGGCCACCCTATGACTTATTGTGTACAGTAATTTCTTGTTTTGTTACGGTATTTTCACATTACTGTGCGTTTGCACATGAAATAACCTCAACATTTTGTGATTTTCGCTGATTTTGCGATTTTTGCAATTTTGACAGCTATAAACCACAATAAAAAAATCACTATGTTCAGAGTTTTCACCATTTTTCTCAAATGCTGTATTGTGAATGCTTATTGTGTCAATTTTCACCCTTAGGGAAAGAATTTCTGGATTATTTTGAAGTGTTCAAAGTTGCTGATTTTCGCCAAATTAAAGCTAAATTCCTGGCCCGGCAGGGTCAAATTAAATCATTAGTCAATGGGTTAAATAAGGAAGAAGCAAGACTGAGGGGAAAAATAAAACGGTGCACATACTGAGGATTTTTATTCGATCGCTTCCTGCAATGCTTGTTGAATTTAGGTGCGATTTTTTTAACGGAGTCATCTTCTGCGAGAGACCACAAGTCTTCAAGGACAATGGGGCGTCTATAACCTTTCCATGCAAGAGGATCAAACCATGAGAATGTCACCAATGATGGAAAGGAAGCTTGCGAGTACGGAGAACTTTTCTGTTTCAGAACAACAAAAAAATGGCATTATTAAATAATGACAAGAGGGAAAAATATTCATACAGTGAAACCTCGCTAAGTCGGTTTCCGGATAAGCCGGTAACCCGCTTTAGTCGGTAGAATCGCCCGGTCCCGTTTATCACCCATATAACACAATGCTAAATAAGTCTCGGTATCTCGGTTTGGTCAGATTCTGAACCCGCTTAACTCGGTGAAATTTTTCCATCTCGACCTGTTTTTCTTCGATCGTCACCCGTGATCAAGCGTAGGTAGTGTTTCCGTGCGCGGTGCGGGTCGGGTCAAGTTACGCCACGAAGGGTGAGCGAATCTCCGAGAAAGCGCAGCGCAGTGCGAGAAACGACATCGGAAATAGAGAGATAAGGAATCAAAAACACTCGATAACGACACGAAAGATGAGAACAGTAGAGAATAGGATATCTGATACCGCGTGTTATCTTATCGCGCGTGTGAAAACACGCATGCATAATTAAGCAATTTCACGCATCGATGAGTTGACAGGTCAAGTCGGCACCGGCCCCTCTCCCCCTACCATCTTGCATTGCCCTTCCCCGCTCCCCCCAGGAATCTTCCGCAGAGTTTTTCGGAGATTTTAGCGAGTATTGATACGTTGCATTTTCAGTTCAACGACCCGCCATAGCGGGTGGCCGCGGCGCATCACCGCGCGGCATGCCGCGTGGGGTGCGCGGGGGGTGATACGCAATGGGGTGCCGCGGCACCCCAACATACGATTAACCCGATGACTTCATGATGCCCTGACACTTACAACACGCAATTTCAAGTGCATCTCATGAAATTTTACTCTTTAGTACCATTTTCTTCGATCAAATGGCTCTCCTAAACACTCCTACAAGTCACTCTACACGCACGTTTGCGTTTGTCCAATTTAGGGCGCGAAATTTGAAAAAGCGCGGCAGGAAAAGTGGCAGTCCGCGTAAGTCGGTAACCCGCTTAACTCGGTAAATTTCCTCGGTCCCGATGAAAACCGACTTAGCGAGGTTTCACTGTATACCATCAGACTTGTGCAGACAAGTCTCATTGGTCCAATCTCAATTGGGCTGATGCAAATAATGTCAAACCCGACATAAAAATTCAGCAAGGACAATAACCCTTCAATCTTGAAATTGGCAAAGAAGAGAAATAAGAGCATTACTTTTGAAATTTTAAACACGAAAATCACATGGAGAACTTTACAACACCAGTTGGTGGCTCTAGGTAAATTTTGATAACACTGGCTTTGATTAAAAAATAAAATTTATGAGTTCTTTTCAATTTTCCTTCCAAAGAGGCTAATTCCAGAGATTTATNTACGATTAACCCGATGACTTCATGATGCCCTGACACTTACAACACGCAATTTCAAGTGCATCTCATGAAATTTTACTCTTTAGTACCATTTTCTTTGATCAAATGGCTCTCCTAAACACTCCTACAAGTCACTCTACACGCACGTTTGCGTTTATCCAATTTAGGGCGCGAAATTTGAAAAAGCGCGGCAGGAAAAGTGGCAGTCCGCGTAAGTCGGTAACCCGCTTAACTCGGTAAATTTCCTCGGTCCCGATGAAAACCGACTTAGCGAGGTTTCACTGTATACCATCAGACTTGTGCAGACAAGTCTCATTGGTCCAATCTCAATTGGGCTGATGCAAATAATGTCAAACCCGACATAAAAATTCAGCAAGGACAATAACCCTTCAATCTTGAAATTGGCAAAGAAGAGAAATAAGAGCATTACTTTTGAAATTTTAAAAAAGAAAATCACATGGAGAACTTTACAACACCAGTTGGTGGCTCTAGGTAAATTTTGATAACACTGGCTTTGATTAAAAAATAAAATTTATGAGTTCTTTTCAATTTTCCTTCCAAAGAGGCTAATTCCAGAGATTTATTTCTGTAGAACGTATCAAAATAATTGCACAATCATGTTTACACACTTACTTCTTTCGGTGAATAGGAAGGTGAGATGGGTAAGAGATCGGCAAAAAAATTCAGGATGAACAAACCAAGTACTATGGCATAATATACCATGTAACTGACGAAAGGAACAACTGCTTCGCCCAAATTCTATGAACAAAATTCAATAGTAACAAAATTTGTTAGTAAGATAAACCAAATGTTTGTCATGAGAAAAAATGGAAATCAGTCGAATTGAAGATAAAATAATGAAACTAGCGTAATTAAGACAACCAAGATCGGTGTTTTTTCCGGTTTGGAGGAATTTTTATCATATTCACCCAAAAACAGTACATATTCAAAGGTGCAGAAATAGACATATTGACAGTGTAAGTCAACAATCACATAACTCAGTTTGCGACATCGCAGACTTCCTGTCATACTGTATTTTTTAAACAGAAAACTACTCAAAGGCAATTCTTTAAAACTGCTGTGATTTTCCTCTCTGTGCGAAGAAATTCTGCATAAACTTCAAGGAATGATGTCAATTTGTTCTCCTTTATAAAAATAACACAGAGGCGGAGATTTTCAGACACCGCAAACAAGTTACGTGATTGCCGACTTACACCGTCGATATGTGACCTCTCAAGGGACTTGAGAAGTCTTATTGCCAGAATATTGAAATATTAGTGCAACTGCATCAAGGAGTATTTTAGTTTCTATACACTGAGGCACAGAAACAAAAATATTTGAAAATATCAATCAAAATGGACATTGTATGTGTATATTTGAAGTCTGCGGTTCCGAAAACTCAGAGAGAAAAGCTACATAAATTGAGACAATCAATCGGGATAGCTTACTAATGTCTGGTGACCCAGATGACAGAGGAACCCTCTTATATATCGGATGTTGGTCTATATGTTTGGATATATTTTATACAGAAAATGGTGACCAAATCTTAAATTTAAGGCTACGTTTTTCTCAAGCCAAAACATGGGGAAGAACCGTTGAAACTGAAGTTCAGTATCAAATTTGCCGAAAGACTTGGGTGATTTCCGAGCACTTGGAGTCTCCAAAATTTAAAATGAAAATTCTGTTACCAAGTGTCAATCCAGAGATTTTTGGAGAGCTGCAGCTCATCCTCATCCGCAATAATGTTTTCCAAATCATAATGCCAATCTATAAATTTTAATACATTTTCAAACTTGAAACTCCCTTGAAATGGCTAGAAATGGGAAAGTTACTTCATTTTCTGACATGATTGGGAGCGTGTTTCACTGAGAAGTAAAATCAGAATTTTCAACCTATGTAACTTAAAGATTTGCATCCACGTACCAAAGTCCCTTTTTTCTAAGGAACAAGACTTAAAACATCTAGAAAAGGTTGCAGCTACAGCTGTCAATTTGTCACCTCATGACATTGTGCGCACTGAGAGATCAAGAATTTTGCATTGATCATCGAGATAACCTTTTTTCAATGTTATTGGTCTTGATAGATTTTGAAAAAATGGCTGAGGACTAAATTTTTTGTCAATTTAAAATAAAACATCTCAGTACATTACACAAAATTATTTTCTCTGAATTATTTTTTTAAGAGGTGAAAAAAGTTACCTGACGATAAGCACGGTCCAATTCATATTTATATCGTGGAGCACCACAGATGACTGACAAAAACCAGAACAAGAACAACAAGGCTGAGGAGGGGACACCTCGGAGTTTATACAAAATCAGAAGAGAAGCAGCTAAAGCCTAGGGGAGACAAAAAAAATTTATTACACTCTTGAAAAATCCTTTTTAAAGTTTTTTGGTACTGAAATAGCAAAGAATATTTTATCAACTGATGCATCTTGGCAGCAGTGTTCTGCCTTCCTCCTAGAATTTTAGGAGCCACCTTGAGCGGAAAGCAAAATTTTTAGGAGCCATTTAAAATTTTTTGGGAACCAAATTACCTTTTTGCATATGCATAATGCGCCACTACCGCTCCGCAATTACGAGTTTGAAAAAATTGACGAGGTGCCTCAGGTATTTTGAGCGCAATGATAGCCCAGCCCCTCCTATTTTTAGACTCCCAAGCACGATTTTTAAGCGCATTTGGTGCATGACACCCAGAGAAGGCAGAAGACTGCTTAGCAGATGCTGACGTAATGTTACTAATTTTAGTTAAATATCAATTAGAGCTTGCTGAAGAAAAGGTTTTCAGTAAAAAATTTCATTAGCATTGACATTTGTGACTCAGACTACATCAATATTGATTAAGTACTGATCCATTCACTAATCGAAAAAATTTTCTTAGTTGTAAGCTAAATTGCCCAGTAATATAGGTATGTAGGTACATCACAGGTAGTTTAGAATATTCTTCCAGGTTCTTCAAGTCCCACCCTGACCCTAACTACTCCTGGCTTATGTAAGGCCTCAACATACAGATAAAAAGATAAAGAAAATAAACACAGGATTGGAGGTCCTTGAATGACCTTGTTTATAAGGATATCAGTGGCCAAAGTTTGAAACCACTCGCCTTCGTTTGCAACAATGCAGACTTCCAGTTATACCTACTTTATTTTCACTTCGAAAAACTAGTCACAGTAATTTCTTGAAAACTTCCTTGATTTTTCTTCTCTGTTGGAGGAATATTCTGTGAAAAATTCAAGCTACAAAGTTGGCTTGTTCTTCTTTGAAAGAATAAAATAGAGGCTGAAATTTTGAGACACTACATACAATGGAGATTCCCTTGGACTTTAGCTTCCCACTTTTCCCAATTATATCTCCTCAGAGATAGTGCCTACAGTCAAATCAGGGTTAAAAGCAGCAACTTTGCACACCCTTCTTTCTCAAAGGGGCATGCTGGTGCTGAGAGAGAGGCAGGCTAGGAGCAACAGATGAAACTTGGTTGTTGCAGTTCTACTTAAAGCACTTTATACAGCTACCCTTCCTCAAGAAAAAGACTGTGTTTTTGCCTCAGACTGCAATTGTTAATAAAGCAGGGAATTGTAATTTTCCAATCAATCCTATTTACCTCCATAACTATAAACGTTTTCTGACAATAAAATAAGTTTTCCTCACATAATATTTTAAAAAAACCTGGAGTCTAGGTAAGAGGTTAATAAAGCAGGGAATTGCAATTTTCCAATCAATCCTATTTACCTCCATAACTATAAACGTTTTCTGACAATAAAATAAGTTTTCCTCACATATATTTTAAAAAAACCTGGAGTCTAGGTAAGAGATGACATCATTTTCCTTTAAAAGCGACAGGAATTCATTCCTTGAAAATCAACATGGTATTTGAAACTCAGAACAGTTAAAGTACATTCCCAAGATGCATGAAAAATATTATTTTCAGTCATTTCGTTACCATTTTTTCCCCATGATTTGGTCACATCCTATTTATCTAATTATCATCATGCGCAGATTATTGATTAGGTATACTTACAAAAGTGACAGTCTTTAGGAGAGGGGTGATAAAATCCACTAGATAAAATGGTCTCCCATCAAAATACGAGATAACAGAGTAAAAGAGGTCAACTAATGATAAAAATACTAAAAGTAAGGTCAACAGCTGAAACAGACGAAATAAACTTAATGAGTAACATTCATGCATCTTCGTCTCCAACCAAAAAAAATATGTGTTGGGTGCAGATAATACCAGGTGAGAAAAGGAAGATGGGTTGTTTCCATATTACATTCCAAAAATGGTTCATTCATTCATTTTTTTTTTATTTTTAGTGTCAGGTCAAAAACATTCCAACTGAACCATATAGTCATATAATCTATGTCCAAAGACAGCAATTGAAAGAAAGGTATTTTCATAGTTCCCATTAGATAAAAACTAGGCAATAAACTTGACAAGCCTTGATCTATTACATAATTTCGATGGTGGAGCATGGAAATAAATCGTGCTAGCACTACTTGTAAATTGTTTAGCATAATTACGTGATTCAAAATTCCATATACTTCTTGCAATTCAGTGTTAAGGGCACTTCAGTTTGATTCCATACCAAATAAGTTTGCACTAATTTCAATATGAAAATGAAGATGGCAAACCTTTTGTCTCATGCTAAAAGCATTATTTGGCGTCGACTCTATCGATGATTCATTTTCGAGGACCAACTTTTACCAAATTCATCTTTTGGTTAAGCGCTGGAGTGGGGGGAGGGGGGGGTTGTTGATCTGATCTGTAAAAGTATTAGTAATTAAGTTTAAAGTTCCAGAAACTTCACTGCCTCCCTCCCCTATCCAAAGTAATTATTATTGAAGAGGCAGTATGATAAACTCAATTCTTCCAGTGCCCTGACAACTTGAATGAATTCGAAATCTCACTTCCTTCCGTCATTGAATCAAAGCCAATTACAATATCTAAAATGACTGCCTTATCTACCTGCCTGTAGATAGCAGGAGCTGAACAAGGAGATAATTTCGAGAGATAGCTGGAGCTACTTAAAGAGGAAGTAAGGAAGCTCTTCAGGGATAAGATTATCTGATCCCTATCAACCAAGGAATAAACAAATAAAAATTGCACTCACTGGTGCAAATTCAGAGCAACTCTTTGTTTGGAGTGATGAGATGACAGTCTGTATACTCAAACGGCTGCTCAACTAAATTAGGCCAGCCTACTGTTGAATCAATGATTAATTGGATGCCTAGAACCAATTAAGGCTATAACGATCCAGTAAAGCAATGTATGTTTCAACAAAGAAATTTTTTCTAGGAATCAAAAGTATAATGAAGACTGTCTTCTGATTTCTTGAGGATCCAACCTTTCTGAGGAACAAGGGGGCAATGATGCTAAGAATATTGACCAGGCAAAAAAAGGATTTGCCTATTTCTGAAATTTGATAAATTTAATTTACCTATAAGTGGAAACTAAGTACTGAGTAAAATATCCTCGATTTCTAAACTGAACAGTTATTAAAGGAATTATAGGAGGATGAACTAATCTGCTAAAATACATGCCGAACTGAACTGCCGATACATGGAACTGCAGGAATGAGAACCTCTTTTGCAGTGTTTCAAAATCTCCGCTCTCATTTCGTATCATCAAAAGAGAAAAAACCAACACTATTGGTTGAATTTTTCACAAAAAATTCTTCATAAGAAAAATCTAGAGATGATCTTAGAGATGAAAAATCAGTCAAGTTTTCAAAAAAATATGTTGCATATATTCTCATTTAAAAACTAAAGTAAGACAGAAAGTCGGCAACACTGAAAACCGAGCTAAGCGTCCCTGCAGTTTCACCATCAATGCGTTTAAATACTGCCCTGGTAAATTTTCTCACTTTAGAATCTATTTAATTATGAAGTGAGTGTTGAACTATAATATTGCAACACACTTCAATCAAGGCAAATCGGTTTTATCTGAAGAGTCTACTTGATCATGAGAGACTATGGATCACTGAACACTTCCTCACCCAACAACATAAACAATCATAAACCTCATCCTCATTCATAAACCATCGTGCAGAGCTATGAGTAATACAGAAAGTGTGCTTTCAGCTGCAAAAATAATTGAACTTCTAGGATACAAGGTATTTTAACTTTTAGAACCACATGATTATACAGTATACAATGAGAGGCACAGCACTAGTTCAGAATTTTATTTTCCAAGAAATGAGCCATAACATCCAAGAAAAGGCTTGGGAACGCTTTCTAAATGCTATTGATATTTCACACGTGGATACTTGCGGATATCAAAAAATATGCAGTAGGTACCTTCATCTACAAACTGATTTTCCACTGAATACAAGAAAAATGCCGAGGAGTCTATTGGTGGCAAAACCATTGGAAGTTGATACACCTTATTCTGACCACTCTTTTTTTGACATGACAGAGCAATATTCTTTCCATTCTGATTGGAAAATTGATGAGGCTTTTCATTGCGAATTAGATTTACCCATCATTACTACACCATGAGCCCAAAAGTTCTTTCATTTCTAAGGTTTCACTTGGAGCCATTACATACAAATGATGCAAGCTGACAAAAATTGCAACTATGTACATAGGTAAAACTGATCAGCAAGATGAATAAAATTTTAAAGAGGACAACTTACAAATTTTGCCGTATTCAGCCAAGCCCAAGGGACTGTCCATGTCTGGCGTTTCATTAGACTCCGAACTGAAAACGGTGCAAAAAACCACAAAAATAGGCAAGGCACCCAAGACAGAATTGTTGCTTGAAAACATGGAGTGAAATTGGGATCACTTGTGTTCCATGTCACATTTAAATCCTGGAAAGTAAAATTTAATTGAGGTCAATGAAGAGAATAGCTTTGGATGGCTTTTGCCAGAGGTGTATAATAGAGTTGTAGCTCTAAACATATATAACTTAACACTTAAAATTAGGTATTTCCTCTTCAAAAATGCAAAGATAAAATTTTCCAATCTTAGGAAGGGATGCTGTCCCTTAAAAATTATGCAATGGTGACAAAGTTGGGCAGAGCTATAATCTATAAGTGTGTTACCCTACATTTTCACTCTGCCCCAATCCAAAACAAAAAGTATTATGTACTTAACTCTTCCTGTATGCACCCAAATAGAGTTAAACAAAACTACATTCATACCTGATCGGTGCATGCCTTCCCTACGCCTTTGATGCAACTATAGAATAGAATAGAATTTATTTGATGCATAAAGACAGCCTATTATATGAAAACTCTGGCACAAGTCAATTTTTTTTTTTTTGTTTTTGGTTGAAGAAGATACAAGTTTGGCTGACCAACAGAGCAATAAGCCAAAATTCACGTGTGCTGCTGTACCTATATAAGTAATTTTAACTATTATTTTTTGGTACATTGATAAGTTGTCAGTTTTTGCTCAGTCTACAGGGTGTCTCAAAAGTCCCTTTCACCCCCTCTAAAATTTTATCTGATAAATATTTTCAAATGAAACTTTGGGGATGTTTGTAGCTATTTTTGGGGCCCCTCCATGGGGAGGGACCCCAAATTTTTTTTGTTTTTCTTATCGGCAACCCCCCCTATTTGACACATCAATCAAAGGAGGATGAAAAAAGAAAATTTTTGGCGCAATTTGCAAGTCAAAATCTTGATTTTTGACAAAGTGGCGGCCAGTCAAAGATAAAAAAAACGGAAATTTGACAACTCCGTTTGTATTGATGGATGGGGACGAAACCTGATAACCGGCGGATTTAAAGGACGATGAACATGATTCCAGCATTACTTGGTTTTCCGGAAAATTCTGTCTTTTCAAAAAGGCAACCTAGAGCGGTTACAGAATATTTAGGCTGCTTATTGGTGGATTTGCATGAAACTTGGTATCCAGAGATAATTCGGCACGAAAAAAATGAACCTTTCATGGGATTATTGAAATTCTGAATGACTTCAAAATGGCCCCAGAAAAATTGCAGAAACTTGGTATTACGGATGCTTACAGTTAGATTCTCATGAAACTCAGGATCCTATTGGTTTCTGGTTCGACAAAAATGACTTTCTCGCATTCCATTTAGGAAATGCTAAGTATCCTCTGAAACGTCACATAGAAGGGGTTGCCATTTGAAAAAAAAAGTTGAGGTCCATAGCCCCTCCCCATAAGAGGGCCCAAAAATTACCGGGGGGGGCAAGAGTAGTTAACATTGATCTATGAACATCCGTAAAGTTTTGTTTTAAAATATTGATTAGATAAGATTTTAGAGGGGGTGGAAAGGACTTTAGGGACACCCTGTATTGTCAGCTCGTTCAGCACTGTCCTCTAAATTGAGGGCTTGTCACAGCCTGCTGTTGGGTTGAAGTGAAAATTTCCTCGATGGCTCATGATGCATGTCTCTGAAAAGAAGCATTGATGATGCAAAAAGTTCATTTAAGCCAACAAGGCACTTAGGTGTGATCTTGGCTAACAACAGGTTCATTACATTTGAGTCTCCACTGTTTGCAAGGAGTGACAGATTTTGTTATATGGGTTTTGATCAACACCCAGAGTACAAAGTTCATAATTCTTCCTTGGTCTGGGACATTTTGCAATAAGTCTAAAGACCTTGTTGTCAGGGTAAACTAAGATAAGGCGAGGTTTTGCAGGGCATGGACAGTCTCATAGACAGAATACCAGATGAATTCCATCACACCTAAACCTTAAGGATCAAGCTTCAGCAGGTTGCTGACAACATGTATTAAGGCATATACTCACATTTTCCATAACTTAGTTGCAGCAGAATTAAAATTTGTCTTACTTACCCACAGAGGTGAGTTGCAAAAATAGTGATCCATGGCAGGACCGCCTTCAATTTTCAGAAAACCTCTGCACAGTTAAATTATTCACAATTGATATACATGACGCAATCGGAGACATGGGATAAAAAAGGGAAACATTAATTAAACAACACTTCAGTAAAAGGAGAGATTGGGCTTGATCGGCACAATTCGATGAAATGGGGCGGTAATGAGGTTAGGTAAGGAAACCCAACTAACCCAACCAAACCAGCTGCTGCTGATGATGCCACATAGTGCCACAATACTACTTATGGAGGGGACTGACGGAGAGGGGGATTGTTATGATCACGTGATCAACACTGGGGTCAGTGTTGCCAAATCTCTTAAATATGATTTTTGATTTAGTGAAGAAGTATTACTGAAGTGGGAAATGGACAACGCTGGTAGTCGGCCCGAGAAGGGTACCGACAATTAAAAAGGATCATTAATTCATTAACAATGCTCTGGGCAATTTGACTGAAAAAGGAAAAAATTATAGAGGCACAGATGAAATCGTATGATCAGAGGATAAGGGTCTACGAATTGCGAACGCAGTACTCAATTGTAAAAAAAAAAAAAAAACCATGAAAAACCGAAAAAGAAATATTATCTTGATGGAGAGTCCAGAGATGAGGGATACTCCAAAGCACGTCTAATTTAGTGGAAAAATGAAAAAGAAATGCAGTGAGTTTTTCAATCTTGTTAAATCAATTGGCATGATAGCTCTGCCCTACCAACAGTGACACGAACATTTAAAAGAAATTATGAAAAACCTCTGAATCTTCAACATTCAAACTCATTAAAAAACTGTTGGAATGAACAAATAAAGAGACACTTAGAGATTTTTTTTTCATGTAAATTACCTTGCTTATCTGAGAGTTTTCTAAGAACTTAAGTTTAGAAAATTGTGACAAACATTTTACGTAAATTTTCGTTCTTTAAATTGTAGTGATTCAAATTACTCTCGGGGAAACAAGCCAATTGGTTGCTAAAAAATGTTGCACATTCTTCAAAAATGAAGGAATATAATGGAAATTTTCAATATATTGTATGAATCTTGCAGTCTGGGAGTGCAAGTATGATGGGAAATCTGCAACATTGTGAAACTCAATAGGAAGGCTTCCGGGTTCAGCCATTGTTATGTAGCGTTTAACCATGAACCTATTTTAAGACAAAACGAACTTTTTAGAAACTGGACAAACAAAGTACCTATTTCCCTTTACAATATTCCTGACTTTTTACCATAATTTAAAATATAAGAAAAACAATACAGTTTTATTTTATTATAGTTGAATGATTGTTCGCTAATTAGGTACCTGAAAAAGTTCTAAACAAATTTCGTACAAAAATATCAGTTCACTATATCTTGGAAAATGAGGTACCTAAGAGCAGAACTTTTGTAACATTGCAGTTCAGTTTCACATTTCTCTAGTGTCAGTAAACAATTTGTACCCTGTAAAGAATAAAATCTTGAAGAGAATTTCTGAAAAAAACATGAATAGATGCTTTCACTAGAGATTTCAAACTACGATTTAAAGCCTCTACTGCATTGCAGAGTTACTAATTTACGAGGAGGTAATGTAAATTATTATTCTTGATATACCTAAAAATTGAGAAAAAAATCACGAATTAGTAGAATAAAGACTAAAAACTTTGAGAAGCTAAATTAAAATTTATTCAGACAACTTCAAGCTACAAGAATTTCTCACAAAAATCTATTAGTAAGTAGGCAAGCAATTTTTGGAGCTAAAAAGTAAATTGAGGGACTCAGATTCTAGTTGAACCAAAAAGTTCTGGTGCTCTACTTAGTAGGTGCTTGCACCTTGTAAGAAACCTCTACCTAATTAAAAGTTAATTATACACATATCTTTTAAGAAAAAAATCTGCATTAAAATCAAAGAGTCCATTGTTAAAACTTCTGGCTCCCTGAAACAAGTACTTCTTTTTTAAAAATAAGACCTCCATCTACTAAAGTAATTGAGATTAATTTCTCTTTGGTATCGTTCTATTTTAAAAACAGGGCACAGCTACTTTGAGTAAAATGATCCAAAATTGAGTATTTAGATAAATTAATACTAGGATAAGATATAATTAACAAAGGAAAATAAATTATTATTAAATTTAATTTGTAGGTAGCTATTTATTTGGACCTTACTTGAGAAGTGATTAAACGATTATAGTAGCTCTTTCTTTAAACAGGGTTCTGAGAATCAATAAAGTAGGTTTAAAGTAAAATTATTAAAAACTACTAGAAAGAAATAGATTCAATCACTAACACAAGGAGGTTTCTACATAGTGCTTTAAACTCTACCACCACAATTGAGAAAGGTTGGAATTTTTTACTTTTCAAATTCATATAAAAATAAAACCACTTAAAAAAAGACTACGTCTTCATAAAAAATTAGTTACTCTGAAAGACTTTTTTTGAATGATTCAAAGCACAGTTTTTTCCCCCTTCCTTTTTAAATTGAGAAGAAAGACCACAAAATCTAGAGAAAAGTACAAATTCTTTTAGAAAATTTTAACAAAATCAAGGAAAATTATTCTCCTCCACAATCAAGTATTACTATTATAAGGACAACCAAAGACAAAGAAATGATTGAACATTGAAAGCTTCACGAAATTCTGCATCGATCATCTTCTTGTTCTAGATCTAAAGAGGAGGTTTCAAGCTGTCCTCCCGTCAAAACATTGTTGACAACTGCTCTGGCAAGGTAGCTTGTTGTGATGGAGTGTTTAGCTGAATAAAATACACTCTTGTCCTGACAGACACTTTCTAAGTAATTATCCTGCAAAACAAAATTACAGTTATAATCATAAATTTAATAATGATAGAACTGAATCCGAAACATACGTGCATACATAATTTGAGAATCATGCTCTGCGAAAAATTAATATTGCAAAATTGTATTATTCTTTACTTAAAGTTTTGATGGGCCTCTGAAATTTTCAAGAGACAAGGACTAAATGATTTTGAATGACTAGCGAAATTACGTCATGCTCTTTGTCTTAAACTTGTTAACTGCCTTGGTTTGCCTCATCATTCGTGGCAAGTTGGGAAGTACAAAAACCTTGCAAGTATGACGGAAATTATTCTGCGGCAGCGGTAGCATCATCTTTCCAATGAGAACGTGACGGGTGGTGAGGTTCAGATATGAGAAGTGCTTATATGGCTCCAACTTTTATACATTCCTCTCATAAAGTTTGGGGCACAAAGAGTGAGATACTTCTACCTCAGGGTTGTCATCAATTTGAACTCAATGACAGTCTACAAAGGCATCATACTGTTTGAGCTATCAAAAATTGATTGTAAAAAAAACATGGGACAACTTATTAAACTTTTAAAAATTCACAGCTGCCATTTAAAGATGAAAAGAAAATTCTGCTTACTTTGCAAAACATTTGGAAAGCATCAGTGACAATCTCATCTAAGTCCAGCTGTTTTCGAAAAGTTAATTCAGGATTGCGTTGCAGAATTATTGATAGAATACAGAGAAGCTGAAATAAAAGAATAAAATATTACTTTTTAAATTTTCTTTATATCGGTAAAGGGAAAGGAACACCAAAATACTGATGAACTGTATTCATACATTATACTAATCACAGGACAGTCAGGATAGTCTTTCACAAAGTTTCAATGATCATGAGTCATGATTCGCAATCATAGAAAGAAAGTTTTGGAGATTTTCCAAAATTCAAAATATTTTACTTTCATCTGCTTTCTTTTTACATTATTTAAGAAATACAAGGTAAAAAGAAAAATAAAATAAAAAAAGGACGGGTTTTGCTCACTTGTTGTGTTCACTTCCAAATATTCAAGTGATTCTTATGGATTCTTGGCTTATTACTAAACTTCTTGAAGTTTCCTCTTGATATTTTATGTCATTGTCCAAACAATCATTGCAGACACATTTTCTTACTCAGAGGGACAAACAAATTTATAGGCATTGAGGTCTAATGTAACACCTTGCAGAATCCTTGGCCACTTGCCCCCTCCCCTCCCCTCCCCTCTCCGGAGAAATTACCTATAACTAAGCACTGCAGTTTAGTGTAACTTTTGCGCAGCAAAACTGTTCAGTTTAAAAAGCTGCTGTGTTCTCTGGCAAAACTGTCGTGTAGCCATACACATGGTTATTCTAGAGATGCATGAATTGAGCAGGTTAACTTTTTTAAGTTGTGCTTATATTCAGAATTTTCATGTGAACAAGAACAAGATATAATATTTGTATAATAATTTATACCTTTAGGGTACAAGAAATCACAAAGATATGCCAAGCTCCAGAAAGACAGCTTGCACAGCCATGCATGCTTGTTCATAAGAATTACTTAATTTTTACAATGACTGCAGTGATAACCATCAACAACTATACCACGCTGTTGTTTACCTCACTGCCAACGGATGACACAACATATTGCGCCCTCTTGAAGGGCAAATATGGGAAAAAATATGTGGATCAAATATTTTCATCTGAAGGCTGTGCAGAAGCAATTCCACAAGAGTTAAGGATTCTTGTCTGTAGACATCAAAGGGTTAAAGGAATAAAGTATGGTGCTCACCTCAACAATGAGTTGTCTATATTCAGGCAATTGAATATGGTTCAAGGTTTCTTCAACAAGCAGCGCAAAATTCAACTCTGACTGGGTCATGTTGACTAAAGTTGGTTGTTGCGGAAGGATGTGCCCTTGAACAGTGAACCCAAGAGGTGTGCGAGTCAAAACATCCCAGACCTGATTGTAAAAGAGGAGAGGCACTCTGCACAGACAGCCTTCCAGTCTCCTTCTCTCAAGAGTTGTTATTCTAAGAATACATAAAAAAAGAACCACCACAGAAAACATGAGGCACGATTGTTCTTAAAAACTGCACAAATATTGAGTCTTTTACTATTCATATTTACTAAGTTGCGCAAAAATATTGCACTAATTGATACCCTATTAAAAGGTAAATTCTGCTTTGGATGACCTACAAGTTATAAAGGCTCTTCTATTATAAGAGGGAGATACATGTGAAAAAGAGATAATATCTGTCTCAGAGCACATGCTATTGATGATGACGTCACCAGAGGGATTTTTCTTTATATCGAGTTAGATTCATACAATAACAATGACACGACCTCTTCAAATGATACAGATGAAAATTAATTGGTACATATCACTTTTCTACACCATAACACTGATAGAGTGGGTAGGGTGGGCCCTTGTAGCTTAGTCTTCATTTTAGCGGATGAGAATAATTTTTAACTTTTTTCTCTTTCATTACTTTAATTTTTTGAAATTTACTTAATTTTGTAAGGAGAATTTTGCATTTTACAAGTCGATCGAATTACTTACTGTTCATTGACAGCCCATTCTCTGACTGAGAGGACTTTCTGTAGAAGTTGGCGAACTTCATATGGACTGTGGTTTTCTAAAGAGTTTGTGCTTTTTCCTTGCATTTGCAAGATTATTTTCATTGCCTCTATCACCCACCTGTCAAAAAAAAAAAAAAAATGAAAAGCTGGTTATAATAGACAGAATAACTGAGGTTCATCTTTCACTACATCTTTTACTAATAAAGCAACATTCGTACATGTCAGGTTATCAGCCTAAACAGGAAATGTGTAAATTAAAAATTGGAAATGCAATCTTAAGTTTTTTTCCTCCTTTTTTTTCTTCTTTAATCGAAGTACCTGTAAATTTTAATTACTGAGAGTATTTGTGACCGGATTTGTTCCAAGAGAATATTGTCCTGAACTTTTTGCATGTACTTGACTCATGTTTTTCTACAACTTAGGAATTTTGTTCTTAGGACTTCAGGACTAATCCCTCCTTCAATTTTTGAGATTATAGGGTCAAACTGGAGTCAAAATTTCCAGATTTTCTTCCTCCATATTTGCAAAAAGTTGAGGAAAATGTTCCCTCCGAATAAAGGTCTCTTTTTACAGATCCTGTACACTTATTAACTTTGTAAATAATAAGCACTGAGCCTGTTTTACCTTGAGGAAATGTTAGTTTGGAGTATTTATACAATATAGTTTCAAGATTGCAAAAAATCATGTTAAGCACATTCAAATCTCCTAAAAATGCCTCTCAAAGAGAAAATGATGCAATTTGAATAAAAAATGTAGAGTCGTTGTTGATATCTCAAACGTGGCGGACACGATTCGGTGCTCGGTCCTTAAGCTTAAGTTTTCAGCTGGTATCCAGAGAATTCAAAACAATGCGAATTCAAGGGTGCCAATTCGGTATGCTGTGCGAACTTCGCGACCAAGTGCAAAAGCGTGTGCACAAAGCTCATCTATAAACAACAAACACTCATGCAGTCAGCAGCAGCAGCAATGACATTCAAACACAGGATGGTGTTATGAAAAAAATGTTTGCACGGGTCCACCAAGTGCCTTGATAAAAGAAAACTGTAACACTTGACAGTCAAAAACTCAGCTTTTTGTAAGAGCGAGCTGCTACCAAGTTGCTCAAAAATGAGAGGAGAAAAATCTGATCCTTTTCAGAGGAGTTCAAAACTAGTCAGATCACCACCACTGCCCCTCAAAACGGCGCCAGAAAATAACAACGATAACCGTTCAAGTACCGGAAAGGAAGAGATCAAAAAAGTAGAGGAAGCAATCTTAACTACGGATCCTGAAAAAGTTGAAGGAGATCCTCCATTGACTGAAACGGCAAAATGGTTTTTTCTTCAGTCGATTGCTGTTGTTAAGTCACTGCAGGATGAAAATATCCTTGCAAAAAATTTTATTCAAGGGCAAAAGATTCTCATGGATAAAATACAAAGTGATAGCAAAGCGATGCAGGCCGAAATAAATGAGCTCCAGCTAAATAAGCCACAACCTCAAATGGCCGACGGCAATAAAGATGAGGGGAGGACAGTCTAGAATGCCAACAAGGAAATTTCCCGACAAAACAGCGGGAAATTTGGAATCCTGCAGCTAGATTTGGAAACAGATGAAGATTTTCCATCAGGTGATTGGCCAAACTACAATTCAGACCGAGAGTATCAAAGCAAACGAAGGACGGTGGCAAAGAAAGTTAAAACAAAATGCAAATAGGAAGAGGAAGGCTCAAATCAAAGAAACACCTTTATTTTGAAATAAAGTTGTCTCATTTTTCCTCCTCGATATACAGAGGCAGTATCACACTAAGATAAAATATAAAATTATGTGAAAAGTATTATCTTACTAGTTAAACTTAAGCTTCTTAAAGATGCAACTTTTATTTACAAGTATTTGTGTACAATTTGTAATCTATGTACGAATAAAAAATAAAATAATAGTAATGATAATAAATATAATTATCCTTTGAGCTACACATCACACCCACTTCATTTGATAGTGGGCAGTCTGGGATTTTGAGAAATTTTTTAAGACTTGCCCTATTAATAAATGTGTAAGAAATGCTATTGGAGAAAGAAAAGTAAAACAAAATATTTACCCAACTCTTATCTTCAAAATCCCTTTAAATAAATCTGGATAAGTAGTGATGAGTCTGCCACAATAGAGGACGATCTCTTGCTGCAACACAGCCTGAATAATATCGTAGGGCTCAATAGTTGAGTAAATGATGGACTGAATCTCAGCTGGTGTTAAGGGCTTATCGAAGACTGTCTCCTCTCTTCCGATAACGCCAATAGTTAACTGAGAAAGTAGAATCATAAATTATCATTTATCCTAATTTTTACAAATTTACAAATAGGTATCCTAAGATTTACAAATACCTAGCTGGAAATTAATTTCATCAAGAACCAAAATATCTGGTTTCATACATAGATTGGTTTCATTTTTAAAGCTGGTTCACTAATAATAGTCCTATTGCAAATAGGAGTGGTTTGGAGGTTGAATCCCTCATTAGACACATAGGAGCTCCTTTTTGTCATTGTGTATTTCTGCATTGACGCAGGACATTCTCATGCCTTAAGGTAGAAGCTCACTCAAAAGTATTTATCCCTCCAAGAGATATGTTATGAGGTTTGATGTCACACCGATAACACACCAATCAGGGAGGAAACTAGGAACTTGTTTTAGAAATGATGAGTTCTGTCATTAGCACATCAAGAACGCAACCTTCAGATTTACAGCTGCTGCAATCTGACAAGTTATGGAAACCTTACTAGGAATCAGGATGGAGCATTGAGAGATATGTGCAAGTCAAGTAAAGCTACTCTACAACTTTGCAAAGAAGAAGTTGGAATGAGCTTTTCCCCTAAAATGAGCGAAGTTTTTGTATTGATGCAGAAATAGTCAATGCTCAACAACAAAAAAAGTTATTCATCTGCTTAACAGTAATGTTATCTCAAACAGGAAAAATCAGTGCTTGGAATCAAATTTTAAGTACCTGAGTGATTTGAGGGTCACAATTAAAAAGTAGAAATAGAGAATACAGGATAATGGAGATTAAAAATAAAAAAATTGCTTCAGCCAATTTTGGGTTTCAATTCTGTGAAATTTACCTCTTCCACTTTTGTGTGAAATTAATATTAAAATATCAACATCATCCTAATGATAAAACCTAAAGCTATGTCCAGAACTTTGAATCTTCTCTCAACAAAGTATCTTAACATCTAAATACTCTTCTCAATCAATTCCTAGACCGAGTTGAAAAAAAAAAGACACTCACCTGCTTTCCGTTGACTAAAACATTTGTGATGAAGGGACTGATACTATCAACTGTATGATGAAGAAGACTACTACAATAGCGAATGGCAATCCAAAAATGAACTGAGCCTGCATGATAATACAATGCTCGCAAGTGTTCTTGCACTGAAATGAAAGAGAAAGGTATCCATCCATGAGGTTCATTTGAGCCTTCTTTAGAGAAAAGTTCCAGTTTTAACAATGAATATTAACTTAAATCTGGGAACGGTTGGCTGTGATTGAAAATTAGAAAAGATCCTTATAACTTCAATTTTGCCTGGCAGATAAGGAAAATTTAAAAGAAAGGAAACAAGGAAAAAGAGCTATCTATTACAGCGATTGTGAGACCCGCAGTAAGTGATCGATTGATCATTTTTTATTTTTTTCGTAAGCTTCTTGCAACATAAAAATTCCTTTCCTTGAAAAGCACCTTGCTTTAGGGATGGTTTGTAAGGATATGTACATTATCCACGACGTACTGAATGATATGGATGTTTTGGTTTTTAATTTGTTTCTTTTTTCAAGCCTTTAACTGCACTAAAATGTTTTTAAGGTGTATTTTTGGGCTGATTAAGTTGTTTTTCATGGTAGATTAAGCAATCAAGCTTGAGGAGAAGAATAAATAATAAAATTTTTTTTAAAGATGTATACAGACATTATTTCTTGGCACCAAGTGAAAATAACAGATATATGTACTTGTTAGAAGATTTAACGACCGCCCATAACATCCTAAATAGTTTTCCGACGATTCTGGTAAAAATTAAGAAACAACAAGAAATGTCAATTCTTAATGTCCATATCCTTACAAACCATCCAAAAAACAAGGTACTCTTCAAGATAAAAGAATTTTTACATAATATTACATCCTATTAACTAATAGGGATTTGAGTTTTGTGTCCATTTTCAAGGGGGAAAAAAGACGGACTATAATTCAGACAGATGTCTCTAGTATAGCGATAGGTTCATTTGGGCCTCACGAGCCACCCTCCAAAATTAACCTTAGAAAACCCTGTGTTTTACAGAGAAGAATAGGAAAAAATGTTACCTGTCATATCATTGTAAACGTAAGAAGGGCCCTCTCTCTTGAGCAGGATTCCTAAAAGTTGACATTTATCATACAGACCAGAACAATTTCTCAGTGCTTCAATCAGATCACAGGTGGGCTTATCTTGGAAATTCTTGAATTAACAAACAAAAGTGATTGAAATAGAATGGAGCATGACTCTGATTTTAGAGATTTCATGTTTCTTGATATGACTAATAAATTATAATTTCTTAATGGTAAAATAAATCAAAATAAATACTTTAATGCTGAAATCAGGCACATTTCGAAGTCTAACAAAAAAACAAATGGTTCAGTGTAGCGAATTTTCAATTTACGGATGTAATTTTTCAAATGTTCAGAGCAAATTCTTCAAAATTTTGAAGGAAAATTACAGAATTTCCACCAAGTTGTTTTCACATAGTGGATACCTACACATTTGTACAAACCAACACACCTAAGTTTTTTTACTGATTCTATGTTATGAAACTGGTAAAATGAATTTGCAAGGCACGAAAGAAACCTAGAGAGGTCTGTTGCAAACTTCTAAAGATGGCAAAAACAAGAATTGTTTTTCATTAGGAAGGGTTCAAAAATAATGAAAAACGATGACAAAGTCCAAAATTCGCTTTTTGTCTCACAATATGCAAAAAATAAATACCCATTCATAATTGTATAGAGAAAGGTCTTACGATACAACTAGCCAGTAACTTTGGCCTTTCAGAATCTACGATAGTCTAACCATATACCTATTAACTAAAAAAATTTCATGAATCTTTTTTCTCAGATGCACTTTAAAAGAAAACTAAGGGAATAAAAGTACATATTTTGATTTTTTTCTCCCATCATGTTCGAGCAAAATTTCTAAGAATAATAATGCGTCTAGTATCAAAATCTGCATCTCCATTAAGATGTCTAAAAATTTGGCAGATGTTTTAATTTCTTGAAAGGAGTAATCAATAAAACTTCTTGCGCACAATACTGCCATAATTTTCTTGCTGACACGTAGAAAATTCGTCAGAAAGTATGCAAATAGAAACTCACCTGTCTTTACAATAAATGAAAATTATGGCCAAATTTTTAGACACCGCAACAGAGATAGAAGGTTTTGACACTAGACACCGTAAATATGAGATACATTCGAGGAGACTTGTGCAAAAAATTTGATACAAAAGAGGCTGATCTTGAGCCCTCCAGGAATTTTGAAAGAAAGGATTGTACTGGAAAAATAAGATGGTGAATGGCTAATAGAGTCATACCGTCACTAATTTCATTTCTTCAAGATACTCTGATGCTTTGGGAACATCAGTCAAACTCTGATAGCCAATATAGTCATGTTCGACTTGCTTCACTTGGTTAAACTGTATCTGAGAAGAATCTACTGTGTTCATGAAATCAAGGTGCTCTGAAACAATTAATTCATGAAAAATGTTGAGTGAACAAATAGATGAGAAAAAAATTAGGGAAACCATTTAATTATAAACTTACCTGCACAAATACTTTAATTTTTGACATTGTAAACTTCCTGGAATATTTTATATTAGTGCCAAAAAAACAGCCGATTTTTAGTTTTTGAAATTTTACAAGACTTTTCTTTCACAAGCCAGCTCTGTCGCTGAAAATAATTATTGTTCTGACCTTTTGACAAGGCAGTATTTATGTACTGATTTTTAGCTGGTCTGATCTGTTGAAGTCAGTACATTTTAACAAAAATTTTCAAACCAATATCATTTTTGTTCATGATATGATTTTTAAAAGACAAGAGCTTACTAATTGAATAATACTCCTATTTCCGATGAGTTATTTTTGTCTTAATCAGTTTAACGGCTAATACCGAAAAAATGGAACCAAAGATCTTGCAATCTTATGATTCTAAAAATACAAAACATGATTATTTCATGATCAGGAAACACATCTCCAATTTGAAAGGATGAAAAAAATGATAAGAAACCATGCAACAATAAGCCAAAAACCTATGAATGAATGATAAAATAACTCCAAAAAAAATTGAATAAAATGTAAACCCCAAATTTTTTTAGAAGGAAAATTGATGAATCAAAAGAGCACAACAGATTTCTTTGCACCACCAAAGTAAATGGACGCATATTAAATATTTCCACCGATTTATTCTGAGAGAACTTCCAGATAGAGGCTAATTCAGAAAGAGAAGGATTGAAATAGTTGAAAAGGAGAAAAAAAATTATATGAACACATGGAGGTTCCCAAGCAGCACAGACTGCAAAAAATATCAATCACATGATAAAATTATAGCAACTGTATTAGAGCGTTGTGTATGTTGCCTATCTGCTATTGAAAAGGACTCCTTTCATGCAAGCCTCCAGAAGAAAATTTCAAATGGAGATGTTGCATGTGTGAGGAATTTGCGATTTGACTGTTGATTCTTATGTAAAAGTTCGCGAGAAACTTGATGGTGCCACTGGTTTTCTCTGATATCAACTCCCAAGCTCAACATAAGCTCTGAAGTTGAGGCCAAAATGGAGGGAATACCCCACACTATCCTGAGAGTCCACCTCTACATCAAGACAAACTCTCCATGCAAAGATAGAGAGCAAATACATTGTCAGGGCTGCCACTTTATTTGAGGACTCGAAAACTGAAAACACGGCAACCCTGCTAATGTATTTGCTCCCTATCTTTGCATGGAGAGTTTGTCTTGGTGTGGAGATGGACTCTCAGGATAGCGTGGGATATCCCCTCCATTTTGGCCTCAACTTCAGAGCTTTTTTTGAGCTTGGGAGTTAATTTCAGAGAAAACCAGTGGCACCATCGTGTTTCTTGTTAACTTTTACATAAGAATCAATAGTCAAATCGCTAATTCCTCACACATGCAACATCTCCATTTGATTAATACTGTGGAGGAAACCTTCACCGTTGATCAATTCTTCCTCTATTTCTTTCTCTCTCTCCACTCCCGCTCTTTCTTCCTCCTCCTCCCTCCCACTTTCTCCCTTCCTCTCCCATTTATTGCTCTTTTCACAAAGTCTAAATGAGAATTATCTGAATGATGTTGAAGGAATTAGGCCCTGTCTCGACGGCGTAACTGTTGAAGGAAGTTGGCGCAACTGTTGAAGGAAGAAAGTGTCTCAAAAATGTTTCACCTATTAGTGAAACTTTCAAGGTCAGAAACCTGGAACCTCGAACAGTTGTTTACCTTCGTGTTCTGAATTGATAAACGCTGGTTACACATGAAGCGGGAGTTTATTACGGGTGTTTTATTTCTGAGCGGTTATTATTTAGAAATATTTGTATTCATTTCAGTATCAATTTTATATTTTTGTTCGTAGTACATCACTACAGCAGGAAAATAAAATTTTATCGAATATATATTCTTTTTATCCATATCTGTGTCATGTTATTGTTTTTTGATTTAAACCTGGTCGAAATAACGGAAAATATTCACCTTCCGTTCATAATTATCAGTTCAGTTATCTCAGTTGACATTGTTTAACCTAAGAAAATTAATGTTGTTCAAATATTCCCGCCTAAAAGTTCCAGGAACACATGCATGTGCCACGAGACAGGAAACTCTAGTTGGTGCAACAAACTCGCAATAGTTGCACCTAATTCCCTCAACAGTTGCGCCGTCGAGACAAGGCCTTAGGTTTTGAATCAACCAAAATTGCTGCACACATTTGTAAGATTTAGAAACGATGGTCTTCAGTGATCTTTTATTGGTCTTATAATATACCTCAAAGAATGACACACAAAACTCCAAGACAGCGAAGTTTGAGTTCCAAATAACTTAAAATATAAAACCAAACTGATAGTCCCACATGAAAAACAAAACAAAAAAACAAATCTTATTGCATGCAAAAATTTGAGGGGAGCATGAAGAAAGTCCATGCCATTTCGTATTTTTAAACACTCACTTTTGTGCTCAATTCAGAAAATTCCACTCAATGAATGAAAGAGGCAAGACTATAAGCATTGTTTCATATTCGAATTGCACAAGCTGGCATTCTCATCAGTTAAAGCGTCGAACACCATTACATGTTTTAACTTATTAAACATTAAAAAACTTTTTGGAAAAATCGAGGGATACATTGAAAAGCACAATTCCACAAGTTTTGTTCTTTACAAAACGAAAAACGCAGCTTATGTTGGGTCCCCAGTGGCTATAGCTAAAAAAATTTGACAGCACTGCTGTTAAAATATATCTTGTGATCGAGCTTTATAAGAACCTTATGAAGTTAATTACCTGCATTCACTAGGGGGTCGTTCATAGATTAAGTAATGCTCTGGAGAGGGGTTGAGGAGAGCACTGTGCTATTTTGTTTTTACAAGTTGAAGGATAGGGGTCTACATCACAGAAGAGTTACAAAGAAGGAGGGAGGGGTCAAAAATGTTGGAAAATATGTAACTTAGATTGGGAACGCTTTCTTATGTGAGATTGCTCATTTCATCAAGCATTTTGGACATCTTCATTCCAGATATTACTTTCAATACAAAAATAATAATAAATACCTAAAAATAAAATTTACGCTACACATGATAGCTTCAGCCTGTAAGCCTCACCATTTGTCATTTGATGGGAAATATTTAATCATATGGTCATGTAATGAAAACTTCAAGATATCCTGGAGCTCATATGTTCATTCAACTTTTACCAAAAACTAGAATCAGGCAAAACACGAGTCAACTATGTTTTCCGACAAGAATTATTCCGGCGCGAGCAATGAGTTAATAAGTTAATGTAATGCTTGGAGATTGGTAGTTAGTATGAAGGAAACACCCGTAGCATGACGTCAAAGTATGACAACTAGTAATACCTATACAAGAGGAAGAGATAAGATTTTGCAGTCGACCGATTTGAACTTTGATACCATCACAGTATCCTTTCTTCAGCATTGCCATTAAGTCAAGCATTTCTTTAAACTGGGGATCTCTGAAAATTCAATCAAATATAAATTTGACCTGTAGGTGCATGCTAATGCTGTAATAGGGCAGTTTTTCGAGTTTTTTAGTCCTTTTATAGTTAGATTTTCAGAACTTGATGATATTGAGATGAAACTCCGTTAAATTAAATGCAAAAGGTATAATTATATTTGATACAAAAGCACGTATATTCATGGGTACTCGGGCAGTTCTCTGGTTCTTTTCGTTGATTTACTCAACCGTTTCATGTACCTTCATTGATTGAAGTGTCATTACCAAGCACCGATATATTATTACTTCATCTCTGCCATAAGAACTTACGCAGAATAGCCCAGGAGGCTGAAGATTTCTAATCTACTGCTTGTGTGCAAACTAGTTACAATGTTTTAATACGTTGCCTGCTATTGTGTTTTGGGTACATTTTTCTCCTGACACTGCATCATTTTTTCCCCCAAAAAACAGAAGTTCTAGAGTGAATTTTCTCCTTGAGACAATGCCCATACCGGTTGTGAGCTATGAGCACAGTTTCGACTCATAGTGGCCTAACAGGATCGTTTAACACGAGCGACCACATCCAGGTCAAAATAACCAGCATGGCTTCAGTTGAACCCTTTAATACAGTCCATATGATCAACATGGTGGGAAATGTGTTAAGCTAATTCTCACACAAGGAGAAAATCCAATACTCTTCAATAGGAACAATTTGAGAGGATAGGTTTTAAAAACTTTCCTTTTGGTTTAATAAGACAATGTAAAGATAAAGCTGTAATTTATCCAATAAAAAAGTTTCAGATAAAGAATACTTAAAGTATTACCTCATATGTTCTTCTCTGATCAAGAGACAAACTGTTGGTCGACCAGATAGACGCCAGTAGCGAGAGGTAAACTGAAGCTCTGTTTTGATATCATCTATCAACAGCGCCATATCTCGATAAAGATAAAACTCCGATACTTCAAAGATTAAGGGATAACAAAGGACAGTCATCCCACATACTCGATACACCTGCAAAACAGGGCAGATAAATAGAAAATATTCATACCTCTTAAAATGGAGGAGGTCCTCACTTATTTTAGCAAACTGAAGAATGAAGTTTCTCTAAAAGTAAAAAACACTGCTTTACAGTCAGTATGAGAATTGTTGAAACATTTGATTCTTTTCCTTTTGTATCAAAAGCTGCAATGAATATTGATAAACTTTCTGACATTAAATCCCAATCAAGATATCTACGTTTCAACTTGGCACCAGTTATAAGAAATTTGAATTTCCTGCTTACAAGAAAGACTGGAGTCTACTGTTTTGACAGGCTTCTTAATCAAGCAGTGTTCCTTCCCCACTCTGGATTGTTCAAAAAGTAAACGAGGTGCAACAAACAAGCCAAAAACGCTGAGATGGAGGTTGTCATATTTTTATACCGCTGAGATTATTATGGTAACATTTAGTGAGTGATTTAAGTCAAGTAAATAATGGTTTTTTTATTAACGAGAAGTTGGAATTTGAAAAACTTTCATTTTTTGTTTACCAGTAACTTTTGCTATTTTCTTTTTTTTTCTTTCTTTTTTTTCATAAATCTTGTTCTGCAGATTATTTTGATGGCAAAAAATAAATCAAAATGTTTTAATATGTGACTTTTTGTCCATCCAAGTCACAACTTCTGATTAGCTTCATCACTTCAAAAAGTTGCTTCTGCATTACTGAACAAACGTGAAAGAATGTACTGCATGTCGAATACAGAAAAGAATAGTTCTATGAAAGATGAGTCTGTAGCGAGTGCATCTTGCCTCCATTACCTTGCTTGTTCCTAAAGCACCGATAGGACGTGCTGGTCTACCAGATAACCCAAGTTTATCATTAATTCCTAGATGTTTGTAAACCTGAACCAGTTGGTTTGATGACCAGATTAGAACCGGTTCCACTTCGTGTGGTGTCTGGGTCTGAATGCCGTAGGTTGCCATCATGGCTTGCAGGCGCATTGATTCAGCAATCAAAACTATTTGAACAACAAGGTCAGTTGCAGTTCCCTGAAAGAGAACAGATGGAAATAACACAAGATAATATGAATAGATAATAATGAGAGGAGTGAAGAGGATACATTCTAGCTGATCAAAATTAAACATCATAAAAAGAATGGGGTAACGTAAATGCCAAAAGCTACAAAAAAGGCATTGTGATAGAGTCATCGATTTCTTGCCGATTTCCACATTCATGTTGGAAGATTATGCATATTAATGGTTTAAAGCCGTCACACACAAAAAGTTTCAAAAGTTAAGGCTGAGAATTAAGCTCTTGAAAAGTTGATTTTTCATACATAAAGTATATGATCAAGACTTCCCGTACTTAGAACATGCCCTCTACTCAGCTATTTTTATCTTTACCTGGCAGGGAAATTTTGCAACAAGTGCATTCTGCACCAAAGTAACTAAAAGTTATCGGTGAACTCTTTACTTAATAGAAACTGGGCAAGCAAAAAAAGCAATTTTGATCATGCAAATCAATTTGTCACACAAAAAATCAATGGCCACAGTTCGAAACAACGTATCTCCGTTTGCGACGTTGCAGACCTCACGCCATACCTATTTTTTTTCTGGGAGACTAGTCAAAGTAATTTCTTGACAAGCTCCTTCATTTTTCTTCTCTGTTGGCAGAATATTTTGTATGAATTTCAAGCTATAAAGTTGGTATGTTCTCTTCCAAAAAATAAAATAGGAATGAAAATTTTGAAACACGGCAATGAAAATACATGGTCTCACACTTTGGCTATCAAAATGTTGCCTTCATTTTGTCTTTTGTAATGCAAACTACAGTCACAGTACGAGGAAATGAAATTAAAATAATTTGAATGTTTACACACATGTAAAAGAAAGAAAAATTAGAATTAATACGATAAGTTAGATAAATGCTCTAGTTATATGATGAAAAGCTAAAGGAACTAACTGAACTGAAAAAACTTTTTGCCATCATTGACAACCCAGGTCGAAAGTGACTTTTTTATTCACAACCACAAGTAGCCGAAAAATGCTTTCTTAGGAGATTTCCGAGTTTTTTCATTTAGGCGCATTTGATTAATGAGTTTCTTGTGCGTGAATTTCAACCTATTCATAAGTTTTGACTTTGTAAATAAGTATATTACATGTTGTCCCCTGAACAGGTTGTTAATATTCTAGAATATTTATTAGTTTAACAGGTCATTTTTGAGTCTTATAACTTTCTACATGCAAGCTGGAGAGAGTGAAACATTTCGAGGGTTTAATGGGGTCAACGATTCCCTTTGGCAGTTAAAACCATACTTGAAAGTATTTACAGAAATCCTCATTAAAAAGAGAGATCGTACACAACAAAACTTTATTCCATGCTAGAAGTCATAGCAACTCAAGCAAAAAAAATTATTAATGAGTTGAGCATTTGTGTTCATAGCAGAAAAAAATAGATTCTCAAAAAATTATTGAGGAACAGTTTCATAAATTTTGAAATAAATAAATAAATAAATGACAACTCATACACAAAACAAAACAATGCATCAAACAAAAAATTTAAAGTATTACTCACAATCGATGTGGCTTTGGCCTGAAAAATGTAAAGTAGACTTAATTCACAAAAAGCATTCTATGTTTCTTCTCCCCCCCCTTTTTTTTAAAAAAAAAAAAAAAAATTAATTCCCAAAATGTTAATGGTCAATGATACAAGAAAATAAGCTGGATCAGCTCCTTTACACTTTAAATTTTACATATCTCCATCCGTCAGGTAATTTCTGTAATTTTTTTTCTCTCTCTGAGTACATAGGTATCTTAAATTTTTGTTCTTCATAAATGTGGATGAAGCAGTAAGAGCAAGTTGCCCAGCTAGATAGAGCGGCCAAAGTGGATCAATGAATGACTGATGATGGGAGAGGCAAGGAATTTGCAGCTCACAATCTTTCCGAATCATTTGCAGTTTTGTGCAAGACTTGTTCCAAACGTAATACAACAATTACGATCTTGAGCAAGTGAAAAAAAGCCATGAAAGTGAAATTCTGATAAGACTCTCTCTAGATAAAGTAATTAGAAATCTAATAAGATCTCTATAAGCTCAATTAGTCAAAAATTCTTTAAGAAATAGGAAACAACCCTTTGAAAACAATGTATTGCTATGTGTTGCAATTTGTGTTATAAGTTTTTCAGAAAATGTATTACATGTGCCACGTTTGCTAGTTATACTTTGCATTTTAATGAACTGAAATTTTTGAGGTATTAAGTGAATCTTGCAGTTTAAGCACAGTCAGGCGCATGATCAGCACAGATCTCAGAAGAAACTGTGCTTTCACAAACTTTAATCTGAACAGAAATGGACGAGCAACTGGGAATTGAAAGACTTTCTACTAAATCGCACTTTCCTTCAAAGAAAAATTTGTGCCAATGACGAAACAAAAAGCTTCATCTTATCCAATTTTTTCCCTTTCTTTAGAGATATGTAATAATAATAAATAAATATGATAAAAGATTGAGCAATGCTCCTCTCTTCCCAACCCAAGACTGATGGGAAAAAATGCAACACTGTAAAGAGGCTTTTGCTGCCTGCAACCAAGTGATGAGGACTTTCAGAAGTTTGGACGAAAGTAGGGTTTCCTAATTCATGTGCACCGATGCCTTACTCGCTTCACAATTTGACTTGAATTTCTCTATTTTTCAAGGAAAAATCCTGAAAATCTGACAGGCAATTGTGCAAAAACTCATCACTCAATGCAACTTTTTCAACAAATGAACTTATAGAGGTCCTGATAGATTTCTAATTACTTTACCTAGAGTCAGTGGTGAGGCGTGGATGATCAATGATCGATTATCAATTTGTCCTCATTTGAAGCTATGGTAAAGAATCGATTATTAAGGTGTTAATTGCGAACACCCGGTGTATCGATTCTTTTCCATAGGTTTAAATGACGGATCAGTCGATATACTGCAAACCACGCCACGCAACTGCCTAGAGTAATGTCAAATTGGTTCAAAATTGCCAGCATTGCATTGCTTTTTAGACAAAACATTCTCATAAATAAGTTGAAAAAGCGGGAAAAAAAATTACCTGGAAAGCAGAGTATCTGCCACCTTTCCTGGGGCGGTTGTAGGAGGGTAGATACCTTCTGATAGGGTCAAGTTCATTAATGTGCAGGAGACCAGAGGTGAGCAGTTGGGCAATGACAAATAATGATTGGTTCCACAGGAAAAGAGGAGCTTCCCCTCCACTCCCCTCCATGCTTGGATACCAAGGCTGACTTCCTGGTTCTGCTCGTTCAAACTCCACGCAATCCTCAGCAATGTAGAAATACATAGGAATGCATGGATCTGAAAACGAGAAAAATGCTAGTCTTAAATGAATGTGCTCCGCCTTGCAAAAGAGGATATTTCGAGTAAAAAATTAAAATTTTAGTTACAGTACCACTGCTTATTTAAGTTATTTTTGCACCTTCGACTCAAAATACATAATATTCCAAAGATTGCTAAATTAAGAGCACCTCTTAATTTGGAAACAAGGAAGACTCGTAAAAACAAAAGAAATTCAAAGTTGGAGATTTTTCTGCTCTTGCTACAGGCCATGAGTCATGAGGTAAAACACAAAAAAAAAAACTTTAGCTGATACCTGGTGGAGTTCAGCTTTTTTAGATACTATTTTTTCACCATTTTTAGATCCGATCTATTATTTAGGGCAGAAAAAGAAGAAAGTTAGAGAAACTTCCAAAAAAAACGAATATGTGGCATTCTGATTATGCACTTACCGCCGTAATTATCCCTGTGAACGACTTTCTTCAGCAGAGTGTGGTACTCGTTAACTTGCTCTGTTGACCCTTTGAACATTCCATCGATTATCATGTACATAAAGAAAAGCGGCCATTGGCACTCAACATTTTCGAACTCCTAGAGCAAAAAACAATAAAGAACTTGAGCCTCAGTGCAACTAAAAATAATGCAGTAGTTGATAACTTATTCAATTAATCTCTAACTAAGATATTCTAATAACATTTAAAAGGAGTTGCAGTTTTTTTCTTCTTTTTTTTCTTTTTTTATGTAAAAAAAAGAAGTTCACAATTCATTTTGAGCTGTAAGTTCAAATGCTCATGTTTTAGAGTAAACAGCTGAGAGACAATGAATTTCATTCTTCTTCCAAAATGTTCTCCTTTATTTAGAATGACATGACTGAAACTCATATGAGCTTGCATGTTAAAATTCAAACTAGAAATTATTATAAACTCGTTCACAGACAACAGGTGCTCATTTAGGATCAAAATGTATAGTTCCAGTTGACACACTGATCAATTTTTACTCCTTCTCTACCTTATTATGGTTTTTAAAAGGGAAATTTTTGAATCAGATTGACCATTAAAAACTTCAATAATTAAAAAGTACGAGGTCTGTTAGATTAGAAACCGGATTTTGGTCATAACTAGTTCACAATGCGTCCAAATTACGTTTTCTTGAGCTTTTCTGATAGCTGAAAATATATTTAAGAACGCTACGTTCACAAATTTGAAAAATCCTAGTTAGCTTCGTTGGTATGTGGCTTGAAGTAAGGCAACCTCAAGGGTGTTTTGCGATTTTTATGTTTGACCGAACTTGTCTCTCTTTTTTCGGTCTTGCACTACATTTTTCAACCCACAAGGACGATTGGAGTTTCGTCTCCATATCGTAGCCATACACTAAAGTATTGTCACCGAAAATTATCCTGTCCACAAATGTAGGATCATTGTTAGAACGTTCAAGCAGCTAAAGGGAAATTGACATTTGGTTGAATTTTCTTTCAACGGACAACAATCAAGGGGCAAGTGTACCTGAAACTCGATGCGTGTCTACATATTCTATCAAAATTGTATGTACAGAGCCATCAGAAATATTACTCTGTTCGACAAGCTCGAAACAACCATTTTCGAGCACTTTTGCCCGCAATTCTTCCACGTGACAAATGTCAGTTGCCGTTGAGGGTCGATTCCCATGCTCCTCATCTTTGACGAACTCCTGACCTGACCAGTTTTGAATCACTTAACCCATTCAAAACAGTGGGAACATCTCATACAATGATCATGGGAAACTTTACTTAACATATATCAAAAGTTTCGGTACAAGGTATACCGAGTTTAAAACAAAATTTAATGTTGAATCTTTGCTCTATCAGTGATCGCATGATGAAAATCGCAAAATGCACCTGACTTACTCGTATTCAAGATGACACAGAATAAACACTGATCAAAATAAACAAAATCCATCGCATGATGAAAATCGCAAAACGCACCTGACTTACTCGTATTCAAGATGACAGAGAATAAACACTGATCAAAATAAACAAAATCTGTGAACGTAGCTTTCTTAAGTATATTTTCAGCTATCAGGAAAGCTCAAGAAAACCTAATTCGGACGCATTGTGGGCTAGTTATGACCAAAATCCGGTTTCTAATCTAACAGACCTCGTACATAAAAATTGAGAACAGCTTTCATTTTATTTGAAAGGAACCTACTCTTGTTTCTCCGACTCGATAAAACTTCCGGCTAGAATCCTCAAGGACGCATTTAAAGCCATCACGTATGAAGCGTTTAAATCCACATCCGCCTTTCAATTTTGAGATTATATTATTCTTTGTTTGGTTATATAGTGTTTCTTCGTGAGTTGCAAACGCTGGAAATGATATAGTTGGTATTAATGATGAATCAACGTCCTAAAACAATGAAGTACCACCATCACTTTATTAAATCGATTACACAAAGAAAATTAGGGTATTCACATTATTAGAAACAAGAAAGTCCCGAGAAACAAACCTCTCATCAGCAACTCTAATTTATGTGAAACTGTGGGAGCATGTGTGCAAGCACATGTGTTTGAATGATTATTGCTTTTATTATGGAGGCGCCGTGTGTGCAAATGTACTTGAAGGGGTGGAAGGTGTGGGGAACAGGCGTCTCTAAATTCAAGGGGGCTCCAAAAGTTTTCCCTTGAACTTTGCAGGAGCAGAACGTGTGGAGACTATATACTTCTGACTTACTAGAAATTTTGATTTTACAACATTTGTTTCATGAAAAGAAATCTTGAAGTTTCTAAATGAGTCTACAAGATGCAACTCTTTAAAAGTAGACAAATTATTTTGTTCAATACACTGAAATACATACATGAGCGGCGCGGACTAGTCATGTGGGACTACCGGGACTTTTTCTGGAGGGCCAGTCGGTCAAAGGGTCAGTCTGATGAGAGAAAATAGAAAAAAAGGAAGAAAAAGAGAGAAAGGGAGAAATAAGAGAAAAAAGACAAGAGCCACTTTTACAGCTCTTTCTGGAGCTCTGTGATACCTATCCACTACAGTACTCTATTCTCTAGTCTTTCTGAGAGTTGGCACTCATTCATTTCTTGTTAAATTCCCTATTGCCATCCTTCTACTGGACACCCCCTTTGTCTCCTCTTGGGAAGATCCGGACCGACTATCTTTTTTGGCAGCCTTTCTTCTGTCATCCTGTTGATCCTAAACCAAACTGGCTGTTTGGTCATAACGTCGAATACAATGTCAAAAACCTTGTTTTTTCTAGAATGAAGAGGGATGCATAAAATCAAAACAGAGAGTTTTGAGGAATTGCTAACCTTTGAACTAGATTCTTTGGGAAGAAGAGTTTCAAAAATACTTCTATTCCTGTTGTGAGCATCAATATCTACGTAAATGACAGACCATGATGCACCTTTTTCTCCAAAAAGATTGCACCCATTGATTGCTTCCAGGGCACTTTTAGCCATCCCTATTGAGCTGAAATCAATGACAGAATTATTATTTAAAAATTTTACGGAATTTTTCCCCTATTCCACCGAATCAAATCTGACAAACCAACAATTAGTGAGCATAAAAAATTTATGATGCATTTCTTAGAAAAATGGGGGGAAAAATTAATTATTTGATAAACGCTGCTATTCCATGATATTAAAAAGTTGTGTGCAATGTTGGGCTCAAGCGCCTTACGACAAGATTTTTGCACAGCATCACATCCAAGGAATCATGATGCTAACACTAACCTCGAGTTGGGGAAACCATTTTAGAAGAATGGTACATGAAATTATAACTTAATCACTTTTCCTAATAAAGTAGTGCCCTGATTATCCAACCACAAATTATCCAAGCTTCAGTTACCTGAGGGGGTCAAACTTGAGTTTTGGATCAAAACAAGCTAGCAAATACAACAGAAATTTTAGGTGAACAGGATTTGCAGGATGAATATTACTAAAATTAACTTTTAACCAAGATACTTACTTTCTTTTTAGGACTGATTATGAAAAATTTGAATTGCCGGCTCATAAGAAAAACTAGAGTCTACATGATTGAAACTGCGCACTTAACGATTTTGGGAGACTTCTTAGCTGAGCACTTTTCCTTTCCCGCCCTGTGTTGTTCAAAATGTAAACAATGTGAAACAGCTAAGTCAAAATGCCAAGACTAAGGTTGCAAAATTTTCATACTGAAGAGATAACTTAAAAAAGAGAAAACAAGACTCAAGTAGATTATGGTCTTTTTTATGAGCGGAAAGTTTGAATTATTGCATGGAAAAACATAACTATCTTGGTTAGGAATTACTTCCAATAATTTTCTTTGCACAATGCAAGTTCTACGCGAAATTTTGATGAGAAAACATAGATCATAATGCTTAAATTTGCACCATATTTAGTGGCTCATTTATCCTGAAAAAAAGGGGTAATAACAATTTACCTTGCATGAATTTCTGGAACATTGTCATTATATTTGGAGCCTCTTTCCCACATGCCATAGTCTGGAGTTCGATAAGCACGTTCAACATAGTAAACCAAGTTTTGTATGAAAGCAACTTCATTTTGGGCGTAGATAATCTGCAGGCCAGATGTTATCATTTGGACCAAAAATAACAAGTACAAAGAGATGGAATCAATCTGCAAAAAAAAAAAATTAATTCACTTGACACAGTTGTTTTGAAATTTAAATTCTAAGCATCCTGAAAATTTATCAAACTATTCTACGGATATCTTGCAAACAAAGAAGCAAAGGTATGAATATTTTTTACATATGCTATCCAAATGGATAGAGATAAGCAAAATAATTACATCTATACTTCAATTTTTCAAAATCTCATCTCCTGTTTTAATTTTTTGGAAGGAAACCAACCAATATTTGTGCTTAAAATTTTAGGGAAATGAACTTCATTTGGGAAAGAAAAATTGCAATGATCTAAAGTAGAGATGTTGGTAGGTTTCTTTCCAAAAAATTAAAACAGGAGATGAGATTTTGAAACAACGCTATGTAGATATTACTGTCTTGCTCACCTCTGTCTATTTGACAAGAAAATATGCTTAACAAGTTGCACAAAAAAATTGGAGGAATCCTTGGAAATTTTGATCAAGTTTTTCTCAATTTAAGCTCATACGGTAGCATTACTAGTAGGTCTGGAAAAAAAAAACAATCCCTCATAATCTACAATAATGTTCCTTAAAAAACCCAAAACCTAATTTTCTGCATGTTTACCAGGTTCATCGAAGAAATCGGTAAAAACTTCGGACATGCCAATGGACTACCAGACAAGGTACAAATTTAAGCGATCAGACATATGTTTCCTAACCAGAGTTTTACGTAGAACACGATTTGCACAACGAAAATTATTGAACCCAACTCCTAACTACGATATTAACGTTTTTATTTCACATTTGTTACGAGGAATTTGAACTGCCCGCTCACAAGAAACTCAAAGCTCTACGTGAATCAAATCGAGCACTACGACGGTTTCAGCAAGCTTCTCAATCGAGTAATGTTCATTTTCCACCATGTGTTGCTCAAACTATTAGCAATTTGCTATAGCTGCGCCGAAGCATCAAGATTGAGGTTGTCAGATTGTTATACCGCAGAGACTGTCAGGATAACGTTTAGCGCGAGATGTGAATCATGCAGACCATTGAGTTTTCATGAGCGAGTGGTTTGAATTCACGCATCAGGAATCATTAAATATCTTCGTAAGGAGTTAATTTCAGGAATTTTAGTTGTGCGCATCGTGTTCTGCGTGAAATTTTAGTTACGAAACATGTATCAGAATGCTGAAATTCGTACCTTCTCTTGTGGTCCATTACCATTGTCATTTTTGACAGTTTGAGGGGGGAGGGCTGAAACATTTTTTTGTAAAAAGAAATCATTTTTACACCTGAAAGTAATGAGTGTGAGTTCATACTTCAGAAGTGAGGACTCTGATCAACTTCTACCTCAATTTATATTCACAAATCCTGAGGGCTCACTTTCAAACAAATTTTTGGGGGAAAAAACCTTTTGCTACTTATTCTGATCCTTAAATGCAACTTTAATCCACTATTTCATACTGATATTTTTTTCCTTCCTTTTTTTAAGTGAATTGAACAAACTGTGTTTTGGTCCCTCTATTGCTTTTTCTTTACTTAGTTACAACCCAGGAAGGATGTAAAAAGTTCCCTGAAGCCTGAGATTTGATCATCCAAAACTTTTTCTTTCATGTTTCCTTAAAATTCATTCTATCTGATTATCCTACTTTTCCACTCCCAACTAAAACAAGTCAAACTTTCTGTTCATTCAAGTCTAAGTAAGTACCTTGCAGAGGAATCAAAAAGGAATTTTCGAGTTCTGTTGAAAAAAGGATGAGACAAATTTCCATTTTTCCTGACAGTTCATGCAAAAAATTTGAATACCTGTAAGTGAGGGTACTCTTCTGTTGAATAGACATGAGCACCTGTTGTTAGGTGAAATTTGCTGTGTAGGGCATGTTTACTGTTCTGATTTTTTTTAAATAATTCTATTAGTGGCGCCTGCTTCATCCAACATTCTAAAATACCTCTCATACATTTTACAGCAGACTGGCCTAATTCATACGACTTTCCTCGGTCATCATCTATACGCCTGCAATAAAAAAATAATAATAATAAAGTACCTAACCCATTAAAACACTGTTATTCTTAGAAAAACATGGTATACTCCATAAGTATAATACACTCTTTTGAAACATGAAACCTTCTGACAAATTGCAGTGTAAGTAAATTTTTTCATGATTACCTATAAGTATGATCATTATCTCAATTTATACTAGTCCCTTTTTTTTAAAAAAGAGAGAAGATACTATCATATCAAAGTATAATTGGTAAACTCGCACCAAAAATTTAAAAGTAATAATTAAAAAGGCCTCAATGGGAACTAGGTACCTACTTATCTATAGTTAAATATAGTCAATGCCAAAATAAACAGCACCATTGTAAAAATGATTGAAATTTGATTAAATTGTAGAATTTTTTCCTCATGGAAATGAACTTTAAACAGCTTATTTCTGTTTAATACACTATCATTCTTCCATTGCTATTTCAGCGGTCATGAACGTCTTACTTTACCAACTGCAAATCGCAGCAACATTGGGCAACTTTTGAAAGTGACAACATTTTTTTATCTCATTAATTCAAAAATTTTGAATAAAGCAGACATTTTTCTTATGGCGGATCAGAAATTTTGCCCTGATAGTGATAAGAAAACACATCACCAGAAACGGTGGCGTTTTGAAACCATTGGGACCCTTATCCATCTGAAATTTTAAAATAACCCTTTTCATTCAGTTCTAATGAGAGAAAATAATCTTTCAGTTTAATTCAAGCGAACTCATACCTGTAAGCCTGATACAAACTCCAAACTGCAGCAGCACAGTAAATACTATCTCGGACACTTGCTACCTCCGAGCCATCTGATAAAACTGGAAACATGCCAGTGATGGGACTTTGAAATCTAAGAATTTGCCGTTTGACTGGGCAAAAATTAAAAACAGAAAAAAAAAATAAATAATAATAATAATAATAATAATAATTCTAAACTGATACAAATACATATCAAACTGAAAAGTAGTGTGCAAAAGCAGCTTTACAAACAAAGATGTTGGCATTACATCACAGCATACATGCATACCTACTTAAAAAGAAGCAATTTACCCCTGAAATGTCCACATTTTTGTCTCTTATCCTCATCTGAGAGGTGCTTTAAACATATTCTCATATAATGCAAAAGTAAAAATATGCAAATTCAGCACTAGACTCTGAGCAGATTCTCTCCCCGATTCATTCAAATCAAAGATTGATGAAGATTTTGGGAGATTAAAATGCTTAAAATTATTCTGAAGAAGCATTTAAAAATCCTAAAAAATCGCTGATTGCGATATTGGGTTCTGATTCAAATGACTGGATCCAATGACCGGATGACTGGGACTGCAGTAGAGGTAAAAACAGATTACTGGTCCCTGTGTTTGATCACTAGATGAACTCGGCACAAAACCAGTGGAGCCAAGAGGCCTCTGACAAAATTATGTATTTGAACGAATTTGGAGATAGCGTAAGTATATACTTAATTGCAATTTAATATCACTCTTGGATCTCCATTCAGCTTTGACTCATTGTATCAAAAGGGAATTAGAAAATATATCTCCATGAATGAAATAAGGATGAAATTCCAGAATAAATAGGCAACAAACCGATTCCGTAGAATACATCAAGCTGGTAGACTGTCTCCTCATAGCTGCAGTTTTTGATATTAACATCCAAATCAAGTTCGACAATACTGGGGTGCCGCTGAGTAATTTCACCTGTGTTTAACAAAAGTAAAATTATTATCATGAGTAGAGAAAAGATCAACCCAATTAGATGAAATTCCTAGTCCACACATCATAAAAATATTAAGGCTGATGTTGCATGGGCAACCAAGTCGCAGCATTTTAAAAGAGGAGTGTCAATTAACAGGCAGAGATTTAACAAACTAATTAAGTTGTGGCTAAAAAGTTGGAATGAATTATGTACCTGGAGCATAGTTTCTGGTGAAAAACATTCTCTAAAATAATTTAAATACAGCAAAAGTTTACTGAGACTATCTGAAACTGTGAAACATTATTTGAGGAGCAACTGGAGCAACAAGGTTATGATAAGGTTTGTTGATGTGATAAGACCATAGAGTAAGACTTGAATCGATAGATCCATACGATAGATCGCTACGATATCGATATATCGCTTTCCTAACCTCTCTTGCAAAATTCCACGTCTCTGTGCGGTCTGTGTGTTTCTCCTGTCATTCTTGCCCTTTAATTTTCATTTTTAACATCTATTTTACTAATAATCTACGCTCTGCTTCTTGCAAGATTAGTGGCGCATATCGGCGCGAACCGTTTCAAGTGAACAAACCATTTTCCGTCTCTTCAATTCTCGTTTCCGTTTGTGTTTTTTAGCTCACAATGGTCTCTGTTTACAACACGATTGACACTGGCCACGAAGACCTAATTCACGATGCAGAGATGGACTACTACGGCCTCCGCCTTGCGACCTGCTCCTCAGATCACTCTGTAAAAATCTACAATATCAGAAATGGCACGCAAAACATAATTGCTGATCTCAAAGGCCATTATGGTCCAGTATGGCAAGTTGCCTGGGCACATCCGAAGTTCGGCAACTTACTTGCCTCTTGTTCCTATGATCGTAAAGTCATTATTTGGAAGGAAAGCGGAGAGTGGTCAAAGCTTTATGAATTCAGCAATCATGATTCCTCTGTCAATTCGATAGCTTGGGCTCCACATGAATATGGCCTCATTCTTGCATGCGGAAGTTCTGATGGTACTATTTCCATTTTGTATCACTCATCTGACTCCAGCTCCTGGGAATCCAAAAAGATCATGAACGCACACACAATTGGATGCAACACAGTCAGCTGGTGTCCTGCCTTAAGCCCAATTCCTGCATTTGACGTCAACACTAGTAGTCGTGCGAATCCTGTCAAACGGCTTGTGAGTGGAGGGTGTGACAACCTAGTCAAAATTTGGAAGGAAGAAGGTACTTATTCCTTCGTCATTCATAAAATTAGAACTGAGTGACCATCTTCTCATTTGTCTATGAAGCTAGCTCATTGTATTTAAAGACGAAATTCAAGAGCTTTCTCAGCAGGTGTACTAACCTGTTGAGTATTGCTGATTCAGAGCCAATCAGAGATGGAAAATTTACCTCAACATACGATGAGCAATCTCTATTACGAAGAGGAGTATTCGGTTCAATTTTTGTTATTAAGATGTGGGTATTGCTTGTTCTAAGATACTTATACACTCCAATATGCCCCCCCTGTTGGAAACAGACAGATTTATTGGAAACGCGCCAGCTCTGAGTCAAAGAATTGTTGCCTTTGAATATGTAGATATTTACATGAACTTCTCGAAAATTTTCTAATTTTTTATCAGAGGGGAGAAAACCTATCCAAAGAGTTTGAATACAAATCAAGAATTTAGCATGCGTCCGAAAAGTTTCTAGAGACCCTTCTAGACTAAGCATACCTGCGCTCTTGGCAGCTTCTAACTGGCTGCACATCAGGGAGAGAGGTCCAACACCTTCACCAGTGCTTAAATCACTTGATCAGAAGTAATTTATTTTTCTCAAGTCTGCATAGATGTCATGGAATTTTTCTTTTAGACCTGCATGAACTATAAATACAGCAAATAATAGAAATAGTATGAAATTAAGTGAGAAACAAGGAAAATGGGGGGAACTCAACTCATTATCAATCTGAAATTGCAAATTCATTATGGCTTTTCAAGTATGTTGTGCTGCTGTGCTGATATTCTACTTGATCATCATCTATCGTTAGGCATGAAAAATTTGAATAAAACATGAATTCATGAGACTTTTTTTTTCTTCTTATGTTTTCTCCAGGAGACCGTTGGGTGGAAGAAAAGAAGCTAGAACTTCACACCGACTGGGTTCGAGATGTCGCTTGGGCTCCATCAATTGGACTACCAAAAAGCGTAATCGCGAGCTGCTCTCAAGACAGGCGGGTTGTGATCTGGACAAGCGATGACACAATCAACTGGACGCCAACAACACTCCACACCTTTGATGATGTAATCTGGAACGTCAGCTGGTCCCTAACAGGCAATATTCTATCCGTATCTGGTGGTGACAATAAAGTGAGCCTGTGGCGAGAAAATAATGAAGGACAGTGGGTTTGCATTAGTGAGGTAACTAAAGGTCAGGGCCAGATCTCTAACGAAACAAGGGCCTTGTAGATATTTCTTTCATGTTAAACATTCTCATTCATCAGTGATAATCTTTGAACGCACCAACTGGCTCAAAGATCTTGGCTAAAATTTCCTGTTTAGGGAGTATCTGTACTTCTGCCGTGCTTAGGAAGCACGCTGTATGAGCCTTCAGACGTTGCCAAATTGACTCTGATAAAACAAAAATTTTTGGGTAAACTTGCAAAAACTTTTCTTCTAATTTTTCTGAGATTTTTTGCACTTTTATTTAAAATCTCAGAAAATCTGAAGGAAAAGTGATCATAATTTTCCTCAAAATGAATCATTGTATAGAAGGAAATATGGTAACTTCTGAATGTTAATATAGAGTACTTCCTTAGCACGGCAGACTTGTTTATTCGTTTTGCCACCTACGCTAAGTTTAGCAATTTATTCTGAACTGAAACCTAAAATTTTGTCAACAGTTGCAATTTTACTGTTTTCACGTCAAATTGTAAGAATCATGTAAATTTTAATTTGAAAATTTTCAGAAGTTCACTGTAGCTCAGAATTTTCAATGTGTATGTATTTTAAAATAAACTGTATTATTTTGTAATTCAATATTTTTTGGTGACTTCTTCACAGCCGTCTGAATTTCAGAAAGATGAAAAATAACTAAAGTTGACTTCCCTGCCTGTTTTTAGATGGAAATTTTTCGTATAAAGAGTAGGGAAACAGTAAAGTGAGTATTTTTATGAACGCTGTTGCAAAATAGGTACACAACCAGAGAGGATGTGATTCACATAAAAAACGATGTGCAAAACTTAAAACCTAATCTCAATGCAAATTAAAATGAATTTGCCTCTTCGAACAGCTTTTCCCCATAGTCTTAATCAAAATTTTTGCTTCCAACCAGGATTCTTATTAACGCACACTACTTAGATCCAAATCCAACTAGAATTGATGAAATATTGAGAAAAATCAAGAGTTTGTATGAACTGTCTTTTTTAAATGCAAGTTGAATCTGCATTTCGTAACTTGCATGTACAGTTGCGCATTGAAAGAGCTTGTATAAACATCGCTACTGAACGATGTCCTGTTTTGCTCCCAATTGAAAAGTACATTATGCAACAGGCTACTATTTTGTAGAAGAAAAAAGATATCATTAAAGGAAAAAAATTGCATTGATTAAACCACTTGATATAATGTAAGATGCTCTCCGAAGAATGATGATAACTCAATGAAATTAAGAGGGACTGCAAAGAAAAAAAAGAGAGAGAGAATTTAAAATAAAAATATATCATTTTATTAATTTTCATGGAAACAAACACTCAGATCACATATTCTTAAATTTAAAAAATCCACCAATAAAATTTATACCTAAAGATGATGGGACAGATTTTATTAAAATAGCTTATCATTAATGCAGGTACCAAGTGACCTATGAATACCTATACCAGTTCGGTCAATAATTGAATATTGATGTTGAAATTCGATGGAAATTTTTTAGATTGCTGTGAACTTTTAATGATAATGATAATAATTAAATCACATTTTGCAATAAGGAACCAATATTTCTGGCCCATTTCAGAAACAACATGCATGCCATTAGTTTCCCTATGCAGATATGTGCTTTTATGGGCGAGCCAGAGATAGTGGTTCCTTATTACAAAATGTAATCAAATTAATACTATATAAAAAAAAATCTTTTTGGCAGATATAGAATTAGAAATAGAATAAGAGGACCTGCCGCCCTAGTTGCTGGCAAAGCTCTTATGCCTGGTGTTTCAGAGCGAACAACAGACTTGAACATGATGAAAAATTATATGTACTGAGCATTAGATTGAAAATTCAACCCAAAACAATTCTATAACCACATCCTTAAATTGTAGGCTACGGAGGATTGACTAGAGGTGGCATTCGAGAGACCTGACTTAAAGGTTTTATTGATGTTGTTGCCGGCAAAAAACAAGAAAAAACAACATAATTGAAACATAATTGGGCACAAAGAAATCTAAACTTTTACCTTGAAATAAATATATTAGTACTTAATCATAAACAATCACAGCCAGCTTTTTTAGAATTAAAAAAACAAAAAACAGCTGAAAGTTAAAATTTTAAAGGTACATTTGTTAGTTGCAAAAATATCAACTCTCCTGTAGGCAGGGATACACAACTTGTTCCGATCTAAATCCACTGCAATCAATAATGCACAAATCGAATTTTATCAACATTTGCTCTTTCTTTCAGTCATTTTTTAAATCTTTCTTTTAAACTTTTTTGGTATGATTCTCATGAAAATTGAGAATATTTATGAAATATTTACAATATTTTATAGATGGAAAAAATATTCATACCATTATGAGCATAAACCAACGTTTGAATATACTTCTAACCAATGTTGGTAAAAACTCATCTAATGGGTGATAGGACCTCACTGTGTGGTTCTTTTTTTAGGGCCAGTTAAATGAACATCATAACTTTAGCTGGAAGGAGTAAGCGGATTCGTGCACAGTCTAGCTGGAAAGAGGATTTGTATATAGACTAGCTGAAAACACAATATTCCTGCGGATACGTCGAGCAGCATCATCCATTTTCTCTCCTAGATCCATCAGTCCAATCAGCTTTGTTGCATCCCTGACATCAGATATCATCTCATGCAGCTGCTGGATTGTTCGAATGATAATACCCTCTTGAATTTTGGTTAGCTTCATGATTTCAACAAAGGAGCTCTCCTTGGCCCACTCATAGATTACTGGCAGCAGGTAAAAATTGGGTTCCGAGTTTGCATACTCCCATGACTCACCACGGGTCATGTACCGACGCTCAAGTTCTGCAATGGAGGCATAGATGTTATCGAACATTTCGATGGCTTTTTGCATAGGAGTTGATATTGTGCAAAGGTCAGGACGGGGTTCTTCTTTGCCCTTGTAAACAAGAGCAGACAACAATGCAGCTACCTCAGCAGATGATAATTCCATAAAGACATTGTTCATCAGGAGCTGGACAATAATCAACTCTTGCGTTCCCATTTGACATGCAATATGACCTTTGAATAGCACCTGCACATAAAACGAAAAATAATTCACATTGTAACAGCAAACTTAGTGTTAAAAGTACATAAAGTCAAATACACAATTGTGTTAGAAATTTGCATACAGCAAAGAAATTTTCAATGCAAAAGCTAGAACCTCGCAAGTCAAGAGTTGAGAAACCTCAATAAGAAGGTACTTTTTACAAAACTAAAATATTCAATGCTACGATCCTCACAACGAGATGTGCAGGAAAAAAGAAGATTCTAGAGGCTCAAAAGTATCAAACATAGCACTTGCATATGTTAATCTGAAAACAAATAAATTGCAGCTTACATGGTTGCGACTGCTGCCAGCTGTTGCCAATCAGCTGCTCTGATTGGAGAGGTGGTTGGCTTGCCGCCACAAGCAGATTGCGTTGTGAAACTAACACCTCCTTTAGCAATTTTATCAATATGTATTGTTTAGTGATTACTCCTGCTAAAAGTCTAATGATTGATGATACATAATAGAGCAATAGTCTAGCAAAATATAGACAAAAGTTGTTTTCGGTGATGGACATTACCTTTCTTTGCTTGTCAATGAACTCCAAGCTCTCCAGTACAGCAATTTTCTCTTTGTAATCTTGATGAAGGTCCATGTTTTCTGGTGAGAGAAGGCACTTGAGTTCTTTTCTACGCATATGAATTTTTTTGTTTTCAAAAACATCTTCAAAATAGTTTAAATACTTGGAAACCTCCGAGAACGTGCTTAGTTTAGTCTCAAGCTTACTCAACATTTCCTTACACGATACAAAAGAGAGTGTCCGGAAAGGACATGTTTCACTTGTCCACAGAATTTCTTTCGCATTAACTGTCCGCGACATTTCACTAAGTGTTCTGATAGCCAGCATGCAGTTTTCTCCTGGTTGTTTGTCCCTGTAAATGAAAATTGCACTTGAAAGTGGACAGAAGGGAAAAAGCAAAGCCTCGCTAATTTTTTAAGTAACTAGAAATGTTGGTTTACCAACAAATTTTCAAAATGTGTCATCACACTCTATCACTGGGTTTTCCAGTTTTTGCCTCGTTTTTGACCATTTTGAATCAACTGCATTTTTTTATATCCGTACTAACTGCGGTAAATTATTTGCCATTCATGGATAATTATAGTGTCTAAGTGAGTAAGTTTTCCTGTTGATTTTTTTTATATAAGGAAAAAAAAATATAGAAAAAAATTATTACAAACTGAGTTGATTTGTGAGCATTCTTTTGCACACCAAACTTCCTGCCCTGGAGGAAACTACGAGAGTAAAATTTGGTAAGCAAGGTGTTGAGATATTTAAAGCAGTTGTTTCTAAATTGGAGCATTACCATTTTGTGGCTCATCTGAGAACGAACTCGTTCTCTTTTGAAAACAACTGGTTTCTTCAACTATTACTACATCAGTTTTCTAGTTGCTTGTCAGTTTAAGATTGTCCCTTCTCTTGATGTTTTTTTGGTACCATGTTGAGAATAGAGAGAGAGAGTTGGGGGGGGGAGACAGAAAGAAAAATATGGTTGGTATGGTGAGAACAGATGGGAGTAGAAAAATTAGAATTTCTAAGTTCCTCAAGGGCTGAATTTCAGAAAACATGGTTCTTTAAAAAGCTGACAAAGCTGCTGACAAAATGCAATTTTCAAGTTTCCTTCATAAAAGCTGGTTCCAATTTGAGAGAAACAGTTCAACGACTCAATGTTTAGGCAACTATACTCAGGACTTGAAGCAAGAAAGGAGGTAGATGCAGTACAAATTAAGAATCTCTACAACCTGCTTACAAAATCATACAAACTTTAGCTTGTTTTGAAGTTGAAAGTTTTGACAGCCAGGTCTTTTCTGCTGATTTGCATGTAAAGGGGAAAAAATAAGGAAAGATTAAGATACACTTATAGTTTACGTATTGTATAGAATACTTCCTGATGTTTTTCCCTTGAAGGATCAAAACTAAGGATGAGCTAACTTAGTCACTTTGCATTAAGAGTAAAATAATAGAAAAAACATTGAATTTGTACTGATACTTATTACTTTTAGGAAATTACGAACATTTTGGATAAATTGATTTACATAAGTTTGCTCATCTGTTAGGTTGGATTCTAATAAAATTTCCTTGCCAAAAAAAAAAAAAAAACTTTGTTCTAAAATAAATTTTAATCCTTATTATTGACTTCATGAAAATTGTGTATGATCTGGAATGAGATACCTCAAAATACTGAGAAACAAATAAATTAAAACCAAAATTAAATTACATACCGAAATCTAGGAATTTGTCGGGTACCCCAATCCTGAGACACGAGTTCAAAATTAGCTTTAAGAACTCGGCTTGTACTTCCTAGAATGTTGGTCAGATTGATTGTTATCACAATGTCTTTGTCCGTAATTTGGGGCTTGTAAATTTCCCTCCTACGTAGCAGTGACATCATGTTGTACCAAAGATCAGGTCTTTCTACGGAGTTACTGTCTGCATCTTTCGTGGAATCACTCAAAACTAGAACCCTGAAATCATGTTTTACTTGAAATAGAGTGAAGATGAGGAATGAGTGTAAAACTATTCTATTCCTGAAGTTTTGAGTTGAGATGGAAGGAAAAGTATGAATTTTCATGAATAAAGATGTTGAAAAAGGAAACTTAACTTGAGCATTCTGCATGCTTTGAACCAATTGAACCACCACAAAAATATAGAATATTGGAGAGTTTGATCAACATTCAAATTATTCAACAACTGGTGAACTGTGATTGCCCTGTGATTGACTTTCTTTTAATGGAGAAAACAGAAAACTCAACCCCTTGGAGCCTTTCCCAAAACTCCAGCAAAAATACAAACTTCAGGCTTCAATTAGATACAAAAACTACGAATAGGACCATGATTTTTTCAGGTATAAAGGTTAGGACAAGAATTTCTCCACCTTCTGGCACCTCCTGCGTGCCACTTAAGTGAGCTCCATGTTGGGTGCGCTCTCTTATTGGCCACTATCAATTGGATTGCATTTTGCAAAAAGGAACCAGAAGAATTGCAATGATGCTAAGATTGTGCATTTTCATCCTTTGCAATGAAATTACTGAAACCATGAACAAATATGAAATTTACATGATAATTTTTGTCTTTATTCAGTTTTTAGCCAGTAAAAGAGAAACTGTCAATGGATAATCATGGTTTTTCTTCCAAGACGAAAGGAGTTGCTGAATCTTAGCAACACTGCAATGCTCTTGGTTCCTCTTTGCAAAATGCAATCCAATTCATAGTCTTTGTATTTTTGCTTTGTCCATAAATCGTTCTGACAACACAACAAAGTTGTGCAAAATATATGTTTTTTTTAATTATTTGTTATTGTGCTTCTGATTGTTGTTCTGATAACTCTATTGCAAGAAGTCATTATCTAACAGTTTCTGTTGGAATTTTTCCCTTGTTTTTATTTTTCACTTTAAGCCTCTTTTTCCTTACTTCCGTTCATTTATTCAATGAGTGAATCACAAGCCTAATTGTTTTGCTATTCCTTGTAAGAATTTTAGCAGACACAATATTGTGAGCTATTCTATATGTTCGATTAACGATAATCATGCAATGCTTGCCAAACACCTCACGGCTTAGCTTCATAAATCATTGGGTCCTGAAATATTATACCTGAGGATTGGAAATAGAGGCAAAGCTTACAAATTTGAAAATTTGATTTAGATAGCAAAAAAAAAAAAAGTCTTGAAAAATTAAGAAGTCTCTGCAAACAAGGCCAGACGGGCAGGCAGGAATACAGGGATAAATGCCCGAGGACAAGTCGATATTAAGGGTGATTTTAAACTAATTAATACCCTTCACAATGCAAAAAAACGACTAAAATAGGCCCGTTCAAGCACTGGTGAGCCAATATTCCCGGTTACTGCTTAGTTCAAGCACGCCCTGACTGAAAAAAATGTAGAGCACTTGCATTCTGTGAAATAAAAAAAGTACAGAAAACCAAATAGACTGGATTCTGAACGATATTTGTAATATCAATGTGATAACTTCAATTAATTTGACAACTTACTTGTATTCCATTCTTCTGTGATCAACAGAGAGAATTACTGCTAATTTGTTGATATGTTCACGGTAAGTGATCAAGAGAATACGACCTTCTACAAGTATCTTGTTAATCTCTTTATCCATGATAGAGTCTGTCTGAAAATGAACATTTCATAGGAATGCATTAAAAAGTCGTAGTGCGTATAAGTAAAAACTTGACTAAAAGTCAGTATTTAAAGTCACATAGACATTTCACTGATCAAAAAAAAAAGAAATAGCTACCTTTATCTTGTTCCAGATCTCGAGGAACTCAAGTGCAGTGTCGTAGAACTCAAAGAGCAAGTTCTTAACCCTGTCTGGGATGCTCACTTGAATATTTTCAAGCTTCTGCAATTCTTTACGGTGTTTGTCATTGACGGACTGCGATCCAAACTCCATAAAACTATGCTGCATCATGTTTTCCACTGAAAATAAGTTTGTTACTCGCAAACTGTTTAGGATGGTTGAGTACGTGAGAACATACTGTGATTTTATCTGCAATGCTTGACCTGCACAGAGAAACTTCCACTTAAGAGCATATTTCATTTTAAATTCATTACTTGTTGGTTACTGGAAACTGCCTATTGCCTTAGTGGGTCAGTTGCACTAGTTACAGACTCGAGTTTTGATGATTTCAGATTAAGGATCAGCAAAAAATTATAAAATATGTCCAATTACCAAAAATTCGCGTTTAGTAATAATAAAGACACCACCCTCAAAAAAAACTTGATGTATGACATCTTCCACTGCGGTGGTGTATATATATCATGGTTTCAGCTGTGTTTTAAATGGAGCAACTAGTGCAAATGTTTGTATTGCAGATTAATGAATCAGAGTTGGAAAAAAGCATGGTATGTACTATTACAGGGGATGACGTCATACACCGTGTTTTTCAGATGACGGTATCTGCGTTAATATAGGATGCAGAAATTGGGTGTATCTGTACATCTTATCATTTTTTGCTGATCTATAAGTTTGAAATATAAAAACAAGATAGAGTGCCTAGCGCCCCAGTCCCTATAGCAACTACAAGAATTTTATGAGCAATTAAATGTTTGAAAGTGTAGCTGAGTGGCAGAACAAACTTAGCAGTCACTCTAAAATTTGTTTCAGCCCACTTTGTTGGGCCAAGCAAGAATACTAAATTCACAAATTGAGAGATCGTGTGATTTTATTGTTTAGTGTCTGTAAAACAAGGGGAACATATTATATGACACAATCAAAAATTATTTAAAGTATACTTGATTTTTAGTGAAAAATACTTGGTAGTGTTTGCTGTTTTATACATGTGAAAAGTACAAACCATGTTGCTTAAATGAAATGTAAACTGCCAAAACATTCCTTCTGTTATCCTTTACCTGTAATCATCCTTTCAACTTTGATAGCGGGCTGCATGTCATCTTTCGCCATAATGATGACAGTGCCTTTTTCATCAATACCTCGCCTACCAGCACGGCCTGCCATCTGTATGTATTCAGCAGAGGTTAGCAACCGTTTCTCTTTGCCATCGAACTTGATTAGAGAATCAAATACTACAGACTTTGCTGGCATATTGATTCCAATTGCAAAAGTTTCCGTGGCAAAAAGACACTGAAAAACCCAGAGGATACAAATTAATGAGTCATTCTTCTCCAAGGAAATTTTCATTGTTTATTTACTTTACTTTTTATGTAGTTAATGATCGTTACTTGGCCCATGATACAGATTTGTTCTGATTTCCCATTTGACAACTTGACCTGCGGGTTCAACGATAACCAATCACTTCAATAGAAGTATAATTCCATTGAATTGAGGGCCTCTAGCAGCGAGAACGATTGGCTTACTCTATGACACCAAAAGCTCATCCCTCGTCACACTAACATTGCAGTGATACGTGAAGTTTGATTACTCATCTATGTTGATATGATTATGCAATTCTTTTAGAAATTCTGCTTTCATGCCCTTGCTCCAATACAGTTAATATAAATAAATATATAAAATAATAATATAAATAAATAAATACAGACAAAAAAAGCAAAAAATAACCATTATTCATAGTGAAAAATGTATTTACGATCACTCACTTTTACAAACCCCTTTTGGAATAAAATCTCAACAACTTCCTTTAAAATTGGGATGATACCACTGTGGTGCACACCTATTCCACTCATGAGAAGTTCCTGCAACTTCAAAACCTGCAAAAAGAACATCAAACAAACTTAAAATTAATGGGAAAAAAAATTTTGTGAGCTTTTGAAGTATTAAAACTCTGGTCCCCAGGAGGACTTTCCCTATTCACCCGTGGACTTATACTAAAGTTTGTATCTTATTACAGCTACCCAAGTAATAAACTAAACTTTGGATCACAATATATTTTTTGGGGAAGTTGAAAAATTTAAATTCTTATACCTCCAAACCAGTCTTAAATTTTCACACCCAGTTTGGACAAGAAAAATACTCTATGACGACAAAATGTTGAAAGTTTTTGAAAACAAGACTAACAGGTAAGATAAGCACTTTTTTAATTTACAAAAAAGGACACTTTTTTAATGAAATACAACATTGGTAACATCAGTATTTCTTTTTTTTCTTATTACAAGAACTAGATATTTTTTCTGTACCCATCAGCCTTGAAAGACAGTATAAGTTATGTGTTGGGGAAATTTTGGTGGGAATTACAGCCTCTGGTTAATACAGTCATCTCTCATTAAAACGTTTCTGAAGGGAAATGAAAAATCAAGCGTTATTTCCAGGAAAACGTTATAACACGGCAATTTTTATATGGTTCTTATGGAGTTTGGACAGGACGTGGAAAATTAAATGTTATTTCTACAAAGATGTTGTTTTGAGAGACGTTACACAAGGAAATGTTTGTAACTATGAGTGATTTTGCTCCCTTCAATTTCTTAAATTTAAATATGTTTAAAAAGGGTAGCCAGTGCTGACCTACTGAATGCTTCTACTAAAATGCTATACATTAATAAATTCACTAAAAAAAAAAAATCTTGAAACATCATACAAATCTTGCTTACTACCATCATCATTGCGCAATTAATTCAATTGCAAAAACACACAGCTTGGGCGTGTGTTTTGCCATCTATGTTAGGATCAATGTGCCCCTTCCCTGACGCAAAATTAGCCAAATCGAAACAATATATGCAAGGGGCATAAATCTGTGTGAATGTGCGCAAGGTCCTTTGACGAACTGAAAAATGTTGAGTTCAATAAAAAGTGCAAAGGAGATGGTGATATGTAGTTTATTTCTTCACTTGCAATAAATCACGGCTTGGACACGTCCTTTTGTGGAACGAATTACAGAAAATGAAAAAGGTCAAGATGAAAATCCTGTTCACTGAGAATAAGATTTACCTGAGGCAGTTTCCTGTCTTCCTCCTTAAGTTGTGAGATGCTGAAGTGAAAGAAGCCTTGAATATGTTTCTTCTCTTCACCAGTAGTCAGTTCTTCGCTCAACAGGCTGTTGGCGTTTTTATCACATCTGACTCTGGACAAGGTGAAAATAACAACAGGCAGTTTCTTTTCTTTTTTTAGGAAGCCTAGCAATGTTTTCCACATCCTTTTTTCATTTTTGTCTCGGGGACTCACCCCTTTTTCTCGCTTTTCATAACTTTGGTTTGGTTTCTTCTTTGGGTTGGTTAAACAGTACGGCCCGCCAATCCTCTTCCATACCTCGAGGGCTTTACGGTATCTACAGCAACACACAATGCAAAAAGATGAGGTTATTAATTTAAGACCAATACTTAGCTCTGCCAAAAACTGAATATAAGAATCAGTGTAATAAGTCACAAAATACAAACGAAATGAATACATTTTGTAAAAAACAAAATCTGCTTATAAATGAAAATGTGAATCTATAAGACATGATTTCATTCAAAATAAAACAGAAATGAAAATTAAATAATGTCTCACCCATCTTTTTGAAAAACTCCATCCCCTTCTCGAATGAGGTAGATTTCATTTTCTGTTTGCTCATTTACACCCAGGTATACAAAATGACAGAGAGGAACAGGACGTTTTGGCGTTGAAATGACAAAAACTTTTTTCTGCTTGGTACGTCCAACCCAGTTGGCAATGTCGAAGGTGTTAGAGATAGTCGCACTTAACATGATGATTTGGACACTTGAAGGTAACAAAATTAAGACTTCCTCCCAAACACGACCTCGCTGGAAAAAAAAGAGGAAAAAATCAACCAATTTGCTGCTTTCATAAAAAATAAGAAAAAATTGTAACTTAGATGTACGATTCCTCCTCCGAAATGATTACTTCTATAAATCTCTGCTTGTCTTAATTTTTTACGCTTAGTAGTTTACAGTACCAATGCAATTGTTTATAGTCATTCAAACTTGATGACAATTAAATAACGATAATGCAAAAATGCGATACTGCGTATCTTCGTTTGCAACTCTGCAGAGTTCCTGTCATACTTTTGATATTTCTTCGGTGATCAAATCAATGTAATTTCTTAAAACTTACTTGATTTTTCCTCTCTGTTGGCAGAATATTTTATATAAATTTCAAGCTATTTAGTTGGCTTGTTTCCCTTCGAAGCAAAAATTTTGGAACTCCACAATGAAGAGACAAGGTTCCGCACTTTGGCCATCAAATACATCAATCCCAAAAAATACACACCTGTCTTTAATTGTTACATTTCTTGGAACCATTTCCAACTTCACTCTCACTCACTGTACCCCTTTCAGATTGAAACTAATTAGTGGAAAAAAAGATATGCAGCAAAATTTATACCAATACATTAATACGATAATGTTACTCATCAGTTCAAAAAGCAACCAGATATTATTAGAGTAAAAAGGACAAAGGTAAAAAGCTGTCTACCTCAGTGTCATTCAGATAGTGAACTTCATCAAATATTACAAACTCCAATTCCTGGATGACTTTGGAGCTATTGAAGAGCATGGACCTCAGTATTTCTGTTGTCATGATAAGAACAGAGGACAGTTGATTCATTTGAAAATCACCTGTTATAAGACCAACATCATCAAATTTATCTTTGAAGTCGCGGAATTTTTGATTTGACAATGCTTTGATCGGCGAGGTGTAGATAACCCTATGAAAGAACAAACAAAATCCGATTGAGAATATAAAAGCAGATGGACTAGGATTGATTTGGTGAAAATAGTAAAATGAACTGGAGCAGATACCAGTACTAAATCAATGGTTAGCTTTCCTAAATGCTATGGTATACCATGTGCTTTGCTATGGTAGTTATGCTATTTACTTTGCAGAAAATCAACCACTGAACAGAGAAACAATTTATTCACCAAAACTTCCATTTTGTTTTGTTATTAGAGCTCTGCGCTGCTTCATCCAACTGGAAAACTATGACTGGGCGTCTGATGCCTACTCAAAACCCAAATTTATAAAATTATTTATGCTGCTTCAAGGGGTCATTGGAAAAAACCACAGGTCATGGTAACAAATAATGTAGTTCTTTAGCACTTGAGAGAGCGATTCAATAATTGATCAATCAATTGAAAAGTCCTGGATTTTAGGACATCTTTTAACAATTTCCAAGCAACATATCGCACTGTGGTAAATCAGGTATTCGCACACAAAATTTGACTGAGAGGCACGATTCTAAAAGTACGGTAAATATTGCAAATTGTTCTACCTTTTGATTTATGATATTCATTACCACCGTGCTTTTGGAGATATTTCGGAATGTTTCTTGGTCAGATTTTGTGAGCAAATACCTGATGCACCAAAGTGTGATGAGCTGCTTGGAAGTTCTTAAAAGATGTTCTAAAATCCAGGAATTTTCAATCGGTTAATCGACTATCAAATCGTTCTCCAAAGTGTTAAAGAACCACCTTATGTCATCTAAAATATAAATGAAAAAACTTTCAGCTTGATTGGAAGCAGCAGCAAGGGAAGTTCCTCTTGTTAGACCTCATATAAATTTATCCTACATAGGATTGTTACAGTTTGTGAATTTACACTAAAAGAATTACGATTTTTAGGAAAAATTACAAACAGGATTGTACAATTCCTACACAACAACTGGGCAGAAGTTATGAGAAAATAATAATAATAAAAAGGAAAGATAGATGTATTCTTACTTGGTTTTATGCTTCAGCGCCATTGCGATGGCATACTCAGCAATAACAGTTTTACCCGCAGATGTATGAGCAGCAATCAGCACATTGGCATGCTCCTCTAATTTAACAATACCCTGAAAGATAAAAAAAAAACAGATTCTCATCAGCGGTGCTCCTAGGGTGGCCCTTATTTTTGAATTTTTCGAAATTTAATAGATACACATGTGTAAGTGGTGCCTTTTGGTGCAAAATTTGGTGCCAATCCTTTTGGTGGAACAGGAAAAAAAAATTTTTGAAAAAAAATTCTTTTAGTGCTGTCGCCGGCCTCAGGAAATTATGCCATCGGAGGAAAATCGAGAGACGGACCGGAGTTTGCGCACCTCTTCGCGTGGTGGTTCTTATTTTTTGACTTTTCGAAAATCAAAGGTCTGATCCCCCTAAAAGTTGTCATTTGGTGTAGGAACCTACTAAAAATTTCAGCCCGATTGGATCATCCTAAGTGGTGCTGCCGGGGCCGACAAGTCTCCGAGCGGGAACTTCAAATTCTGGAATATTGCGTTTTTTCGTCATTTTGCAAATTTTTGTCTTTCCTTTAAAATGTAGCAATGGCTTTGAAACTTTTTTAAGTAACACACTGTTTAAAGTACTTTACTAGAAAAATAACGCACTTTACCCTATCATTTTTAAAATGCACTTTTTTACCCCTTAAAGTAGCCACATTGTGCGATTTTACCGATTTTTCCTAACTTTCTCCCTGCACGGTGAGCTTGAAGGAATTCAAATTTATTGACAAATCAAAAGCAATGACACTTCAGATTTATGAAGTAGAGTGTTTGCGGAGTTATTTAAGCCAAGAAGAAAAACATTCCGTTGAACTCCTGGAAAATAAAGTCAACTCAAAGGTATTTTAGGGCTAAAAGAGGCAACTTACCGTTGGTGAGTCCCGTTATAGCACTGAAAATAAATTTCCTCGATAGTTAATATGCCTAGTTTTCTTGAATATGGTTATTATAAGTACTCAATCACTAAAACCACAGATTTTAGCAACATAATAAATTTTGGAGACCTGGAATAACCCATCGGAACGGAACATTTTAATTCAAGAAATTTTCTATGGAGCTCTCCAAAAATGGCCTGCTCAGTTCTGGGCCGTCAATTCGGCCATTGAACCGAGTTTGAAATGAATATATCGATCGTAAAACTGTAAAAAATAAAAATGCATACCTCAGTTGCAGTATTTCCAAATCCCCACTACTTTATTCCTTATAAGAAGAAACCGAACCAACATTACGGCTTGAAATTTTCACACAGAGAGAGAAAATCACAAAAGTTTCCAAGAAATGATGTTAAGTACTTTTTGGCATAGAAACTAAAATATAACAGGAAATCTGCAACGCCAAAAACTGAGATACCCACTTCTGCTGTTTCACCACTGATATATTCCATAAAATTATTGTAAATTTACAATTTTGTGCGTTGATGTGTCTCCTAAAGTTTTGGACTGTAGTAGGGACAGTTGAGATATCAAATTCCTATACATCTTGGAAGCAGCACTATCAACTGGAATACAAATAAAGAATGAAAAGAGGATGAATTTACTTGTTTCTGAAATCCATCCAATTCAAAATTAAATGATGTAGCTAAGTTCAGTTTCTTAAATTCCAAATCAACATCTCGCCCAGAGTCCAGAATTTCAGCCCATTCAGTTTTCTTGATGCTTGCTTGCGAATATGTTACTTTGGAGATATCTAGCACGCACATATTGTGATTTATCTGAAAGCACAAAACTCAAATTAGCTCACGCAGATTCAATTTAAACGGATTCGAATTTTCATTGATTTGAAAAAATAAAATGCAGTGAAAAAATCGCCTGTCTGATTCTGGTAATTTTTTCGAGAAAGACTAACGCCCATTGATCGTACTGTGGATAAAGCTTTCCATAACCTAATTCTGTCACCTCAATTAGAATTCACATCAGATAAGTTGGCAGTCGCTTATTTTCCGCTTGTAAGCGCTTCCGCTGCCACTTGCCGACGGCGATCGAGGATGGACTAAATGCCATGAAAACCCTATGCTGCCAATAAGCGCAGATGCAGATAACTGGACTGAGTTAAGCAGAATGGAACCAACCCACATTTTGGAAAAAATTGAGTTATGAGTGGTTTTGAACTCAACCACTGCTCTCCTATCTATCGCCAAAAATTCAAAGTTTTTGTTGGAGCAAATTTTGCAGAAATTGAACTTGAAGTTTATCTTTAACATTGAGTCTTATGCAGGAGCCAAACTTTAAACCTCTTTTTCTCGGTTCGATCTCGATGTGGCTTGGTTCCTTTCTGTTTAACTCCGTCCTACTAATACCTTCCTCTGCACAGAATATAGTCAGTAGAATATATATAGTCAGAGATTTACAACTGCCAACTTATCTGACACAAGTTCTAAGTCATGATACTTTTCGTGGATTATTAGAGTAATTACACTTTGTTACTACACGCTAGTTTTACAAAATGATGTAAGACAGAGCAAAGGGACTATGAATTCTAAATTGCTCCCACCTTGCAATGGGGCTGTTTCAGCTTAACAATCTCAAATTAATAGATTTTTCTAGTGTGTTGTAACCTTCTCTATGAGTTACAAGTGATTTTCAGTTCACTTTATATTAGATTTTTCATTTCTTTTCCTTCATTCCTAAAGGGTATGAAAAAATGAGAATGTCTGCATTTTTCTGACACCTGATCAAATTTTAGCAGAAAAAGGGACTTCTCAAGTCACCAAAAGTCCGGCTCCATTTTAAACAGAAAAAGATCACACCAACAGGTTTCCTCATTTTCCTTCAGTATGAAATAAGTAAGCTGATGATTTTCGATTTTCCCAATTCTGTAGGGGAGTGCTGCAATGACACTGTAATGCATGAAAAAATGGCAAACCAAACCTTAAAATTACAAAAATGGCAAAGGTTCCTCTTCATTCTACAAAACCATCAGTTTGCAGATGGGTGGTATTGTTCATTGGCCATCTTTATGTACTGTGCCCAAGTGAGTGCCATCTATTTTGCCTTTTTTTTAAAATAAAATAGTTTGTTCGAAATGGTATGAGGTTTTTATAACATTGACCAGAAGCTTCAGGCGGATGAGAAATGTTTTTTGTATAACTAACACTTAAATAAGCTGGTCAAATAAGCTGTATTGAATTTTTTAAGCTTGAAAACGCATTCCTCACTAAAATTCAAGCCGGAACTGCTTATTTTCAAAGCAATCCCCAGCTCATGCAACAGTCTCATAGGTCAAATGTGCACTGCTGTATTAACTATACATAATTTCTCTATACCATAAAATCTTGTAACAAGAACAGAATTGTTTTTTAGCTGTATGTTTTTACCTTTGATGGTAGATTTTGAATGATTTCCTTCTCAAGACTACTGCCATAGTTGTCCTCGCCTTCATCATCTTTTTTATCTGACTCTGTTGTAGATTCAAGGATTTCACTTTCTGCATCCAAAGACATTTGCTGAAAACTCAGATTAATGGACACTTCGGATTTCGCCGATTTCTGTGTCATGTAATCCTTAAAAGCTGATCCAAAGTCCATGCCATGATCTAGGCCTGGGGGAACAGTCTTTAGCTCTGTAAATGAGGATGAGTTTAAGAAACATTAATGAGCACAAAAGAGAGATATGAGAATATGAGTACGGAAAAAAATTAAATCTTTTTTTGGTTTCAGTACTCTTTGCTTTTGAGGAAAAAATTGGGAAACTTTGGTGTGATGCACTGGTGAACACAGCAGTAGTTGGCTTGAATTAATTTGAGTTTTCTCGCAAAAAGCATGATAGATTTTCAAAATATTAGGCTTGTTTTAAAACTGAGCATATGCAAGGAACGCTTTTTGGAACAGCTGGATTTATCGGTTTTAATTTAGAAAATGTTAGCTTACTTCTTCAATGACCCTCTTACATTATTCTTTTGTTTTCATCTTTCTTTCAAGTTACAAACCAATCAAGTAAGACAAATTTGCAAGGTGACAAGATGATTAAAAACTTGCATCTATAAAACTTCGTGAATTTTCACGAGCTTCAAAAGCAATGGTGCCACAAGATTTAGAAAATGAAGTTCCTGGACATTTTGTTGAAATATTTTGGAAAATTTCCCTGAAACATTTTGGTAAATTTCCCCAACACTTGAGGATATACCAGATGGTAAGAAGACATAATTTGAAATAGTTGTTAGGCAACATGTGTTGTGTGAAACATCAAGCTTATTCTGGAAAGCAAATTAAAATGACTTAACTAAACTGCTGCACCAATTTTATTTGGAATAAATAATACAGGAATCTAGCAATCTACCACTGAAACTCTGAAGCTAGAGCAATACATGCTGCTCTTCCCATAGTGAAATCAAAAAGTAGAACAATAGTTATGTGGCTTACCACAATTGATAAGTGAACTACCGACAGAGTTAGAAGTGGCTTTAAAAACATTTGAAAGTAGAGCCTGCTTCTTGAGCGACGGCTTCACAATACTGTCAGAGTCGGTGTCAGGATCTACTGGATCAAAAAATGCCTGCTCCCATGTTTCATCAGTCAAAATGATTTCATGGTACCCATGTCCACTTTCAACATCTTCTTCCTCCTGTATGTCCTCAACCTGTCATTAATAAAAACCATACTATGAAGGAAAGCGTAAATGTATTGCTGAGATTAGTAGTACTTGGTAGTAGTACTTAGTAGTCAATGGTACTAGTACCTGAAGTGCTTGCTCTTCAAGGTTTAAAAAGAAAAAAAATGAAGAGGAAGAGGAGAATTTCTTTTATAAAAGTTAGGTATAATTAAAATTGAACTCTTCATGTCCTAAAAAAACTTGCATTTAAAATGGAGAGACAAAAAAAAAAAAAAAAATACATTTGCTTTCAAGATGAAATTAATTGAGATCATGAAGGATTAAGACTATGCTAAACGCATTGCACATCAGACACTGAGTTCTTTCTTCGTGCGACAATTTTTATAATTTATCGATAATTATTAGGTTGTTTTTGCTCTCAATACATAAATCATCAAAAAATAACCCTATTCTTACATTATGTGATTTGATTCATTAATTTACTTTAACTTGACATTCTAGTGTATGATTTACAAAAAGGTTCATAAGACTTTAGTGAGCCATCTACTGTGAGCTAGAGGTTGCGTGGTAAATGAAAAATTGAAATTAGTTGATTTGATTAATTAAATTGAAATTAAGAAGAATTATGATTACTTGCACCAATTTAAAAAGAAAAGAACAAAAAAACTTAAGCCGTTCCTGTTGATCCTGAACTCAAGTCTATAAAATGAAATCAATTTAAGTCATTCAGTTACTTACAAACAGAGTAGTGCGACACGGCAGGTACTCCCTTGCATGAATAACATTTGATTCATTCCTTTCCCGAGGTAGAGTTTTTGTGCTTTCATACGGCAGTTCATCATTGTTAATGATGAAATTTTCCAATGTTTTCTTGACATCTGGTAGAACTGGTGGCCAGTTATTTTCCTGAAAAAGCAGTATCGTAATTATAACACTATGAACAGTCTCATTTGTTGCTCTATTTTCGATTGAGAAGATTAATTACAAAGAGAGAAGTACACAAGTAACACCGCAATCGCACGCTGAATGTGGGAGCTGAATGTGGCTTGAATGTGGAAGTCATCGGCCCGATGCCTGAATTTTGCGCGTGACGCGCAAAATTCAGCAACGATTCTCAGCAACCATCGGATCAATTTTGAATTTGTCTGAACTATTCAAGGAGATTTGATACACATCTGAATGAAAATAACTCGAATTTGCTAAATTTCAGCCGTTGGGCGATGACTGTTGACTTCGACATTCAGCTGCTAAATTCAGCGTCTGATAAGACATGGTACTTCTAGGGCCCTCAGTCAGAGAAGACATGCTTTACTCACCATGAAATGAAGAAGATCGGTAGGCATTATTCTAAAATAAAATAAACGCGCATACGAATGAAAGGAATAATGATTAGAATTTCTAGGGTATAAGTGAAAAACTCGATTAGAATTTACCAGAATTTACAGAAAGCGAAATGTTTTGTTTCGGTTTGTTTACCAATTTTTGAGGTTAAAAGAGAAAAAGAAACTTTCCAAGAAAATCATCAAAAAGCGGTAGCACACATCGGTGTCTTTTTGAACGCGGGACTTTTAAAAAATTCTAAAGTTTGTAGGCGATTATTGTGAAGTGTATTGTATTTTACCCCTTACAACGATTGGTATTGAGTTTGAACTAATTTCGTAAATTCTTAGCTTTATGATGGAGCATTTGATTTCCAATCGTTGTCAATTATGATTGCAACATGTAACGTGATAAAATCATCTACTTCCCTTGTCCAACAAAAGCTTTCCTCTTCCTCCCCTGCCTCTCTGCCTCTTCTGCCTTCACCCTATTGGCTGCTGATGCTGAATTCGACATTCTGTGATTCGACCACTTGCCATTTGCCAGGCCCAGAATGCAAGTAAATAATAATGGCGTCTGTGATAGAGACGTGAATTTCTCATTTTGTTGAAGCTCTGAATAGTGAATTTACTCAGTATTTTGTAGATTTTCGACCGGTCCATTTTGATGACTCTACGCTACCTCAGGCCCGTGATCAAGAATTGGTATAATTTTTACCTTCAAATCGTTTGTGCTCATTCATTTCTTCACCAGCTCCGGCTATCAATGTGTTAGCCATCCTTCAGATGAGGTCAGTCTAAAGATTCGGTTTTGGTTCGAAATTTTCCCAAATTTTCCGTACCATTTGGATTTTTCATGTTCTCATTTCAGAGACAATATCTATTCCGAAATATCGCAAGGACTGTTTTTCACCTTCAGGCAATTAGTATCTCATGTAGTTATTTGAGCCTCCATGTTACTTCTGAATTTTGTGATCTATCACATTATCAATCATCAATTTTCCCCGTGTGCAAGCTCATTTTCCTCCACCTTTGTGGGCACCCTATTTGTATTGAGCTATCAGTAGAGTACTAAGTGTTGGTTTGTTGTAATTCATCAACTTCGCCGCACTACTCATTGTCAGAGCGAACATGAAGCAGCCGCATAGTTGATTTTAGTTCCTTCTCTCTAACGTAGAATTGAAGTGCATATTTAGTGCCAGCATTCAATGCCTGCTCCTAAGGTTTTAAAGTCAGGATCACTCTTAAAGAGCCAATCTAACCATCGTTGTTTGCACTGAGAGAACTAGCCTTACTCTATCTTCGGTCTTCAAATGGCTTTGTAGGTCCAGTGAGCAACAGACAACTGAATCATCCTTTACATCATCCTCAATAATCTCAGGGACCACAGACAGCAGACAGGAGTGACCCTTGGCTGCCGCTTTATGAGCTAATGGTGGCAAAGTAGTATTATAACATGATCGTCACGGGAGGGCGTTCTAGAACTGGGGAAAGGGAAGAATAGACAGAAGTCACATCAGTCTGAATGAATCAATCATCAGTTGGCCTATTGGTTAGCGTGTAAATATCTGTTAAATGGTGCAATTTTTGGATGTGACAATTGTCTATTCCTTTCTTTCCCCAGTTCTAGCATGGTTGCAATTAGTCCACCTCTAATGAGCTCTGTATTGCAGTTCCTCAAGGTACACTCTACTGCAGGTATGGACACAAGGGGTGCCGAAGTGGCAGCACTGAGAATATAGGCCATTGAGTGATATTGCAAGTCGTACCATCTTTGCAGTGCAGTTTAAAATGACCCTCAAAGAGGTTCTGGCAGATCTGCAGGCTGATTATTTACTTCCCTCATCTATTGACCTTGATGGATGCGGGCTGCGGATCTATGAGACGGAGATTCCGAGCGATTCAGAACTAATTTCAATAGATCCAGCTATAGATCCACTGATAGATGCGGATCCCCCGGCCCTAAGGCAGTAGATGCGGTGACATCTATTAAAACTGCGCTTCTGATTGGCCGACTGGTATTGCCGCGGCGGGATTCGAACCCACCATCGCTCGGATTGGTAGTGACTGAATATCGACGCCGCTATCCACTGCGCCACGGTAGCTGATAAGACGGAGTTGAGTAAAACACGATAAATGATCTATTTGGAGGTTAGGTTTCCTACGCGCTTCTTCTTCTTCACTCGGTGAATCAAGGTGTCTGATTGGTTAGAACGATTATTTTCATGTCAAAGCAATCGTTCAACACTGTATTCCAATTCTGCTGATCTATTGCTCATCCATCGGATAGAATCACAGTGTAGAATCACAAATAGTTTGATCATAGATGCGCGATAGATGAGATTTGCAGATCTATAGCCGAGATCTATGAAAGTAAATAATCAGCCTGCTGGTAGCTTCTTTAAGCAATCAGATGAATTGAAAAAATTGATAAAACTCACAATAACAAAAAACTTGACTAAGAACACTATAAAAAAACACAAAATTGACAAGGCCCACATTCAGAACAGAAAGTAAACAATTTTTCTATACGGCGTCTCAGTTGTACCATTGAAAGCTGTCCAATCTATTTTTCCAATTATGGACAAAATTCCATTTGTCCATACCTGTGGTAGAGTGCACCTTGGCAGTTCCTGGAGTTTTAGCTCTAAGTGGGTGTCGTGTATGCCTGCTTCTCCCCAGAACTAAGCTCCCTCCATTGTCCAAGTATTAAAATCAGGAAAATCAAGGAGAAAATATGCTTGCCTTGGATGAAATAAAAGATGGCCCATGAATTTTTATTGTGCATAGTTGCGAGCGAATTGAAAGGAGCTGAGATAAATGTACGTAAGCTCCCACAAATGGAATCGTCATTTTTTCTTTGGTCTAGTAGTTTGTCTGTAGTGTCCTGATGTCTATCTAGGAAGAAAATAGATATTAAGTGTAAGATTATAATTTATTTTAACTCTCTTTACCCTCGAGAGGAAAAGCTTTGATCTCTTGCTGAATGTGTAAAGAGTCAGCATTGATCAGCTTGCTCTCTGCAAAAGTACCTAAAATTCCAAGTTCCTGAGATTAATATGTTAGATTGGTAAAACTGTAGGTGGCAGAGGAACTCTATGAAAAGTAAGAAGATGGAACCTCTCAAATTTGTAGCTTGTGAAGAAAGGCTCTTGAAAATGGTATCGGGACTAAACTGAAGTGTAATGTTGAGTTTCGCTCGATTTGTACATGATTCCTTTTAAAGAGCCAACAAACACAATACTGTAAGCCTGAAAGAACGCTGCACCTAATTCCAAGTAATTCGGTGCCGGCTAAATTTTAAGATTTTTTATAAGATGTTCCTCACGACCTTCTAAGCATGATGAGCTTTTTAATTGAACTTTAATGTGCAAATCTTGAGAATTTTGGGCCTTAAAAGTGTATTTTTTGGTATTTTAGCATGTGTTATCCATACGCGAAGGGCCTCTGTTGCTGAGTCCAAAATGCAGCCAATGTTTAGGAAACTGTCAAACGAAGTTGACTTACATGTTGTTAATCCAAACCCGCGTCCACATCAACAGGTAATCAATAATACTTAATAATTTATAAAATTTAAGCGAATCCTCTTGCTGATTTGTTATCTTAAAAACTTGCCCAACAAGAAAGCATATTATTTTGAGTGCTCACTTATTCAGTAAAAGCATGAAAAATGTTTCTATATTCACGCTTTGAAAATCAGCTGAGCCAGCTAGAAACTTTTCTGAAGTACAGTACACCCAATATTGCATTCAGTTTAATTTTGATACTTCCATTAAGTAAGACGAGAGTTTTTACCAATAGAAACAAGTGTAGATGAATATTTCTCTCAAGCTTCATCAAAATCCCCTTTGTCTTTTTTTTTGTCCACTGCTGATGATATATGTAGAAAGATGAGAAAGAAGATCGGAAGAATCAATCAAGTTGTTAATGAGCTTGAATGAGAACAACGCCTCTTGACACAGGCCAGAACTAAAAACACTTAAAAGATCAAAATCAAACATAACTGGCCTTAAATCATGGTCAAAGAAGGACATGGGATTGCCAGATCGACAAGACAAGGCTCTAAGGAATACATGTTGAACCCTCTCCAACTGTACAATATCTGAATTATAAAAAGGCTTCCAAATAGGAAAGGCATCCAAAGAATAGGGAGTACAATCAATTTATAGATGCAATAATGTTGGAGGTTTTCTAAAGACTTTAGATTGACGCAATAAAAAGAAAAGGGTTCCAAAAGCTTTCGTTACAACAAACTTGATGTGCCCCTTGAAGGTCAAGTGCTGGTCAAAGACCACACCAAGGTCCCGTACAGACTCTTTTCTAACCAAGCTCACACCATCAATGGCATAATCAGCAGAAGCAGCAAAAATCCTTGAAATTATTACGAACAAACATTTCCTAGCATTGGCAGAGAAGCCATTGGTGACCAACCATAAGCAAATACTCTGAAGGTCAAGCTTTAAAAAACCAACATCAAGAGCAGTAAAGATCTGCTTATACACCTTGAGATCATCAGCAAAAATCAAGAAATTACAAAATTTTATTACTAGCCCTATATCATTGAAATAAATCAAAAATAACAACGGGCCTGAAAGCAAGCCTCGACCAACTCCAGATATCACATCAATAAAGCCAGATATAAACTCCTTAATTCTAATTCTTTCAGTCCTACCAGATAGACACAATTTAAACCAACAAAGCAGTGGCCCAACCATGCCAAAGCATTCCAATTGAGACACAAGAAGGTCTACATTGACAGAATCAAAAGCCCTACTAATGTCCATACAAATTACATGTACTTTGTTATTATTAACAAATGACTCTACAACATCCTCAAGAGACAATGAAACTTTCCTTTAAAACTTCTTCAAGGTACACTTTAAATAAGCTTTTAATAAGCTAAGTTTTTCTAAGCTTCCGACCTCAAAAAGGATACTACGACACAGGTGAACATTTCGTTAGAGGAGTCGTTCCATTCAATCCCTGCTCAACATGGCTGACGCCTCCGTGCGCAAGTTGAGGAGAGCACGAGGTCAATCAAGGTGCGTATCTATCAACGCGAGAAGTATGTGAATATAAACACGCCGATTGTTATCAGGTGGTTAGAAGTTAGAATAATCGTCCCGTCACATGTGTTTTGGCGGATTGCCGTCGGCTTTGTTGAATATTGCGCAGTATCCCTGTGAGCAGGGGTTGGACGGAGTGACTCCTTTAATGATATGTTCACCTGTGCTGTAGCATCCTTTTTGAAGCGGGAAGCTTAATAAAACGCAGATTTCTTACGCAGATTGTGAAGTTAGGAGTGCATTTCAGAGTTTGCTGATATGCTCATCATGATTTTTGAGACATCATCTATAAGGAACAACTCTTATTTTTGCACCAGCAAAAGTTTGCGACAGGCCCATTATAAATAATTATAAATGAGTACCTCAGTTGTGTCAAAGTATCCAATGCACAATGGTATTTTTCAAATATTTTATATCTTTCATGAAATAATACAATTTTATCTTTCATTGAAATTTTGCAACTCAGCTCTTGAGTAGTCTTGCAGGTTTTCCATCATTGGACTAGTTAGCTCCATGAAGTTAATACAATTTCTATGTAGCAGGTGCAACAGCAAGCTCAACAACAGGTCAATGAGCATCGACAACAGCAGCAGAAGCAACAGCAGCAACAGCAGCGAAAGGCACAGATGCCCACTGTCGTGACAAATGCCAGCATTCCATTCCCAAGGCTAGTGAATCAAAATGCACCCAGGTAAGGATACATTTAACACTCCTGTAGTTGTAGATTCTAGTTTTGTCAAGGTCCTTTGTGTTACCTTAGAAAGTCTGTCAATGCACTTATATTTTCAAATCAGAAATTTTTTTTTTTTTTTTTTCAAATTTTCAATCAGTATCATTGAAAATTGGAAAGTATTATCCCAAATTTTCTCGAACCTTGCATGATTCGAAATGAGAGAATTCGCCAGGTGATGAAGGTTGAGAATGATATCGTGCACGACGTCATGTCCAGGCAGTGGAGCTGGTATGGACATGTGCAAAGAATGTTGGAGGAGAGGTTGCCCAAACAAGTTTTGGATTGGGTACCACCTGGGAAGAGGCGACAGGGACAGCCCGTAATGGGGTAGCGGCAGGGCATTGACAAAGAGATGTTGCGGTGTCAGTTGCCCGATAACCTCTGGGAAGACAGGCATATGTGGCATTTGGGTGTCGCAAAACGCCGGAGTGCGTTGTAGAATGACTTTATATGTATATATAAAGAAAATAATGGGGGAAAAAATGCCAGAATGCAAAAAAATGAAAAAGAAAAAAAATGCAGAAAAAATGCTTCTTGATGCAGAAATTGCGAAAATTTGTAACTAGAAGCTTGAAGTAATTCTACATATATATATAAATTCTCTGTTCCAGAATGGCCAGGCCTCCGAGTGCTAGTCCAATCATTGGGGTAAGGAACAGCACCCCACCAGTATCAGCGAATGTGCAGGCAGTAAGGATGACCATTCAGGCAAATAGACAGAGAATGAATGCTGCAGTACCTAGCATTCACAATGGAGAAAGACCATTGCCCGTTGCAGGCCCTAGGTTCCCTATGACTCCCACGTCACCACCAGGTGGTAGTCCAATCGTGGGGGTAAGAAACAGTACCATATCAGTATCAGCGAATGTGCAGGCAGTAAGGATGACCATTCAGGCAAATAGACAGAGAATGAATGCCGTAGCACCTAGCATTCATAATGGAGAAAGACCATTGCTCGTTGCAGGCCCTAGGTCTCCAATGACTCCCACATCTCAGTCCCCTCGTTTACCTGTTTCTATCAGTCGTAATGTTACCCTCACCAGCATCCAAGCTCCAGCTTCCAAGTCTCAGGCACAGTCACATACAGTGGCCGTGCAGGGCAATCAATTCTTGGTACAGACACCGAGCTCATCCAAAGCAGAAGCTCCCACAGTCAGATCTCTGCAGATCTCGCAAATGCTCCAAGAATTTGAAGTCCAATCCAATGATGGGTGAGTAGATGCCTGAGTCTTATGATCTGAAATTGTATTATTTTCGTTTGTCTCTCCCCAAAAGTTTTTGTTCCTTCTTCATGTAGTCTGAGTAATTCAGGGTTTGGCTTAGGGTAACATACTATAGTTCATTTTATTTACTTATTAATTGATACTATTATTTATAATATTATATTAGGATTATTATTTACTTAGGTACTCTCATTGTGACCAATGTAAGTATTACAGTCATAGAAATCTCCTGACCATGTGATTTGTGGATAGGATGACAGTTTTTAGCATTTTTTGGGCGATTTGTTATGATCATGATTTGTTCAAGACAGCTTGTGTAGTGCATTGCTGTGTGGGGGTGATACCTAGGAGGGAAACTAAAACGAACACTATCATGACTTCATTCACCTTCTACATAGCTTTCACTTCACATGCTAGGATCTGTTCACTTTACTTCTTTTTCTTGTTTAATCTTTTGGATGTTTTTGCTGTTGGGGACAGGGATGTCAATTAAATATGTCGTCTTTTCTTTTTTGTCAACGACAGCTATATCAGGCTAGTATTATTATTGTCATTATAGTATTCATAAAAGAAAATTTGCACACTGTGTTTGTAATTATTGGTTCATAATTGCTCAATTCAATTGCTCGAGGAGCAATGTCTAAATATCTGTGAATATTGCAATATTTTCCTTGATATTTTTGAAAATCCTTGAATCTTGTATGATCCGGTTTTTTCCTCCGAATAGTCTTAAAGAATGGTCATATTTGTTTTTGCTGTGAAGACTTTTGAGCTGTCAAGTAGCAGGAACTGTACACTATTTCTTTTGCTTATTCTCGTTTAAGCAGCGGTGAATTAAAGTATGATAAAAAGAGGTAACTTAACATCTGAGGAATTCTTTAAGGCCTGTAAAAGTCTTAGCAAATTCCTGAAAATACTTGAAAATTTTATCAGAATTCTTTGAAAATTCCTTAAAAGTCTTGATTTTGGCTTTGAATGGCGGTTTTGGACAGTGTCGTTGTGAAGGCATGAAAGCTTTTTGTCAAGAAAAAATTGTTAAATCTCAATCTGCTGGGTGAAAAGTTTTGTGACACCAAAGGTTAAATCCTCTTATAGTTTCCACATTCCTCTGGATAACTTGCTTACATTATGATCATTTTAATTTATATTTCCATAATTGCTTTCAACACTTTAAGATTATTCTATGGAGCTTGCAATTTATCGAATGTTAATCTTCATCACAATCGGTTTTTTTCAATTGTAATCTATTTGTTCAACAAATCAGTTGAAACTACCAGGTAACCCTGTTCTCAGTTAAAATTAGTTTGATGAAACAGCATCGTTGAAGTTTCCATGAAAGACCAACCGTTCAACCGTTTTGACCCATCCTAACTGTAAATGAGATTTTTAATAAAATAATCAAAATGAGATACAAACTAATTAATAAAAATGTGCCGGTGTTTTTATTCTTTTTTCTTTTCTCTTCCAGAAGGGCCAGACCTCCAAGTGCCAGTCCGATTGTTGGAGTAAGGAACAGCACCCCATCTGTGGCAACGAATGTACAGGCGGTGAGGATGAGCACACCACGAATGGTTCAGGCAAATAAACAGCAACGAAGTGCTGCAGTAGCTAACGTTCATAGTGGAGGGCGACTATCGTCTACCCCTAGCACCAGGTCCCCAATGACTCCTACGTCGCAGTCTCCTCGTTTACCCGCTTCTCTCGGTCGACATATTACCCTCACCAGCATCCAAGCTCCAGCTTCCAAGTCTCAGGCACAGTCACATGCCGTGGCCATGCAGGGCAGTCAATTCTTGGTACAGACACCGAGCTCATCCAAAGCAGAAGCTCCCACAGTCAGATCTCTTATTCAAGCCCAGCAATTTTTCCAAGAATATGAAGTTCAATCCAATGATGGGTCAGTAGAGATAGAATCTCATAATTAAATTTTTTTAGTGAATGAGTCATTAAAAATCTCTCAAAGAAGAAGTTGGTCGGAGTGATTTTTTGCAGACGGATTTAGAGCAAGTCCGCAGAGAGCAAAAAATAAGAAAGTAAACTGAAAAGACGAAAACTAAAGAGGATTTTAGAATACATTATGTT